AGGTTACTTAAGTATGAAACTAGACTCACTCATCAAGTGTTTCATTCCCTGACAAGGATATGTTTATCCCAGGCTGAGGACATGTCAGGCAAAACAATGTGAGATCTCTGGCATTCGTAGCATTGGAACAATGGTGAAGCCATGCCATTTCATGGTCTTCAACTGCCTCCACTGTCAAGTGACTCTCATGGGCTCTCTGTATCGATCCTTGCCAAGTGCCTTGTCAATATAATGTCCTTTAGATGAAGGAGATATATAATTACCGGAACAAGGTGAGGAAACATGCTGGAGGTCATTTGCCAGAGCTTGCTGTAATAGTTCATTGCAGAGGTGCTGCATTCTAGGTTGTCCAATAGAAAATTGTCGAGCACTTTGAAGGTGAACACAGTCTTTGGTTTGTTGAATGATGCAGGGAAAAATCCATGTCAAAACATTTGAATGTCCGGACTCATGGTGTTTGGACAATCACAGCATTGAACCTCAAGGCGATGAACTCCAGACTTGTCGACAATGATTATGGTGTTTTCCTTAGGCTGGAACTCTGGTCCCGGCACAGATGGTAGATCTTCAGGCTCAAGCTGGTCTTCAGGTTCATCTCCTTCGAACAAATCCCACCTATTTGCAAGTGCAGGACATTCTTTGCCATCATGACTGAGGTGTATGACGAGTCCGACATGAGCGAGACAACTTTGCTCAAAGAATTGACCATTCTATTGACTGATCCAGTGGAAATGATTGCGACAATGTTGACTCCTGCAACATCCTGTGCAATAGAGTGGCTCCCCAAGACAATCTTGACATTTGTAGACCCCATCCTGGTTGCAGACAACACATCTCCTATCTTCTGGAGGAGCTTCTCGATCTAGGAGGTGATGCAGATATGATCTCTGCCTTGGGAGCCATTGCCTCAGGTAGTCATTCTGGCTCTGCATTTGTTATACTTAGCAAGGTTTGAACGACACTCCAACAGTTTACATTCACTTGTCATTGTTTTTGAAAGCTGCAAAGGTTCAAATGAGCCTTGGTCTTGCTCATAAGTATTATCAGGACAGTCTTCCCAAGTAGGTGGTGCCGGAACAGGCTGAAGTGTTGGTGATTCCGGGGGAGAGTTAGGCATGGACCTGTAGGTGAAATGTTGTGCAGTATTGGTTGTTCATTACAAATTTATTTTCATTAATGGCATCATGTCCAATATGGGTTAATTAACCAACTGTTAGGCTTTGGTCAAAGTTGAACTTTGAACCAATATTAATTATGCCTTCCTTATCCTCAGCACATTCACCAATCAGAGTCACCATGGCAAGATCAGGTCATTCCACTTGCTTGTCTCCTGGAAGACATAGAGCATGTCAACCTCAGACACAGAAGCTCACTGAAACCAAAATTTCTGAGCTGAAGAACTACCTTCCTGAGTGGACTTATGCGAAAAGGAGCAAGAAGCGGGCAGTTTTCACTGCAATTGCCAGGGCTGCCAGGTTGTTTGCACCAAAGGTGGACCAAGGACAATGGAAAAAGAGGAAGCAGGTGATACATCCTTGTTGCGATGTGAAACAAATTTTTAATGTCTTACACTTCCTTCAATGCTCAGATGTACAAGACTTGGTTGTTCAACAACAAGAAAAAGAAGGAAAGGAAGGACATGATAAAGTATGGCAGGAAATGGACACCTAGGATGGTGATCTACCAGGAGAATCAGGAAGAGGTGCTGAAGAGGATCGAGGACAAGTCTGGGGAAAAGACAGGAGATCCTGGTATGTTCAAGCATTATCAAGTGGCTGTGAAGAGAGTCATGGCTGAATTGTCCGACGACGAGTTGGAGAAGGCGAAAGAAACTGCTGAAGAATGGTCCAACAACTGTCCTCCTCCCAAGATACAAGCACAGGTCGCCCACCAGAAGGGACCTGCATATATGGAGCACTTTTCGAAGGAGATGTGGAGGCAATGTGGGATGAGAGTGTTTGTGTTGTCAGCTTGAAAGAATGAACAGGGCGAGGTGCTGTTCGGGATGTGAGTGAATTTTACCTGTCATTATAGATCTTTCAACTCAATATATTTCATGCAGGCATGATGATAACGAGGCATTAGGAGATGGGGACAGCTTCATGAAGACAGGACTGGGAGGACATCGAGCCAGTGTGGCAGGAGTACACACAGGAATAGTTCGGTGAGTGTTTAAACTGTTGATACCCGGAGGGGTGTGTTGATGGTCTCTGTGATAGGTGCCGGGGCACGGGAAGGTGGCTGACAGATGAAGGGAGGTTGCAAGAGAATCCAAAAACCAGCCTTCAAGCTCGACACTGACGAGGATGGGATGCTGTTGCTTCCAGACATCACCGAAACAAAACTCGAGGAGAAGAAGGCCATAGTGAGGGCTTTTCTCACATCACACTATTGTGAGTCAATCCTTGCTACATCCGGGATGTTGTTGAATGCATCGACATAGGGATTTGTTCGGGGATTGACAAAGCAGTAGTGCCATAGAGTGCCATTCTTCAATGCCAGGATGACTTTGTGTCATGAAGATATCTTCCAGTGGATGTTGACTTGAAGGAGCCTTCCAAGTTGCAAAATTGGGACATGACAGCCCTCCTCAATTTCTGGTATGCTTGGCAGGAGAAAGGCAAAAGATCAACATTCATGTTCAAAGTGTGGAAGAACAAAGATGGCGACATGGTAGCATCGGTCGTATCAGGCGGGTCGCCTTCCCATTGGATGGGTAAAGTCAAAAACACACAAAGGGTAATTATCTGAAGCCCTAGGGATTCATCCTCCGAACCCAACAGTGATTTTGGGAATGACACTCATCATACGGATGATGATGATGATAATGACTCGGCTGATGGTAGATCACCAAAAAGAGAACCAGAACCGGAGAAGGTCCTTCATCATCACATGCAGAGACGGCAATCCCACCGTCAATTCTGAAGCCTCGCCCTGTCAAGCGGGTGAAACATGGTGGACTCCTGACTTCATGAATGGGCAACCTCCTGGCAGGGTTAACCAACGGCAACACTGGTGATGTTGACGATGATGTTGCAATGGAAGGGAGGAACACATCGCCAGCTCCAAAAAGGATGCGGGAAAGAAAGTGGTGATTGAGCCATCAGCGAGGACCACCTGGAGTAATTCAACGCCAAAGCCATTAGCCAGCACTCCTTGGGTGACTAGAGCGAGGGGAAGGAAGTGATGGACTTATCCCACACTGTCTCCCCTTATGTACATATCCATGTGATGCAATGGGAAGTAGGTTATTGGTGCGCCAGACTCAAAACATGGACCTGGTAATCAATACTCGGGCCTCGGTAGTCCTCAGATAGTGAATAAATCGGAAATGGGAGTTTAATACATCCATAATTAAGTAGTTTACATGATGTGAGTGGGTTCATAAAAATTTGGAAGTTCACAGGTAATTTGTCTACTAACAGAAATTGTGTAATTTACATTTGAATTTGATCTTCAAACCTAAGAATGAGGGAATCTAATACCTTGAGCATTTCAGAAGTCAAACGTTCAGCTCTTCTGAGTTTGTCAGATGTTTCTGCCCAGGCAGTTCAGAATGGTCTCTCAGCCTCGAGTAGTTGTTGCATAAATGGGTTGGGAATATGTCCATGTCACTGTTTGTAATCCCGGAGCCAATCTTGAATGGATTGAACTAAAAGACAAATTAGCAGAAAGATAAATGATTATATCAGATACTCACTGCCTGTGTGATTGTAAGACTGAAATGGCTGGAACTCCCAGACCATGGCAAGCAATTCTTCATAGGTGACATCTGGGTGTGGCAAATCACGTTTGGGAGATTTTGCAATCACTTGGGAGATGAATTAAGTAAGGAAACCTGGATGGTATGGAGAAACCTACATGACCTGGATACTACCAGCGCACCTGAGACCTCACTATTCAAATCAGCACACTCCTGCTTCACATCACAGTTGATCAGATCATCTTCAGGCCCTAAGTACATGTCTGGGTGAATGGGGAAACCCAGTTGATCAGACTGGGCCAGAAGAGATTTATCTGTAAGGGTTTAGTGAACAGAGATGGTGAGATGTTTTGATTGACAGACCAGGGAATTCTGGTATAAAATCTTCATCAGGCCCGAGGTACAGGTTCGGGTGGATGGGTACATCCGGTTGATAAGGTTGGGCTGGAGGTAATGGATCTGTCAGGTTTTAGTAACCAGGGATGGCTGGACTTTTCATTTGAATTGATGAACATACCGGGGATTCCAGTCATAAGATCTTCATCAGGCCCGAGGTACAGATCCAGGTGGATGGCTAGACTGGGCATATCAGGTTCAGCCAGAAGTGATTGATCTGCAAGATTTTTGTGTCAACATGCATTGTTAGATTATTTAAATAATACTCACTGTGCATCCCAGCCATCAGATCATCCTCAGGCCTGAGGTATAGGTCCAGGTGAACTGGGAGGCCTGGTTGATCACATTGAGCTGGAGGTGAATGATCTGTGAGATTTGAGTGAACATGGATGATTAGATTGTCATCATATCAATTGATAAACTTACCGGAAATTGGAGAAAAGACCTCCGGACCATTGGATGACACAGAACATGATTCTGGATCATCAGCCGGCCCAAGATATAATCCATCTAAGGATGTCTGGTAAATTGATAAGGTATGATGGATGTTGAACATACCTGTTGACATCCAGGACACAGTTGATCCATCCACATCCATTGAGTTATATTCAGTGACCGGAGGGTCATTGAATCTAACTGTAGCAGGGGAGTTCATGTTCTGTGAGGAACTGATCAACTGATTCACTGATTATTGATAACTTCAAAGTTGAACACAAGGTGCCAGCAATTGCCAAAAGTTGAACCACAACCAAACAAGGACAAACAATTAATGAAATTTTACATTGTTAATCACTGATCTTGTTTTTACTGAAACATCATCCTTGTGATAACTGATTTCAACCTAAATATAACTTGATTTCTACCTGATCTCAACACTTTCAACACTTTCAATTGAAATACCATGTCTACTCCAGTTGACACCTCTTTGACCAGCCTCAAGGAAATCACTGGCACTCAGCAGCTTCCTCCAGGCCACAGTCACTTTTCTCTGACAACCCAGGTCAGTACACTTGTGGTATGTAGCATTGTCATATTTTCTCCCCTTCATTTTTTCCATCATCTGGGTAGGCTGATGCGGTCCGGCACTATGGGAGTGGTCCCTACCTTCCAGGTCTCGTGTGTTCGTGCTTGAGGGAGTTGATTTGAGTTCGGGGCATGACTCCTCAGGTCTGGCCCAACTGGCACAGCATCGGGTATGACGATGCCTGTTTGTTGACGCACCCCTGGCGCAGCAAGGTTGTTGCCTGGGAGGAGTTAGGTGATCACACCTTCGATCTCCCAGTCATGGCCAGTCCTTCAGTAGGTCCAATTCCTGTGGATCTTCCACCCTCACTTGTCATCGCTGGGCCTTCTACCAACCCTGCCTCCGAGTCCTGGGTAGGCAATAGCACGGGTAACCCGTGGGTATTCCGTGCTGTACCCGCACCCATACCTGTGTGGAACTAGACCCATGTTGTTGGGTACGGGTTTGGGTATGGGTCCATGGGTATTCAGGTGTACTATGGGTACTAAGTATATACATGTAAACAGCTCATAATAAGAACTACAATCGAATCGAATCCCATCCGTCGTCAAGCTCATTCTCTTCACCAACTACCTCGGGCATCACAGCAACAGCCATAACATCTTGGTCTTTGACCAACCCTAAAAGACTCCAGGAACCTAAGCAAAGCAATGCGCGGACAGACTGGGCAGATAGGCAACTGTGGACATGAGATAGCAAGAGGCGGCTGCGGCTAAAAATTCGCTCTACATCAACTGACATCGCTACATATAATGAGCGAGATGAGTTGCCAACAGACGCGAGGCTGATAAAAAAACTCACCAGGAATTGACAGATAATCTAAGGCCATTCAGGAGAGTCGAGGATACATTGCCTTCCGTTCGGTCCACCAAGCTAAGACGTCAGCAACATATTCCAGATCTGTGCTGAGGTATGAATCAAGCTCATCACGGAGCTCTGACTGCTTGGGTGCTGCTAACGCTGGAAGTTCATCAAAGATGTTATGAGATTTTCGCTGGTTAAAACAATGGTGAGAAAACAGTAAAGTTAAACAAGACAATACATACCACTGATGTTTCCTGGACTTCGTCCTCATCCACAGCATCATACGAGTCGGTGTTGTTAGTAATGGTTGTGTAAGAGCACTTGAACTTGTCGCAAACAATACTCTCCGCAGCTTGAATCCATTCAGCTCCCCATTCGGCCTCCTTGAAATATGATAGTTTGTGTCAAGGGTGCAGTACTGGAAGCGGTGTCAGCATCAGTAAAGTACACTGGTAAAGTATGACAGAAAACTTACCCATCAAAATCCGATAAACTTCTGACCAGTCGGTTATACTGTAGTAGCGGTTCAGTGTGTTCTTCGCCAGTCCGAGTGACGCACTTCAATGACATCCAGTATCAAGCTGAAAGGTTGTCCGTCTTGCTCGAAGTGGACGGACACAGCAACAAATGCTTTGTGATTTGGAGACGTCCAGGCGTCAGTAGCGAAGTTAAGATTGCCCTTGTAGTTCTATCAGGAGTGAGTTGTTTGTGTGGTGCACATTGTTACTGACATACCTGAAGCATCCTAGCTATTTGTTTATGTGTTCGTGCAAAAACAAGCTTAATGTTGTGTGATACTGTTGATGCTGATGGGATATAACACTCAGGCCGCCCTGTTTTCATCAACGACTGGAAGCCACGGTCTTCAACGATTTTAAATGGCCGCACACTCTCAGATACCCATCACACTATTTCAGCTCAGCTCTCGGTTTTGGTATGCTGTCTGTGTGAGTATGTTACCTTCCCCTTCCCCTTCCTTTCAAAAGCTGTTGTAATTGAACCCATTGTACAGAGAGGTTTGATAATTGATTCTTGTGCCACTGTTGCATTCTTCGCTTTATCGACAATCTCAACTGTCTCCATTCCCCAGCATTTTTTAGCGTGTTTCCACATATTGCTTGTGGACTTCGCATCTGCTTTATCAAGGAAACCACGAATCAATTGGTTGCACCCTCTCGTGCAGCAACTGAATGCATGGAATCTTCGTCTGTTGACGTGGCCAATCACAGGAATGGGGTTGAAGAAGGAATAAATGGGAGCAGTCCAATCTTTGGTGAGTCTCGCTAGATTTCATCATGTCAGATTTTGACTATGGTTGCTTTTTACAGGATCATACCGAGTTCAGCTTCTGGATCTTCTTCAGCACTCGCATTGTTGGCGTCATCTTCGGCACTTGCATTGTTGGTGTCGTCTTCCTCACCGCCAGCTTGGCTCTCAGCTTCACTGCCATCAAGACCAATATGGACAACTGTGCTCCCAGTATGTAAGGCATTTTCTTCTTCTTCACTCATGACAGAAGCACGATGTGATGAGAACCTTGATGCAGAGCTATCTTTAGAAGGTGTTGCGAGCTTCTTGTGTGCCATCTCCTCGCTGGTGAGAGTGCTTCCAGCAGGTGGGTTGGTTTTTACCTTCTTTGGTTGTGTCTTTGTGCTATCTCCAAGTCCATTTGAAGTAGCTTTTCGTTTCTTGGATGTTGTGGCTTCCAGTGCAGCTTTGGCTCTGGCAGAGATTTTTGGGTACTCGTTTAGCGGTGTTAGACTTGTGCATGGTGACAGCAAGAGTTTGGTGAATTCAAGTTTTGCAATTGTGCTCCTGACTTATGTTGACTTTTCCCGACTGTACATTAGAGTTTGATATATACAATACCTCCAAACTTCATTTGCACTAGGCTATCAATGAAGGCACGGGTATGGCACGGGTCCAGCTTAGAGCGCGGGTCAGGTAATCCTAACCCGCACCTGTACCCGCCAGTACCCTTACCCATTACCCGTGTGGGTTACCCATACCCGTGCTTTTGCCTAGCTATGAGAAATGACGAGGAGGTCAGCAAAAAGGTTCGCATTCGTTCTACCTAGTGTACACTGCTACAATGCTGACGGCTTGTTTTTACAGGCTATGAGACACAGAGACGACACTATCTGGACCAATGGTGAGTGCTCATCAATTATCAGACATCCAAGTACTCACTGCAGTTTGCAATCCCCCACACAGCTCAAGCGATGTGTTTCGTCTTGTCTCGACCCCTGTTCCACATCCACCTCTTCACCCTCTTCCAAAAGCCCAATGAGGCCCCCTCCGTGTTTGCCTCCTCCTCCTCCGCCTCTGCCTCAGCCCGAATGGCAGCATCCGCCCTGGTCACCACATCGCCCCACTGGCGCCTGCTCCCCCGCCCGCAAACCAATGTTTTTGAAGCTGCCATGGACTGTAATCAACACCATCTCGTCAATCTATCATAGCCGGAATGAGTCTTAGTAGTACTTACTTCACTTACGTTACTTGCAATTGAAAAAGCCACTTATCATGCTTGTTTGTCACGTGCTACTTTTCGATCACTTGTTTGTCGCGCGTCTCTTTTCGTTAAACGCGCTCAAGTAAATAATGGCAAATAAGTTGTAATTAAGTTTTAATTTTGCAAATAAGGGCGGCCAAGAAAAGTGTGAATTTACTGATGAGTCTTGTCTGGGATTTGTGAATATCAGGACCAGCATAATGGGGGGATGATGAGTATAGATGGCCTGTTAGAGAGGGATAATGAGTGTGTATCTTCTTCGTGGTTTGAGTGTCTTATTGTATCCCATTCACGTTCATGTCTTCTTCGAGTTGTTAGTGTCTCTGTCCCATTCACACCAAATATACTGTCTGTCGCACCATCATAATAGTATTGAGAATTCACCGTGTTTGAAACATGTGTTGTAAAACATATGAACCATCTATTTTAAACAGCGAGGGTGCCGCACGGCCTCGCGAGGTTTATACCTACCCTCGCGAACCTCTGGGAGTACATAGGCAGTACGCTAAGGAAAGGGCATGGACCTCTTGTGGCAATTACAGGGAGCCTCTATGGAGAGGCATACCTCACAGGTAGGTTTGCTGCAACATAGAAACCCTACCTGATAGATCGTGAGACGGGCGCTAAAGTGCTGCCAAGGGTACTACAACACACCCAGCACTCAGGCTCCGTTGTTTCGAAAGGCACTGGTGAGATTGCCGGGCATTTCGGATATGTTTTAATGCAGTTCCGGGGTTCTACGTTAGGGCAGTTTAAGCTTGACTGTGGCGGTGGTACCTCCACCCTAGTAGGATTGGTAGCGACACTGAAAGTGGTAAGGATTGTGAGGTAAAGGATTTGAACGAGCTTCATGGTATCTGGTAAACTGTGCTTCAGGATATATGGTGTGGACGTGTGAGGGAACCACACACCGCCGACAGAAGTATGATTGTCCAATATACACGAAGTTGCTATGAAAAAAATCCTTGAAAACCTATTGAATGAATGTTGCTTCAATAAAATGGGCATATTCTGACACAAGAGGGCTACTCACTGCAATAGTCGGAAACGCTCGTCCCTCAAGCCTTTTCGACTTGGCCGCGCCGATCTTATACCTGTTCTCGTTCTATACTCGGCGGAGACTCAAGAGAAGACATGCAGCTCTGGTAATGAAATACATATTCTTGGCAATTCGCATGCAAGCCTAGGGCGGGCGACGGTGGTGATGGTTAAACCGAACTGCCGTAGTAATTCAGTAGGAAGGACGATTACCCACGGGTAAATGCGACAGTGACCGCGGGTAATTTTGTGCAACGTCTTCTTACAATTCGAAGGGGCCAAGTTTCCAAACTAATTTCTTGCTGTTCCGTCCTGACGACTAGTGTGTGATCCCGTATTCACCTATATTGTCCATGAAGGCGACTATACGAGGGTCAACCTCAGATTCCTCAAGTGCTGTTGAGGAGCTAACTTACCGCCTTCGGCCTGCTGTATCCTATAATCATCTGTGCTCGGGGGTCAGTGCTCGGTCCGATACATTAACCAACGCCTTGGCACCTTCAATTTGAATTGTCGCAAATTTTGAAGCACCCTCGCCTCATGTGCCATGTCTGACTCGGAATGATCAGCGCTAGCTACCATCGGACGCGCAAGCCGTATGAATATACCTAACTATGCATTGAACAACTTTGCATGTTGAAATCGATACCCTGATTGCACAGGTGCTTCTCCATGCGTCAGACGTTGTTCTGGGCCCAGTGAACTAAGTAAGTATTCTGAAAAGAGAACGAACGATTACGTATTTGCATTTGTCTATGCATATGCCTGCCAGGGCTAAGCTCTTCATAAGCACCGGATTTCGGTGCTGCATGATGGGTGGGAGTACATTCAACGCCATCACTCAATTTATACACATGGTCATCACAAAATTTGTCTTGTACGAGTTGTATGAGGTACCATGCCAGATCAGTACTGTTGCAGCTTCATTTTTACCCACAAATCACCAGCTTGAGCGCACCTTAGACTAATAGGAACGATCACCCCTGGTTCAGAGGCAACAAACTTGGAAAATACAGATCGAGATCGAAATTGGGTGTACATATCGTGTAGGTATACATTCTCAAAGTCTGGAATATCGAAGTGTTGACAACAGGTCACGGTTGCACGTGGCCCGACTGGATGCTAAATGCGAAATCGTTAGATTATCTCAAGAATGCTTTAATCAAGAAAGCAGGAAAACGCACGGAATTGATCATACGCCAATATGCACGAACACTATGCGCTGGTCCAAGGGAATGTCTGTGTCACAAGCCAATGACTGGACCGCTCGGTGCAGCGCTCGGGCAGCTCGTTTGGAACTCATTGTCCCATCCCCGCAAAAGTTTTTGTAGAATGCTTCGACTAAGCGCTGCACGGTATCATCGTTGACCTTCCATAATGTCCCAACCACACTCTTAACTCCAGCGAATTGCAGGCCAGCTGCCAGGTGTACCACTTCATCGGGCGTTGTAGGGTCACCGACTGCGGTTTCACAGGCAGAAAGAAATGCAAATTCATGCAGAGACAGATCCGTTTGTGTGACGTCGAGGAGCGAAAGCGGCTGGTCACGCATAAGGAAGGCTGATTTGAAGGGTTCGTCAAATTTCTGTGTCCCGTGACACGCGAGATGGAGCCAAGTATTGTCCCGCAATGCACATAGCGCTCTTGATTTCGTGGCATCAACGCTGGTTACCTTGGAGAAGGAAACAGTCGGAGGAGGGGGTAAAAGTCTTCGCACCAATTCTAACTCAGGCTCTACAGCATCCAAAGTGAATTCGGCACCCGCTGGGCAATTCTGGCCAATGGCAGCGAAGGACACCGACGCGGACATGTCATGACTTCCGCGAGCCTTTATCAGCGCGGTGAGCGATGGAGTGTATGAAGAAACATAGTACTGCGAAAAGGACTTTCCCTTTGCCCTGTACTCGCCAGCAGCATGCAACGGTAAGAAACTGAAGAGAGACGTCGGGCACCACCATATTCGGGAACCTCGTCGTGCAAATCTGTCCAGAGTCTCGACCACTGGGCAGACGACGGTGTCCCACAACTGTCTCAAATATTTTATCAACGCTGTTTGGTTCCCTTTAGGACCAGCCTCTTTTGTAACCGCCTCTTGGAGTGCGTTTACCAATCTCAGGAGTTTCTCATAGTCCGTAAAGAGTTGAACGCTGGTCGGAGGTTGCTTGTGCAGGATGATAACAGCATGGCAAGATGACGTGCTTGCGATGAGCACGATGATAGGCCCTTCACGAGCTGCATCTTGAAGATCGGAGAATAAGGGAGGAAGGAGGAAGCGAGAAAAGCCCTCGATCTTCCGAATCTCTTCTACAGCTCTATTCCAGTCTTCCACTAGACGTCTGTACCGGGTTTCTTCTGCTTCTACATCGACTCTTGAAGTTTCTTCCAGATAGTTAGCAGGAGGCTTATCGAGGAGAGAGCTGAGATCTCTAAATTTCTTCATCAAGGCCACTGCATGATCACCATGAGTCTGAAGGCTGTCAAGAGGCGAGCGGAGTCGCGTCATCTGGTTCCAGATGACAGTCCTGCCTTGCTCCAACAACTCGACAGCACGACACACGTCACCACTACGAAGAGCACATGATGCAGCGTCCACGGCAAGTGTACGTGGGAAGTCCCTCATGGCTCTATGACGAGACGATACCGAAGCTGTCACAGACATGTAAGCGTCCAGAAGTTGCATAGAAGTTGCACGAGCTTCCAGTTCAGTGCCATGTCTCTGTTCATCAGCATGGTGAACCCAGGATAGACTTGCTCGCACGCGGGATAGCAAGCCTCCAGAGACAACATTTGCTGCTACCTTGTGATGATGCATGGCCACATTGAGACTGTCCGTATCTTCACCCGTGCCAGTACCGTCAAGTCCTGATTGATGGAACAACATATAGACCTTAGCTAGCGACCTGTGGACTCCCAATTGACGAGGATCATGTTGGGTCAACAGAGTCAATGCACAGCGTAATTTCTCTCGTGACTCGTCGAGGTCTTCTCTGTTGTGTTGGTGCTCAAAGCGGGTGGAAAGCCGATTCGCAAGGTTATTTAATGACATAAACCGCTCTGTGTGACCGACCGGGCGCAAGGCTAGTGCTTCCCTGTGAAGTGCGATAGCCTGATCTAAGTCTTCGTCACTGCTTCGGTGATGAAAGCGATAGGAGAGTTGAAGTGCAAGGTTATCTAACGACACAGACCGATCAGTGTGACCCACTGGGCGCAAGGCCAGCGCTTCGCCATGAAGTGCGATAGCCTGATCCAAGTCTTCATCGTTGCCTCGGTGCCTAAAGCGGGAGGAGAGTCGAACGGCAAGGTTATTTAATGAAGTGGATCGCCCTGTGTGACCGACCGGGCGAACGGCCAGCGCTTCCCTATGAAGTGCGATAGCCTGATTCAAGTCTTCATCATTGCCTCGGTGATCAAAGCGGGCGGAGAGTTCAAGTGCAAGGTTATTTAATGAGTTGGAGCGATCTGTGTGACCTACCGGGCGCAAGGCCAGCGCTTCCCTGTGAAATGCAATAGCTTGATCTAAGTCTTCGTCGTTGCCTCGGCATTTGAAGCGGGAGAAGAGTTGAACCGCGAGGTTATCTAATGCTGCACACCGATATGTGTGACCTACTGGGCACAAGGTCAGCGCTTCCCCGAGAAGTGCAATAGCCTGGTCCAAGTCTTCGTCGTTGCCTCGGTGCCGGAAGCGGGAGGAGAGTTGCGCCGCGAGGTTATCTAATGACTTGGACCGGTCTGTGTGACCCGCCGGGCACAAGGTCAGCACCTCCCCGAGAAGTGCAATAGCCTGATCCAAATCTTCGTCATCGCCTCGGTGCTCAAAGCGTGTAAAGAGTTGAACTGCAAGGTTATTGAATGCCCCAGACCGATCTGTGTGACCGATCGGACGCAAGCCCACTGCTTCCTGGTTAAGTGCAATAGCTTGATCCAAGTCTTCGTCATTGCCTCGGCGATCAAAGCGGGTGAAGAGTTCAACTGCAAGGTTGTTTAATGACATGGACCGGTATGTGTGACCCACTGGGCGCAAGGCCAGTGCTTCCCTGTGAAGTGCGATGGCCTGATCTAAGTCTTCATCGTTGCCTCGATGGTGAAAGCGGGAGGAGAGTTGAACAGAAAGGTTATTTAATGACATGGACCTATCTGTGTGGCCCACTGGGCACAAGGCCAGCGCTTCCTTGTTAAGTGCAATAGCCTGATCCAAGTCTTTGTCGTTGCCTCGGTGGTCAAAACGAGCAGAGAGTTGAGTTGCGAGATTCTTTAATGACGTGGGCCGATCTGTGTGACCAACCGGACACAAAGCCAGCGCTTCCTTATGAAGTGCGATAGCCTGATCCAAGTCTTCATCGTTGCTTCGGTGATGAAAGCGGGAGGAAAGTTGAAGTGCAAGGTTATTTAATGACATGAGCCGATCCGTGCGACCCACTGGCAAGGCCAGAGCTTCCCCGAGAAGTGCGATACCCTGGTTCAAGTCTTCATCTTTACCTCGGTGGTCAAAGCGAGTAAAGAGTTGAACTGCAAGGTTATTTAATGACTTGGACCGATCTGTGTGACCCACTGGGCGCAAGGCTAGCGCTTCCTCGTGAAGTGAGATAGCCTGATCCAAGTCTTCGACGTTGCCTCGGTGGCGAAAGCGGGAGGAGAGTTGAACTGCGAGGTTATCTAACGACACAGACTGATCTGGATGACCCACTGGGCACAAGGCCAGGGCTTCCCTGTTAAGTGCGATAGCCAGATCCAAGTCTTCGTCATTGCCTCGGTGATTAAAGCGGACGAAGAGTTGAACCGCAAGGTTAATTAATGGCATGGACCGATCTGCGTGACACACCGGGCGCAAAGACAGCGCTTCTCCGTGAAGTGCGATAGCCTGGTCCAAGTCTTCATCGTTGCCTCGGTGGCGAAAGCGGGTGGAGAGTTGAGTCGCGAGGTAATTCAATGACATGGACCGATCTGTCTGACCCACTAGGCACAAAGCTAGTGCTTCCCTGTGAAGTGCAATAGCCTGATCTAAGTCTTCGTCATTGCCTCTGTGGTCAAAGCGGGTGGAAAGTCCATTCGCAAGGCTATTTAATGTCATGGACTGATATTTATGACCAACCGGGTGCAAGGCTAACGCTTCTCTATGAAGTGAGATAGCCCTATCCAAGTCTTCGTCGTTTCCTTGACGTTCGAAGCGAGTTTGCAGTATTACAGCCAGATTACCTAGCAATTGCCCTCGGCAAGCATGACTAGCGTTGTAGTATCCCAGGGCATCATAATAAAGTGATATCACCTCATCTAGGCCACGAGGTTCGTTTCTCTGCAAACACCACCCTGCTCGATCAAGAAGTTGATCCGGCGATAATGGATGCATGGATGCAGTGGACCGCTCCTGCCCGAAATCATTTCCATCAGTGCTCCCAGCAGAATGCAAAGCGGATGTTTCAATTGCGATCAGAGCGGCTCTGTAAATGTGGCTGTGGGCGTGGCAAACACCGAGGACTGCGATTAGTAACTCTTTAGCTGCATCAGCATCTGTTTGAACTCTCCGTTTCGCGAAGCGAGAGAACAGAGCAATGGCGAGATGGAGCTGAGTAATGGTTCGGTCTGGGTGATCAGTTGGACGCAAATTAAGTGCGCCTTGAAAAAAAGAGATAGATGCGTCGAGGTCGAGGTAAGTTGCGTCAGCTTGGCAACCAACAAATTTTGCGGTGGCTACATTGAACAGTGCGGCAGGGCGGTAGGGATGATTCGTGGGGCAGAGATCCAAGGCGCATTCAAAGTGGTTTATGCATTGGTCAAGATCCCTACTGCTCTGTGTCCTGCGGTATCGTGCGAGAAGATGATGTCCGGCATCCGTCTGTAGTGCTAAGACATCCGTATCGCAGGATGTCAGCTACACATTAAAAGCTCTTAGCATCAGAAGCCGGAATGCATTGATCACTCACAGTAGTAAGGGGATGAAGAACTGCCGCATCGTTTTCGTCAGAGAGTCGCTGCTCCACTGTCATGAACAGCGAAGTACAAGCAGATACGACTTCCTCATGCATGGGTTGAAAGATTATGGCTGTGGTACTTATTAATATCTATCAGGCGTGATTTGTATTAGACAATACTAACGATGTGAATTTGCGCTGCGATCCAGTAATTCTCCGACGGAGATCTCGAATGTGCGGAGGAGTTCTCCGTGACAAAGCATGGGTCCCAACTCAAATGACGCATACACGCTGACCCGAACTCTAGACGTTGGCTCGCAAGGTCTACAGTCTTTCTCAATACATGCAGGACAGACGGAGTTGAAGATAACTTACAGAAGAATGTGCTCGTGCCATTCGACAACAGTCTGGTCTACGTGTACAGATTGATTGCTTGTCTGGTATTCAGCGCTGTCAGTCTTGACCACCGCATGGAATCCAGCAGGAATCCGTCGGAGACCAAGAGTGAGATCAGTCGCGCGAATGGCTTGGAAAACGTGAATATGCGCTTAACAAAAATTGATATAACATACAAGTGATGAAAATTCGTTGCACTCCACTGAGGTGTATCTCTCCCGAGTCCTGAGTGTGTTCTGGGTGGCCTGACTCCTCATCCAATGCTGGGAGGGTATCATCGAGCGGGTCCGATGTGGAATCTGTCATGGAAAGTCATGGGTACCACGTGCTGAGTGAATGTATATGGCACGTACTGTCGATGGCGACCTGTAGCATTTCACAGATCACGAGGCTTGTCTCTCCTGACTCCTGGGGTTCTTCTGGTCGACCCGGCTCCTCGCCTAAGACATCATCGAGCGGGTCTGGCACAGAGTCTGTCGCGAAACAAAACAGGAGATTGATGGTGAAAAAAATTGTTGCTAAAATTGCTTTGGGAAAACATCAATACGTGCTAAATGAAGGCAAATGTGACGCATACTATCGACGACGACTTGTAGCGCTTCGTTGATCACGAAGTTTTTCTGTCCAGTATCCTCAGGGCGCTCTGGGTAGCTTGGACCTTCTCCCAAAGGCGATGGGTAGTCCGAGTCATTGAAATGGCCAGGCACGAATCCTGACATAGTATGATTAAGGGGTGGATTCAAACTAACCCTTGGGAATAAGACGTGTGCTGGAAGTCACGGAAATACTGCAGAACTTCTAAGGTCAGGCCTGTATTGACGTCGTCCGAAGATACCGAGCACAGAGAGAGTCGGGATGCCGAATAGCAGGTACGAGCGCAAGGGATGTGTCGGGAGCGGGAGGAACGGAGAAGGACCTGTTGACGTCGGGACCGAAATGGTCCAAAGTAAATTTTTACCTTCATAATAATCGAGAGCGCTTACCGTATAAATACTAGCGCCCAATCGTTGCGAGCGTCTCAGTTCTTTCTAGAGACTGAGACGTGAGTCTACACCTTTACCGTTATTGTTACACTTAACTGACTTAGCGTAGTTGCTCTTACCTGTTAGGTACATGCTTCGTCAATATCAGTTCTTTCTAGAGACTGAGACTTGCTCTTACCTGTTAGATCCTTTCTATCTCGCTCAACCTCTAATCTCTAGAGGTTATGAGCCCTGCCATGACCGTCGATACTATGCTCCCCGCCAGCACATCCGCCTTGTTCAATGTTCCGAAGCTTGCCGAAGATGGCACGAACTGGATTACCTATAAGGAAAGAACATTGACGGCAATCAGTGCCCGAGGTTTGATGCGATATCTAGATGGTCGTGCATCCGAACCATTACCGTCATAGACGAGAAAACGGGACTCCCGCAGAAGTCCGATGGTTCGACACCTACCGAGAAGGAGATCAATGAGCGCGATAAACTCATGGACGAATACGACCAAAAGAACTCACTGGTCAAGCAACAAATATTCAGTACTATTACTGATCGTCTACTCCTGCGCGTACAGAAGTCCGCAGCTGCCTCAGAGGTCTGGGCAGAGATATGCCAGATCCACGAGGGTAATACTGAGCTCATCCAAATAGACCTGTGATGCCGTTTGCAGGACACCAGGTGTGAGGAGGGGGGAGATGTCAAAGCACACTTCTCAGAAATGCTGCGCTTAAGAGAGTTATTAGCGGGCATGGGTGCAGCGATACAAGACACTGACTTTCACGCGATCATCCTCAGGTCACTCCCAGAATCGTACCGCTCTCTCCTATCGTCTATTAATGCAGCCGCCAAAATCACCAAGGTCTCCTTGTTGTCCTACGAGCTCATCAATGTCACAAGAACATCTAGACGCTTGGGCCCCTACCATTTTTCTCCTGATCCTCCTCGTATCAGCCCTCGCATCATACCCTTACCCCGACCTCACCCTTGTCATCCTCGTCATCCTCGCATTCCCTTTCGCCCTCTACCTGTCGCTTCAGCAAAGCCAGTACATTTGGCCGGATCCTTTCGCTGACGAAGCATACCCATGCTCCGTTTCACCACCTGACTGATCCTGCGGACAGTCCCCTTGCCCTTACCGTCCGGACGGAAACCTATGATATGATGCACGACGCATCCCCTTTGCCCTTTTCCCTTTTATGATCTCTGACTCGATGCGCAGTCGCACATGCGACTTATACTTAGATCCGCAGTTGCACGATCGTGCCCCTGCGCGTTTCACTTCTTATTTCGATCTTTGACTCACTTTCTTATCTAGCACGTTCTACCCAGACCGAACGTGCCTTCCTATTATGGTCTTACCCTTTACCGATTGCCTCTCCCGGTAGTACGAGTTATCACCCACTAATACGCTTCCTGTCCTCTATATAAACTCGCTACCATGTACCATATTCCCTAACTTGAATCTACTTGGTTCTTGACCTCCTACTCTCACCAGAGTGATCCTTCTGCCTCGCCAGCAGTCTATATTCTATCTTCTTATCTGCTCTTCGCGGATAAGCCTATAGTCTCGACCTTTACTCATCGACTTCGTCGACGAGCAAAGCCCCTGTTAACTAGTCGGACTTCTGTCCTTCTAATTAACGACGATCCTTACGATTAACCTTCGGGTGTCGTAAGCCTAGGCCGATATAGCTTATCGTCTCGCACCCGCGTGACATAAGCTACCCGATTTGGACATAGGCGTCAAATCGTACTTGCCGAAGACACGCCAAGTACGACCCCTAACCTTGGGCTAGCCCAAGGACGTCCACAGACCGTTGACGACACAAGCTCTGTTTGAGCGTCGCCAACAGATACCATCCAAGTCGTAACAATCAATATCATTAGTGAAGAATATGAGCACTGCCTCCTCACAGACCGTCGCCCCTCCAAAAGGTCCAAGGACTCGGCACTATCTGCCAAAGAGACCAAGGGAAAAGGCAGGAAACCTTTGTCGTCGAGCTCCAAAGCCGATCCGGACGTCTCATGCTTCAATTGTGACAGGAAGGGGCATTATAAGACAGATTGCTGGAGGAAGGGTGGCGGCAAGGAAGGGCAAGGTCCCAACCAGCAGAGGCGGAAGGACGAAAAGGGGCAGAAGGAGACAGCCAATACGACTGCAGAGGCCGAGAATCAGTACGCATTCATCACCACTGACCTCGCCAGCATAGCAAAACACCTTAAGGTGCCTGCCGAACGACACGGTGCTATCGTCAACTCCGGCGCCACATCCCACTTCTGCCCCAATAGGGCCAAATTCACGAACTTCGTCCGGATCCCCCCGCAGGAGATCCGCACAGCTGATGGCTCCTCCCTGAACGCTACGGGAAGGGGAGACGTCCACCTAGAGCTGCCGCTCGGTGAGAAATGCACCTAGGTCACCCTGAGTAATGCGCTATACGCACCTGAAATGGCTTTTACCCTCATATCCACCCATCGAATCGCTGAGGCCGGTATGGCCGTACTTTTCGAGGGGCACATGTGTAAAGTCTTGTCACATGGCCCCAACCGGAGAGTGATTGTGGAGATCCCGCAGGTAGAAGGTCTGTACAGTGTGGCAACAGGAGAGTCAGCGCCCATGCATCATGCCAACGTCGCAAAAGGGAAGCTCACCATCAACAAGCTCCACAGAGTGTTGGGACATGTGTCCCAAGTAGCAGCAGCCGACGCTGTAAGCAAGGGACTCATTACCGGCGTTAATCTCGATCCAACCTCCAAGACCGAATTCTGTGAGGCCTGCATGAAGGCGAAATTGGTGCGTCAGCCGTTTCTGGATCAGTCAAAATCCCGTGCAAGCGCCTACGGGGAGTTGGTGCATACGGACCTGTGGGGACCAGCCCAGACCGCAAGCATTGGCAGCAGCTTGTACTATATGAGCCTCACTGATGATTACAGCCGTCAGACAAAGTTATACTTTCTGAAGGCGAAGAGTGAGGCGCTCACCGCTTTCAAGGCCTATGAGGCTTGGATGGGCAGGCAAGGACCGGGAGCAAAGGTGCAGAAGATCCGTTCGGATAGAGGCGGGGAGTACCTGAGCACAGAGTTCGACGAACATTTGCATCAGCAAGGCATCGAGCGTCAGCTGACCGTCCACAACTCACCACAGCAGAATGGTGTGGCTGAACGCCTCAATTGGACACTGGTAGAGCATGCCAGAGCAATGCTCCTCGCCAAGGATCTGCCGAAATTCCTGTGGGCGGAGGCCGTGAATTACGCGGCATGGCTGAAAAACCGCTTACCTTCTAGAGCCACCCCCAGCACCACTCCATATGAACTCGTCCGGAAGGCAAAACCCGACCTTGCACAGGCCCACGAATTTGGTGCGAGGGTATACATCCATCTTGTGGATGCCGGGAAGCTGGAGGCGAGGGCAGAGGAAGCGCTGTTTGTGGGGGTTGATATGGAGAGCAAGGCCTATAGAGTGTACTGGCCGTCAAGACACAGGATTTCAGTGGAGAGGAACCTCACCTTTGCATCTATGGACATACCGGTTGCTGAGGATACCCTGAACAAGGGGGAGTCAGCCGTCATGCGGAATGACGAATACAATGACAATGGTAATAATAATACCGCACCTCGCGTTCAGTCTATCCCATCACCTCCTCCTGCCACCTCAGATGATCCCCAACACTCCATTACCCCTCCAGAGCCAAGACCTACGAGGCACAGGCTAGGACCAGGGTACTATGCCACCCTCCATAAGGGGGAGACAGCGACCATAGCAGTGGATTCCCTGTTGGAAGCGTCAGAATTAGATCTCCTAGACAAAGAAAACCATATTCACCTTGCGCTAGCAGCAGCTGAACCCGAGCCCACCCTTCATCAAGCCCTGAACGGACCTGATGCAGTCGAATGGCAAGAAGCAGTGGATTACAAAATTAGTCAACTTGAAAAGCTAGGTACGTGGGAAGTCGTTGACCCACCTCGAGGCACGAATATCATCCCCTGCCACTACGTCCTCGCAATGAAACGTGGACCAGACGGCGAGAAGCTCAAGTTGCGAGCTCGACTGGTTGCTAATGGTCAGAGACAGCGGCAAGGCGTCAACTTCTTCGAGACCTTTGCCCCCACCGCGAACATGACAACCATTTGGACCATACTTGTTACGACTTGGATGGTATCTGTTGGCGACGCTCAAACAGAGCTTGTGTCGTCAACGGTCTGTGGACGTCCTTGGGCTAGCCCAAGGTTAGGGGTCATACTTGGCGTGTCTTCGGCAAGTACGATTTAACGCCTATGTCCAAATCGGGTAGCTTATGTCACGCGGGTGCGAGACGATAAGCTATATCGGCCTAGGCTTACGACACCCGAAGGTTAATCGTAAGGATCGTCGTTAATTAGAAGGACAGAAGTCCGACTAGTTAACAGGGGCTTTGCTCGTCGACGAAGTCGATGAGTAAAGGTCGAGACTATAGGCTTATCCGCGAAGAGCAGATAAGAAGATAGAATATAGACTGCTGGCGAGGCAGAAGGATCACTCTGGTGAGAGTAGGAGGTCAAGAACCAAGTAGATTCAAGTTAGGGAATATGGTACATGGTAGCGAGTTTATATAGAGGACAGGAGACGTATTAGTGGATGATAACTCGTACTACCGGGAGAGGCAATCAGTAAAGGGTAAGACCATAATAGGAAGGCACGTTCGGTCTAGGTGGAACGTGCTAGATAAGAAAGTGAGTCAAAGATCGGACTAGGAAGTGAAATGCGCAGGGGCACGATCGTGCAGCTGCAGATCTAAGTACAAGTTGCATGTGCGACTGCGCACCGAGTCAGAGATCAAGAAAGGGAACAGGGCAAGGGGGGTGCGTTGTGCATCATATCATAGGTTACCGTCCAGACGGTAAGGGCAAAGGGGACTGTCCGCAGGATCAGTCAGGTGGTGAAACAGAGCATGGGTATGCTTCGTCAGCAAAAGGGTCCGGCCAGATGTACTGGCTCTGCTGAAGCGACAGGTAGAGAGCAAAAGGGAATGCGAGGATGACAAGGATGACAAGGGTAAGGTCGGGGTAAGGGTATGACGCGAGGGCTGATACTAGGAGGATTAGGAGAAAAATAGTAGGGGCCCAAGCGTCTAGATGTTCTTGTAACAATACTGACTATAGCGGCTCAGCGCGACTAGGAAATACATCAAGTCAACATCAAAAGTGCATACCTGTATGCGAGCATTCAAGAGGAAATCTACATGAGACCGCGGCCAGGGTATCTGAAGGCTGAGAGGGAGAAGAAAGTGCTGAGATTGAGGAGGAGCCTACCTGGGTTGAAGCAGGCCGGTTTTGAGTGGGCAGGAGAGCTGGCGGGAGTATTCAGTGCGCTGGGGTTCCAACGATCGAAGGTCGATCACTCCATGTACTTCAAGCATACCTTGAAGGAGCACATAGTCGTCACAGTCTCCGTGGATGACATGGCCATTACTGCTAACGACATCTTGCACATCCTACGCTTCAAGACCCAGCTCCAAAAACACTTTGAGATTACGGATTTGGGTGAGCTAAACTGGTTGTTAGGGCTGAAAGTAACCAGGGATCGAGCCGGGCGCACCTTAATGCTATCACAGAATGCCTATGTCGCCACCCTCGTCGACCATTTCCACCTAACCGATGTGAAGAATGTCCAAACACCTATCGAGCCCAGAGCAGGCCTATCCATTGAGCAGTCCCCAGCAACACACGCCGAAATACATGAGATGTGCGATGTACCTTACCAGAGGGCCATTGGCTCCTTGATGTACGCTGCAACCAGCACGCGCCCAGATATAGTGTTCGTCGTATCGACCCTTTCGCAGTTCATGCGGAATCCAGGCAGGCCCCATTGGGACGCTGCCAAACGTGCCCTCCGGTATTTAAAAGGTACGGGGAATCTTGAGTTGAAGTTGAGCAAAGGCGAAGGAGGCCTTGAAGTGTACGTCGATGCGGACTGGGCCTCGCAGGCCCACAGACACTCTACTTCTGGATACATTGTACTCCTGAACGGGGGAGCAGTAGCCTGGAGCGCGCGTAAGCAGCCTATTATTGCCCTTTCCACAGCTGAATCAGAATATATAGCACTCACCAGTGTTGTCCGAGAGCTGCTATACCTCCGCCTACTCCTCGAGGAACTCTATGGCATCACCCAACGTCCCATCCCTATCCATTGTGACAATCAGGCTGCCATCGCACTTGCAACAAATGGAAAATTCCAATCACGCACCAAACATATCGACCTTCGTTATCATTTCGTTCATTCTCACATGAAGGCCAGAACCTTTAAGCTGCAATACTGCCCCACTGATGACAACATCGCCGACGCATTCACCAAGGCACTGGCCCGCCCCCGCTTGCAGAGACTCAGAACCCTGATGGGACTAGCTTGCGCTTGAGGGGGAGTATTGACGTCCGAAGATACCAAGCACGGAGAGAGTCGGGATGCCGAATAGCAGGTACGAGCACAAGGGATGTGTCGGGAGCGGGAGGAACGGAGAAGGACCTGTTGATGTCGGGACTGAAATGGTCCAAAGTAAATTTTTACCTTCATAATAATTGAGAGCGCTTACCGTATAAATACTAGCGCCCAATTGTTGCGAGTGTCTTAGTTCTTTCTAGAGACTGAGACGTTGTCACAACCCAAATAACGAATTAACGCTTGGGTAGAGACTAGGACTCAATTAAGGTTATCAGACAAGAGAGAGAGGAGCAAGTACGTCTTGGATTGCTACAGTGTAGATACAAGAGGTTTGAACTAAAGAACTATCGACCAAGACATGCTACCTATATACAACTATTGAGACAGAGATTGAAACTGAGTTGTAACTACTAGCCAATCATAAAATAGGAAAAGGAATCATACCATAGAACATTGTAGAATGTTAAAGAAGTATCACGTGACCATATCTTATCTTATCATATCTAATCTAATCTATTCACAATCAAAGAACTCGTCTTCTTCATCAGTCACATCGAAGACACGTGTTGTGGGCACTAAAGGAATCTCTGAACTGGTAGATGCTTTCGGGGTAGGGTTAGGGTTTGACTTAGGCGCTGTGTATTGGCGTTTAGGAAGATTTAGGAAAGAATAATGGTTTGTTAAAGGTACTCGTGACAGATGTGAGTCTACACCTTTACCGTTATTGTTACACTTAACTGACTTAGCGTAGTTGTTCTTACCTGTTAGGTACACGCTTCGTCAATATCAGTTCTTTCTAGAGACTGAGACTTGCTCTTACCTGTTAGATCCTTTCTATCTCGCTCAACCTCTAATCTCTAGAGCCTGATGGTTTATAAGTGAAGGAATCACAGAATACATGTGACATCCACGCCATGCGCACGGCCCAGACATTAACAAGAAACGGTGCCACACATAGCGGGCGTCGGGTAGTAAGAGGGCACTGCGAATGGCAATGATGACGTCATGGTTGATGGTGAGCTCGTGACGTTGAGCGTGACAATGTTACGGTCACTAATATTATGTCACCCACAATTCGTCAACGTTCTTTTTCAACATCGATCTACACTAAATTCTATTTTGCCAGCCACGTACGTACGTGTTGTGAGATTCAAGAAGTTGTGTTTTGCCTGTTACCATTGCCCATACTAAGTTGAGCATGCTGAATGCGGCACTGACGGTCCCAAAGTAAGTCAGCTTATTATCTGCTCCGTCAAATCTGTATGCTCAATTTCTGAATCTTGACCTGTTCCAGCTTATCATTATCTTAGCTCACTCGCATCAGTTCTCCGCACGACCCTGACTGACCTATTATTACATACATATATGTTGAATCATGATAGAGCAAGCGAGAATTCGCTATCCCGCAGCTCCCCCCTCACGAGCACGTCTCGGTGTACCATCTGCCAGATATCACTTAAGTAGGAACCCGTCTTCGCGTTATCTCTTCACCTTGGACCATTTCCTCATCTCAACATCATCATGCCCAGCCCGGTCGACGAGAAAGGTGGCAGCCCTGAGAATGATTCTATCACCGTCTACGAACGACCAAAGGGCTTGCGTGGTGTTTACTATCACCCCATAACACAAATCGTCATGCTTGCTCTTGTCTGCTTCTTATGCCCTGGAATGTTTAACGCCCTCACTGGACTCGGCGGAGGCGGACAAGTCAACCCAACGATTTCTGCAAACTCGACTTGTGCAGTATACGCAACATATGCGTTTTTTGCGTTCTTTTCGGGGTAAAAACATTCCATCCATATGACTATCTGGTGCTTAATTTAATAGAACCGTCAACAACAAGATCGGCGCTAAGCGTACTTTGCTCTTTGGAACATTGGGCTACGCGCTCTATGTTGGTTCTTATCTGCAAGTTCTTTTCTTTTCCTGCCGGTTTACATCCTTATGCCTAATCCAGCGCAATTAATATTCACCCTGGCGCTGGTTGGTTCGTTGTTACCTCGGGTGCCCTCCTCGGTGTCACTGCTGCGTTCCTGTGGACCGCTCAAGGCTCAATAATGCTAAGCTACTGTACTGAAGCCCAGAAGGGCATCTTTATCAGTATATTCTGGGCCGTTTTCAACGTGGGAGCAGTCGTAGGAGCTGCCGTGTCCTTCGGGCAGAATATTAAATCAACGGTATGTACTCAGGCGCATTATCAACACCAGCACTTACTACTGCGGATTTAGAACAACGGTGGTAAGTTTCCTTCCTCGTTCTGCCTTCCTCTTAATTCAACTCATCTCCTACCAAGTCAGCAATGGAACATATGTTGGTCCTCCAAAATGCTTTATTGGCGCTATCACTAATCACGATTACTACACAGGTTGGAATCCTTGTTCTCACAATAATTGGGATTACGATCCCTCTTCTGATGGCTGATCCTGACAAGATGATACGCACGGACGGTACGAGGGTCGTGATGCCTCGCCATCCATCATGGAAGTCCGAATTTTATGGCCTGTGGGTTGCAATTATCACAGACCCCATGATCCTTCTACTTTTCCCGATGTTTTTTGCGAGTAATTACTTTTACACATGGCGTGCGTCTCTCTTGATTCCCACTGCTTGAAGTACCTGACCCTCTATGAGCAGAGTTCAACGATTACAACTCGGCACTATTCAACATCCGTGCGAGGTCTCTCAACAATTTCGTGTATTGGCTTTCGCAGATCATCGGCAGTGGGATGATCGGCATCATCCTAGACTCCAGGAGGCTGCGAAGACGTGTGCGCGCGTTCGCTGGGTGGGGTATCCTACTGGTAATGACGTTTGCGGTGCACGTCTGGGCTTATTATTATCAACGGTTTGCATTCTTCAGCACTTGCCGTCGATTCGCAATAATGTTGTATGCAGGACGTACACCCGCGCTTCCATCCCTCCAGACTCGCAAAAGATGGATATTTATGACACGAGGTACCCAGCACATGTCTGGCTCATGATATTTTATGGATTGCTGGACGCAATGTGGCAGACGACGAGCTTCTGGCTCATCGGTGCCATGAGCAATGATACGAATAAGCTGGCTATCTACTCCGGGTTTTGTACGCCTTGTCTCTTATTTCGCCTAGTATGCGAGTCCTAACTAGATTTATTTTACAGACCACTCCATTCAGAGCGCCGGAGCTGCTGGTGTGTGGCGAATGGATGCAATGGGGCTTCCGTAAGTTTTAGTCACTCGACCAATCGACCTGGTTCGAAAGTTAACCCTGATCTTGAAGCTACATGAACATCTTCCTCTCTACGTGGTGTCTAGTTGTCGTTGGTCTTGTGTCTAGTTTGCCGGTGATCTACCTGCGCATCAGAGATACAACTGTGCTCGAAGACGAAGGCTTGTACGTAACTCTTCTTCCTTCGTGTGTCTGTCTGCAGTTGCTAATCTGTGCCGTGTGCAGAATGCAGAGAGATCAGGAGATCGAGATGAATATCAATATGAAGGCGAAGGAGATGATCGAGAGCGAGATTGAGATGTCATGAGCACCTTGGAGATATGATATATACTCATGATCATCACGCAGGTCAAATTGAAAATCAAGCTGTTCACCTGTAGACGTTGGAATTCATCCACCATCGTTCGGCTTTGAGCCTTTTGAACTCATTGGAACACGGTTGATGTCCTACGGTTTCAGTAGCAAAACACAATGCACGGATCCTGTATCATGGGATGCCACCTATTTCAGAGGGCGTCTCACATCCCGAGTCCCGACATGCTCCTGTTTGCTCTTAGATATTCTAAGGATCAATCATCTGGAAGACCTTCGAAAGTCAAGCTCACCTCCATCTACATAGATCTCTGACATCATTGTTTTTCAGTTAGACGGGTAGGGAAGAGCGAAATTCTGTCATTACCGCTGTATTCTGATCATTCCTTATAGTTCATGTCTCTATCAACGTTCAGATTTGTTGCGTAATCCTTATGCTTTATCGTACGAACGATCGAACAGTTGCTTCGTGTCTGTGCGAGGGCATAATCAGTCGCTCGGTGCAGATAGATAAGAGATAGACGCCGTGTGTATTTGTTGTGTCGAAGCTATATGATAGAAGCCCCTTGCTTCGTGTTCAATCGCTATCATAATTTGCCACGATCTCGTTCTGTACCGCGGTACAGCTTTCACGATAAACGGAATCACCTCTACTTCAGGATGCACATCAAGATCTCCCAATACCAACCTTGGATGCCCAGGAAATCAGAAAAATAATCGAGCGCTTTCGAGTCCTGATCTTAGGGAGAGCAAACGCAGGCAAAACAACCATTCTTCAGAAGGTCTGCAACTCTACGGATGAACCAGAAATCTATGATGTCAAAGGAAACAAGGTGCGGGTGATGATCTATGCCATGCACGCGTCTATCGCTGATCAATTGTGGGTAGATCGATGCGGATGTCGTGAAATCCTCGATCAAGGTGTGTACATCATTTGCCGTGCGGGCATACATGTACTGACGGGTTCTAAGCGTGGAAATCACAATATCGCAAATGAGATGGTGTTCAAAAGCAATCCCAGTTTTGTCTTTCACGACTCTTGCGGTTTCGAAGCGGGCTCTAAAGAAGAGTTCGAGGACATGAAGGCATTCATCTCAGAACGCGTACACGCGAAGAAGATGGAGGAGCGAATCCATGCCATCTGGCAAGTAACTACCTTCTGACAGTTCGCGCTTGTTGATTGCCATCAGGTATTGTATTCCGATGGACGAACCGAGTCGGACATTCCAGCGGTCCGAGGAGAAGTTCTTTTTGGAGTGCGACACTGGGCATGGTGAGCTTGCAACTTCTTCGTCGATTGCTATGCTCAGACTAAATCTTCAATCTTCAGTTCCCGTGGTCGTGGTGTTCACCAAGTTCGAAGCGCTGCGTCCATTCGCATATGGTGAAATCAAGAAGCAACTAAAAGACTTATCCGCAGAAGAACGCTCAAAGAGGATTGCCCAACGTGTCGAAGAACTGTTCACCAAAACAGGTGTCTGTGATCGGTTGTGCGACTCTAACAACCGCACCCGTCCTAAGTTTCTAGTACGCCTAGAGAGTAAGTGGTTCAGATTGAGTTGCCCCATATCAAAACTGATATTAATCACCGTCCTAGGTATGAACAAGCTGAATACAAACTGTAACGCTCTACTGGAGCGCACCGCTTTCGCACTGGACAATGAAGAATTACGATTGTGCTTGGTATCGACACAACAATCAAACTTGGAACTTTGTATAAAGTGTGCCGTTGCGTGAGTCGCAGATTTTCAAGTCACATGCTTTTGTTCCAATATCATCTAGAACACTTGTTGATCATTCACAAGAGATATTCGGGCTACTTCGAATTAATAATAGAGCCTATCAGTATGACATTGCTAAGTGGTTTCCTCATCTCAACGTAAGATAAATATTCATTCAATGATCTGACGATTCCCTGGTGATGGTGCTCACGGATGGTAAAAATTGAAGTGCTGAAACTGTAGACCTTCTGATATATGTTCATCCATTGTAGTTGCACATTGGTAAACAGCTGGTGAGATTGTGGTTTACGAAGTTCGACCAGCATGGACAATGCTGATGCATTGTTCCTGCCCGCTTGTTGACAGTCGGTAAGTGCCTTGATTGATTGTGGTCCTCGACACGTGCTCATGATCTCTATACCTCGCTCCTCGCCTGTTGACAGGTGGTAAGTGCCTTGATTGTGTCTAGTCCTTGAACAGTGCTCATCATTCCCATCCCTCGCTGCTGCTCGCCTGTTGACAGCGCGTAAGTACCTTGATTGTTTGTAGTCCTCGACACGTGCCCATGATGTCCATCCCGCACTGTTGCTCACCTGTTGACAGGAAGTAAGTGCCTCTATTGTTTCTAGTCCTCGACCTGTGTTCATCATTACCATCCCTCGTTACTGCTCGTCTGTTGATAGCGGGTAAGTACCTTGATTGTTTCTAGTCCTCAACCCATGCTCATGATCTCCATCCCCTGTTGCTGCTCGCCTGTTGATAGTTGGTAAGTGCTTTGATTGTTTCTAGTCCCCGGCCCATGCTTATTATCCACATCCCTCGCTGCTTCTCGCCTGTCAATAGTGGGTAAGTGCCTTGATTATTCGTAGTCTACGAGCCGTGCTCATGATGTCCATCCCTCGCTGCTACTCGCCTGTCGACAGGAAGTAAGTGCCTTGATTGGTTCTGGTCTTCGACCCGTGCTCATCATCCCCATCCCTCGCTGCTGCTCTTCTGTTGACAGGACGTAAGTGCCTTGATTTTCTTTGTGGTCCTCGACCCGTGCTTATGATGTCCATTCCTCGCCGCTGCTCGCCTGTTGACAGGTAGTGAGTGCTTTGATTATTTGTAGTCCTCGAGCCGTGCTCATCATCTCCATTCCTCGCCGCTGCTCGCCTGTCGACAGTACGTAAGTTTCTTTATTATTTGTAGTCCTCGACCCGTGCTCATCATCCCCATCCCTTGCCGCTGCTCGCCTGTTGACAGCGGGTAAGTCCCTTAATTGTTGGCAGTTATATATCCGTTCTCATCATCCCCATCCCTCGCTGCTGCTCGCCTGTTGACAGCGTGTAAGTACCTTGATTGTTTGTAGTCCTCGACACGTGCCCATGATGTCCATCCTGCACTGCTACTCGCCTGTTGACAGGAAGTAAGTGCCTTCATTGTTTCTAGTCCTCGACCCGTGCTCATGATCTCCATCTCTTGCCGCTGCTCGCCTGTTGACAGGGGGTAAATGCTTTGATTGTTTCTAGTCCCCGACCCGTATTCATGATTTCCATGTCTCGCTACTGCTCGCCTGTTGACAGAACGTATGTACCTTTCATTGTTTCTCATACTCAACCCATCTGACAATCGTTGCTGCTCATATATTGATAGAAGGTAAGTGCCTTCGTAGTTTTCTGTCCGCCACACATGTGGACCGGTCTCACATCTTGTTGTTTTGTTTGTTTTGGCAGGTGGTAGGTGTCTTGATTATATCTTGTATTGAAGTGACACTGAATAGTATAATGATGGTAACTCATTTTCATAGCCTGATGTAAGTATCTTCTATTCTATCACATGAGTCAGACCACCATTACTCATATGATGCGTAGTTCGTTGAGTATTCCTCCTTGATAAATTATCTTCCACGTTTACTCATATTGCGTATTGTCCTGCTCCGTGCAGAATGTAAGTCATTTGACCATCATAATGTGAGGGATTAAATGTATCATAATTTGTTTGCTCTTTAACTCCATAGGATGTGCGTGTGTTAAATGTTTCGATCGCTAAGGAATTTAGCCACGTGATCCCTTGTATTCATCGTGTGCTCGCAGAATGTGTGTTAATCATATCCTGTCTGATATGGTGGTACTCCGCTGACATACAATCTTATTTTAGCTCGTACGTCTATGGATGGCAAATTTTCTAGTGATACTCATCTGGTTCCAACCCCTGACAGTTTGTAAGTTACCTGAGCACCGCAGTCATTAACAATCCGGTGGTTAATTATTCGCAACTGTCACTTCAACCAAATAGAAGGTGCGTCTCTGTTATTAATCAAATGTCAATATTTGCCACCTCATAATCCTGACATTCCTCTCCTGTAGGAGGCAAGTACTTTACTCTGTGGGGTTGATTCTGATCCCCACACTTTCAACCTGTGGCTAGGCCTGGATCAAGCGAGATGACATCATCCGAGTTCTTCAGCCTTTGGTAAGTTGCCTTTCCTCTGCGCTGATTCTCAGCACTGTAAGAGTGTACAACAGGCTGCGAAAGTATCATTGTTCACTTCTGCTGGGAACATAATTGTTCAGACCGGCGTTGGTTAGTTTCTCACTGCATGACTAGTTGTAATCTTAATGACAGGATGCAGCTACTATTATCGTCCTCGAGTACTCCGCCTTTCTCGCGAACAGCTTGGGGCGCATCGAGTCTGCCGTAGACTACTACCTGAAATCTTCGACAGCTGTCGCAGTGGAGAAAGGAGTGGAAGAGATTTCTCGTCAAGGCTACGACAAAGAGGAACTGGAGAAGAAGATTCTTGAGTTCATCTTTGAAAATCGCTTGTGTACGTCCCCTAGCCTTGTTGTGAATCTGAAAGTCGAAGCTTACTGGCAGCCTGCAGCAAAGGAGTTGACAGAAAAGAAGTAGATGATGCTCGAGCCAAGTTTCTTGTTTTTGATGCATCTTTTCATGCTATGCCGATGCTAGTCGGCAGCCTGTGGGGAGTAGTCATGTACATGAAAATCTGGGAGACCGCATTGAATTTAGAACAGAGAAATTATCCAGAAGGCAATCAAAGCATTATATTATTGGCTGGTAGTTGAACATAACTTTATCGTCTCGACGATGGGGAAGATTTCGGACAAAAAACCAAGATGGCAGAAAATGGCGCGGACGTATCGAGGCATTGAACCATCGTGAAGCGTAAGTATGCTATGGACACGACAAGGTAGCGCCTGCATAAGTTGAAGTCGGATGGGAAACGAGGCCAGATACGAGCGATTGTGAATGAGAAACATTTTCATGACAAGGGACGCACCACCAAGTTGTCCTACGACTGCTCTGCGCGGTTCCTATCATTATTCCGTACGTCATAGAGGGTGAGTGAGTGTGTTCCGCGTCTTTGTCTGCGACCCCAAAAAAAACGTTTTTAGGTGTGGGCCACCGGGATCAGGACAGACGGCGATGTAGCTGAAGACCGTATGGATGATTTCTCCATATTGATAGGCATGGTAGGTGTGGTCACTGATCTATCTTTGATATGTGGATTAGCGACACCTGCTAGAATGGAAACGGGTACTCGTGCAGTCACTGCTTGTAGGTGACCAAGGACCAGATGACTTTATGAACATGTCACTGAGCAAACTTTGTGGGTTTACATACCCAATCAGCACGACGGGGATGCGAGAACAATGACAAGACTTACGCAGGCTGGACTGCTGAATACCACCATATTGACATGTCTCAGAGTCGGCCTCAGTGAATCGGTGAACCTACCCATGACATGGTTCGAAAATCCACGCTCAGCCAGGTTTTCTTCGAAGCAGGACCAGGCTAGATCGCTGTCGTGTTGAAAGTACAGCCACAAAGCGCTGCACATCACGTGCTTACATGTTGGGATGTTAGACCAAGCTGGAACGCTATCTTTGGTGCGGGTATTTTCGTTAGGGAAATCAATCGTAACTCACCCACCCGGGCCATACTACCAAGTCGAACATTCAAAGTCCACCTTCTAATGATATTGCGCTCGTGAACTCGCTGCCCAAGCAACAGCCCTCCTCGATACTCCAGATGACTACACTTTGACGTCTTTAAACCTCGGTGCAGGTCTCCGTCATTACCCTGAAAGCACTTGCGCTCGGCAAACACTGGCGCTAAGCGAAAACCCTGTTGGCAGTAGACGTGGCATAGTCAAATTGATCGGGCAGATGATGATAAGCCCAAGGGGTTCGTGTGGAGAGTAGCCGAAAATTGGGAGTTGAGCCGGGCCACACTGTCGCCGGCCATGCTATCGCAGCCAGCAAGATACCTTCTTTGTCTAACACAAATTGTTGTGCTTCCCTTTGTATATTTGGTCCTCCTAAAACACTTCACCTTCGCCGTCGTCGCTCATCACGATTACCATCCAGGTCGGAATACTGGTTCTCAGTGTGATGATCCTCATGCTGATATCGTCGCTCGGAGTTGGGCTTCAGGTTAGTTGTCTGTCGTCTCATGACATATATAGCAGTTTGGGAAAATGTGTACAAATACTACGTATCATAATGTGGTACGTGGAATAAAATAAATTGTCATTCGAAGGCCTTTGCGGTAAATTTAATCCGCCTAGCGATATCTCGGAACTTCCACAATGTTACTGCCATTACCAATATGAAGACCTTCCTCTACAGTCGTGGAGACGTCTCTATAGTCAGTAGATTTAAGCCCCTCGTTACGCATGTGCTGGGACGTGAATTCGATGTCGGAGAAGTGCGGTGATTGGATAGCGGTTTTACTGGAAGATGCTGTGGATAATGCGGAGCTAATCCAGCCGTGACCCTGGGCCTCGCGGAATATGATCAATAATGGGGCAATGAGCTGTAAAAAGTCAGCGTTAAAACTTGAATGAACGTGATGATACTGACTTGTGCCTCTCCAAGTACTTGCATGAATACGTTCGCAACGGGACTTTTTGTCGCGAATGGGATCAGGAACAGTAAGGAGAATGTGGAGTAAATTGCAGCGCTCTCGACGATCATCGACTCAATACTGGTGTGTTCCGCTACGTGCCCAGGACCTAATAGTGCTTGTTTCCTTTGGAGACGATAGAAGTATAGGCGAAGTACGATTAGGATGGTGACGATGATATTGGTGGCAAGTTCGAAAAAAAAGTATGGAAGAGTGAAATTCACACTCGTGCCAGCAGCAGAGTATGGCGATGATAACGGTGATGAGATCTGGTAGAGGAAGAGGATGCCAAGCCCTGAGGAGAGTTGAGGACATATGAAAGCGTAAAAGTGTAGACTATTTACCGAAAGATCCGATGAGCATGGTCCCTAGCATCCCGATGATTGGCCATGGACAATTTCCACAATCACGGTATATGATCATGCAGCGCCAGACCTAAACTTGTGAGGAATGGTGATATGACCGTCTCGACCGAAACTCACCATGAGGGCTGTAGCACACCAATCCGCCAGGACGAAAGAGACATTGGCTATCTCATCGACACTGATGGAAAACATCTCGACCTCCCACGCACTGGGACCGCCTGGAAAATTTCGATCGTTTATGAAAGCGAGCTGGGTGAATTGGGAGTTGGAGCCCATGAAAAGCGATCCTAGGGTGAACATGACGCAGACATAGACAAGAAAAAAACAATTCCTATTGTAATCTGCATCCTTCACTCGTATACGGCGCCATAATGACTGCAGACAGAGCCAGAAAAGAGCAAGGACGACACCATAGCCGACGCCGGTCATGATGCTACCAGCCAGCCACGTTTTCTCGGCATAAAGCTGAGCAGGGGACTCGTCTGGTGTGTTGGACATGGCGAATGCCTGGTAGCGGGGGTTGACTGAGAAATTTGAAGAAGAAGCCCAAGAGAGACATGAGCTTGACGACCGACGGAGATCATGAAGAAGGCTGCGCTGCGCTAGTAGATTTTAGGTAAACGCGGCTCCATCAGACTAGTCTAAAATTAATTAACCTTCGAAGATCGGTTCCGCATGAGCTTGAATTCAAGCTTGAAGGACCGTACTCCTACTACAACTCAGCATTCAGACCCTCTCATGAAAAACACCTGCGATACTTACTGACCTGAAGCACAACTGAAGGATTGTTCTTTCTTTTGGTCCTCGGCCGCGGACAGCCTCAAAGCGCGGATATCATGAACCGACTCTTCTCCATGTCAAGCCGTCCATCAATGTTTAGACAGGTGACGCCAGGTGACCAAATTGCCCTCGTAATTTTCGAGTCCCTTTGATACACAAGCAAAATCACCATCGCTGGCCTGTGCGAGAGTCGTGAAGTTGCTGGGAGGACACTGGTCTCGGTACGTGTGTTATTGTATATATTCTCGATGTATGAGACTCAGGCTCGGACATATCGACAGAAGTGATGTTTAGACAATAAGGCCTTGTCACTTCGACACCGGCCACGTTGATGCCATCTGACTCTCGAGGACTTCCGAGTCCAATCGATATCGACCGGTCCACCATTGTACACGCATCTTTGACCGATCGGCTCATGACTTCCCTCGAACCCTCCGAAGCGCTTCGACAGATCATTGATGATATACTAGTCGCGGCAAAGCTCAAACACGGCGAGATTCTCCCAGCTTCGGATGGTACACGATGCAGGGCATCATTCATCAAGCCCTCGAATTTCCTTGCCCGTAATGAGTTTTGTTCAGAATTTGAAATGACTTCTCAGCCTGAGGAACTGTTTTTCCAGGCGTTCAACTTCAAGTATAAAGCGTTCAAGGATGGATCGGCGGTTGTTTCGTCACGGTACGACTTATGACCATGACTAGATATGCAGGCATCGTGTACCACTCCCTGGACCAAGATATCCTTCATTTACCACTTCAAGAGGTCGATGTGAGAGTATGGATGGTCGATGGTGAGTTGGAATGGGATCCACGTTTACCACTAATCTATACTCCTCTCATAGTCTCTGCAAGGGTCATGCTGTCTCAAGTCTTCGAGAATGAGTCAGAGAGCCCTACAAGCCGCGCAAAATACGTGTTCCCTCTTCCAGCGAGCGCTGCCATTTGTGCCTTTGAGCTCGAACACGGCGACGGGCGCGTTATGACTGGTATTGCAAAGGAGACGTCAGAAGCCGCAAGAGTTTTTCACGGCGCAGTGGATGTTGGAATGTCTGCGAGATCAGTAGAAGGTGTGTCGCGCGATCGAGCGCATTAATACGATCCTGGACGGATTCTGACTCGACCTTGATCTAGTTTTCACTATTTCAGTTGGTTCCATTCCCGCCCGGCAGAAGGTTACAGTAAGGTTGACAGTGAGTCCGCTCTCAGTTCGTCGCAAATACTTTGTTTGACGAGCCAGTAGTTTGTGATGGATCTTTTAGATGAGGCAAGACCGGATCATATCTGTCTACAGCTTCCAATGACCGTTGCTAAACGATACGGCGAGACTCCGGCAGACTTTCTCGATGCATCCACAGCTAACGGAAGGATGCGTGTTCATATCACTGTTGACGTCCAAACCAGCGATGTGATACAGGACATACGTAGCCCTACCCACCGGATTTTGCCCGTACGATACAGGATACACGCAGCAACAAAGTGTGAACGACGGATGTCCATAAAATGGTCATCTACGACGTTCCTGGACCAAGACTTCGTGCTGACGGTACACGCTCTCGGACTCGACAAGCCTCGGTGTTTTGCCGAAGTCCATCCCCAGCGTGCGGATACAATTGCCATGCAGCTCTCTTTCGTACCGAAGTTTGAGATACCTCGCGTTACATCGCAAGAATTCATATTTGTTGTTGACTACAGTTCGAGCATCGAAACAACTAATCGCACGCTGGAAATGCTCCTTCACCTCTTGCCAGACTCGGATACGACATTCAATATCTACAGCGAGATTGATGGTATGTGGGAGACGAGTATGCCATTCAACGACAAGAACATGCAGTATGCGGTAATCATGTTCTGTCACCGTCAAAGGCAACTAGATATTGAGTGAGTTATGCAGATCTCGAATATTCAAGCCATGCACATCAACGATAACGGAACGGAATTTGCCCGCGTCCTTCAGCGCGCGGTCGCATCTCGTGATCTCAATCGCCCGACTGTCATATTAGTTCTTACTGGTGGCGGCGCACACATTGGAGTGAACCACCTTCAGACAGAAGGCATGTTTGCGCGGTGTCGTAGAGTGGTCACGCAGGTCTTGTCCAGAGTCAAGCGCTCGAGGCCGTCGTCCCACTCAAATGTGCGTCTGATGCTGGCTGAGGCTCTACTCGAACTGATGATGAGATAGTCATCCACAGACCTTGATCCATTTGAGGTCATCTCGGCAGCTGTCGATAACTGCAGGCCAAACGCACCATTCAGGCTATTCACCCTGGAGATCGGTGAACATGTCGCATCGGCCATGTGCGAGCGCCTCGCTCGCTCGGGCGGGGGTGAATGTTTGTTTGCAGTTCAAGCTGAAGACATGATTAGGAAATGTGCAAGGCTTCTGAATGCTGGTCGGACGCGCGTAATCGAGAGTGTCATGGTTGACTGGCATGGTTCGGGCGACCCACCACCCGTCGACTTCTTACTCTCGAATTACGATCACTCGCTTCCACCCAGTCACGTACAGCAGGTTCCACATAGGATCACGAAGGTATACCCCGAGACGTGCTTGAATATCTTCGCAATCACCACTTTTCGATGGATCCCGTCTGAAGTCAGGTTGCGTGCCAAGGTTGAAGGTTTGGCTGAGGTACTCGAGTTCGTGGTACCAGTCACGGTAGTGAAACAGCCGTTCAAGGATGAACTCAAGGATGAATTTCCGCTCCTCCATACTTTGGCTGCACGAGAACTCATCAAGCACCTGGCAGGGGTCAGAACACCAGTTCCAATATCTAGGGCACCTACCATGAACGAGGAAGTTCGAAAAACGGCAATTGTCCACTTAGGACTTGAATACCAACTTGCGAGCGAGTATACATCCTTTGTTGCCATAGAGTCGACAACATCACTTGAAAGGTCTCCGCGGCAGCATTACTATGCATCTCCACCTAGCATCACGAGCGACGCTGCTGAAGATGATGCTTTCAGAATGGATGTGACTATGGTGCAGACGGTTTTGGACAACTTGCCTTGGGCGGTTGATGCAGTGTTCAGCTTTTTCACCCCAGATGTCGCTCTGACACACTCGAGACGCCAAAGCTTGATCTCTCACACGTATCATTCCACTGCACAATCACGTTCGAGCTCACTGTCTAGTCAACACGCACGTCTATTTCATCACGATGACTTGAGCACGGAAACGTTCTCCACATTGAGTTCATTGGAAGGCTCTTCTACCAACTCTCGATGGGCTCATTCACGGTCGTCCAGCCCACCACGTTCTTCGGAATACTTAATCCAGCGCATCCCGTCGCCAGTATTCAATCCAATCGGTAACGCGCGTCGGAGAGTACGACTGCCGGGACGTGCAGTAATATCCGACTCTCCCGTGCCCAAGGAAGTGTTCGATCTTATCTTGCTGCAGGGCTATGACGGCTCATTCAGGCAGTCACCTCAATTAGAGATGATGGTGGGCTTGGAGATCCTGGAAAAGGCGGTAGATTTACGGGTCAATGATACTATATGGGCGACTGCGGTCGTTGTGGCGTACCTGAGACATCACCTGGGTGCGCAACCAGATTTGTTGCATGTTTTGGTGAGCAAGCCTTTGGAGTATGTTGAGGGAAAGGGAAGGAGATTGCTGGCCGGACGAAGATTTTCGGATTTGGTGGCGATTGCGGGACGTTCTGTGGGTCAGTGATTGTTTGTTATGTGGGGCAAGGTTTTGCAGTGTCGAGGCTAGCCAGATAGCAGTTGTTTTGTTGCGTTCAGCAGATTTCATTGACAGGCCAGATCCCACTAAGGTACCTTGTTTCTCAGTCCAACTGCCACAGGGCAATGTTCTTGTGCGGTTCGTAGAAAAAAAGAAGCATGCACATACGCATGATACCGAGCTACGCAATGTTGCAGTGCCACTGCGTCCACCTCGTTCGCGAAATATCCTGGCTCGGTCCACTCAAGGTCGACCATACGCTTCACAAACGAGGCTTGCCGGAGGACCTAGATCCACACATCGACTCTTGACTACGATCAACGTTGAGAGTTTACTCACAGCACCAACCAAATCGAGTGAAAACACCCTGTCGTCCGTGTAGGCACCCATGATCTTATTCAACCTGTCCCTCGATTGAAAAAAAAAAACATATTCATTGTAACAAAAATAGGACATACAATCTTGTGTTCAAATGCTTGTTCAGCACGGTATGCATGAGCGCGACGTCATACTGGAAGTGTCTTAAAATATGGCCAATGTGATCAGTCGCCTTACGTCGGAAAGTGAAATCTGAGCGAAAAATGCGCTCCTTGATTGTGTCTCCGCGTGCAGTGTTGTGTATTTTCTGTGTTGTATGAAGAGTCCCACTGTATAAATGGAATTATATCAGATGTCGTACAGGATGGTCAGCAACACGACACCCACGCCAAATATTTATCAGGTGCTTCTTGTTCGACTATATTCTTCACTAACTTGTAAAGGCCGAGATGTTCTTTAGTAATCCGCCGAGAGCATCGACACGTGATACTAAAGTTGCTCTGGGCGTATCCTTTTCCATCGAGCTGCAAGAACGCTACAGCTGGTTGTCAGAATAGATTCCCATGCAATGCGGGCGCAAGGGACATACGTGAAAGAATAGTACAACGACAGTAAGGGCACTCGATAGATTTGTGCATTAGAGCCGCAGCAGATGCAAATGGGTCATAGGGTAATTGAGTACTGCGCTCCCATGCAGAAACACGCTCGTGTTGCGGTGAGTCAGTAGTTAACAAATCAGGGTTAGCCTAGCATAACATTCAATGAGCTCGGGACATTATTCCAGGTGTTGGAGCGCACGAGAAGGTGAGGAAAGTGATCAGTGAAGTGAGCAAGAGGCTTGAGCTTGGAGATCCGTGTGGTGTCTTCCGCATACCAGCTACGGATGGGACCGAAAAACGTAAGGTTCGCTATTTCCCAGGAATAAAAGACATACTTGCCTCGGATTTAGGAGATAGGTGTGCCAAACCATAATCACATCAATCGGAGGCAAACGTTGCTCCATTATATCAGTTTGCTTGATTATCAAACACCACTTCTCAAACCTGCTCCACCAGTGCAGTGAGTTAATAGTGCAAGTGAACGTAGAATGCTAGTAAGGCCCGCACCGTTCAACGGCCAGATTGACGAACCATACCCAACGTTTCTCGCTGTCCAACTCTAGTCCCGCGGTAAGGCTCTCGCTAGCAACGACCCGCTGCTTAAGATGGCTGAATGCCGCCAGAAGCTGAAGATGGGCCTTGAGCTGATCTGGGCAGATGAGGTGCCGCGTAATATGTTGTCCAATCCTGAAGGTCGTTGGAAGAGTATACTGCGGTGGTTCGAGCTCTGGCTGGAGAAGCGTAGGGAGGTGCTCGGTCATGCTGTAGACTGCTGTGTACGTGGTTTGTATGAGTTTATAGCAGATGCGATGATATGAGTCATTGCTTGGTAGCATGTGCTAACGCGTATTAAGTTGGCATACTCATTTCTGTTGCAAGGTGGCCATGGGTGTTCTAGAATTTGGCCGTATTAGTGAAAGTGGCAGAAGATCGGGCTTGAGCGCTTGAGCTGGAACGTTTCGTGCCATAATGACTCGGAAAGCTGAAATAAAAGTGCTTCTAGTCTACCTGCTTCCGATGGAAATGGCATGCGGCCGTGTGAGAGTCCAGATCAAGTTGAAAGATAACCACATGTACTAAGCACTGCTGTGTGATCTGGGTGATGATCGATGGTCCTGGCAACGTCTGATGTTCGCGTTGTGGTACAGCACGTGACTCACCTGGGCTCTGCTGACCACCGTGACCACTGTTTTTGCAGCGTTTAATTGACAACCTGGTAAAACGAACGTCATGATGATAAAATGCCGGGATTGTCAAAGAATCTACTACTCAGCCATCCTCTATGGGTGCCGCTTGGTTGGATGACTTGTGGCAGAAAGTTGTGCATGACATAGTACTCCTCCAGAGTGACTACAGGCTGCGTGTTGTCCTGACGAGCATCAACAACGTCATCAGTCTTCATGCCCGTCTGTTTCAGCATTGGAGCATACCAAGCCAGTTCTCGAATTCTCATGATTGAAAATGAGAACGGACAACGATCATTTGACGAGTCGACATAAGACAAAACAAAACTCGATATGATGAGATCTTAAACTCGATATGTACTGTCTGCAGCTCAAACTGGAGTGCTGGGTATAGTACATGACGTGGGGAGGAGCATCGGAAGCAAGGAAACATAACAGTCTGCGCCGCTCAGAAACTGAAGTTGACGCTCTTGGTATCATAAACAACACAAGTGCATAGCACGAGAGAGAGAAAAAAAAGGAAACTTGGCTCGAGCATCATTTACTTCTTTGCTGTTAGGTCTTTTGCTGTGGACTGTTAGTAAACTTTAAGATCTAGGTTCACAGCAATGCGAGGGACGAACATATGCGATGCTGAAGGATAAAGTCAAGAATCTTCTGCTTCAATTCCTCTTTCTTGTAGGTTTGATGGGAAATCTCTTGCGCTCCTTTCTCTACTGCTACAACCGTCGGAGATTTCAGGTAGTAGTCTACGGCAGACTCGACGCGCTTCGAGGTCTTCAAATTGTTCGGGAGAAAAGCGGAGTACTCGAGGACGATGATAGTAGCTGCTTCCCGTCATTAAGACCACAGCTGGTCATGTAGTGAAAAACTGACCGATACCCGTCTGAATGATTCTGTGCGCAGCAGCAGCGAACAATGATCCCTTCGCAACCTGATGCACACTCATAGTGTTGAGAATTAATGCAGAGAAAGAACAACCTACCAAAGGCTGAAGGACGCTGACAATGATATTTCGCTCGATTTTGGCCTAGCCACAGGTTGAAAGTATAAGTATCAAAATGAACACCACAGAGCGAAGTACTTGCCTCCTGCGGGAAATGAATGTCAGAATCGTGAGGTAGCAAAATGACATTTGATTAATAACAGAGACGTACAATCTATTTGGTTGACGTGACAGTGGCGAGTAATCAAACTTCAGGTTGTAGACGATGGCTGCTGTGCTCAGGTAACTCACAAACTGTCAAGGGTTTGAACCAGACGAATATCACTATGCGATGGTGAATATATGCCAGCCATGGACGTACGAGCTAAATAAGATCGTTTGTCAATGGAGTGCTATTGTATTAGACAGTATATAGTGAACCCACATCCTACAATCACGTGACGAATACCGGGGGTCATGAGCATAGAATCCTTAGCGCTTGAAACCTACTCACATCCTGTAGAGTGAAAGAGCCAGTTAAAATAAATTGAAACTTTATGCATTACATTGTAATGGTCAAATGACTCACATTCTGCACGGGGAAAGGACGTATGCGAGACGAATGAACATGGAACATGAGCTATCAAGGAGGGATACTCAACGAACTATACATTATATGAGTAATGATGATTTGACTCGGAGAGAATAGAATATGCTCACATCTGGCTATGAACATGAGTTAACACCATCATACTATTCAGTATCATCATTTCAATACAAGATATGATCAAGACACCCACCACCTGCCAAAAGACAACCGCAAGATGTAAGAACTGTCCACATGAGTTGCAGACAGAAAACATCAAGGCACTTACCCGCTGTCAACCGGTAGGTAGCAGATATTGTTAGCATGAATTGAGGATGAGAAATCATCAAAGGAACATACATTCTGTCAACCGGTGAGCAGCAGCAAGGGATAGGGATCATGCGCATCAGTCGAGGACTAGAAATCGTCAAGGCACTTACAACCTGTCAGCAGGCAAGCAGCAACGCATATAGATCATAAGCATGGGTCGAGGACTAAAAACCATCAAGGAACTTACAACCTGTCAACGAGCCAGCAACAGCATCATGAGCATGGGTTGAGGGCTAGAAACTGTCAGAGCACTTGCCTCCTGTCAACAGGCGAGCAGCAGCAATGGAGATCATGAGCATGCGTCAAGTACTAGAAATTATCAAGGCATTTACCCGCTACCAACAGGCGAGCAGTAGCAAGGCATGAGGATTATGAGCATGCGTTGAGGACTATAAATCATCAAGGCACTCACTGTCTGTCAACAGGCGAGCAGCAGCGAGCGACAGGGACAATGAGCATGTGTCGAGGGCTCGAAATCATATAGACGCTTACCGTCTGTCAAAGGGCAAGCACCGGTAAAGCATGGGAATCGTGAGCATGGGTAGAGGACTAGACACCATCAAGTTACTTACATGCTGCCAACAGGTGATCAACAACAAGATATGGAGATTATAAGTATGGGTCAAGGACTAGAAACCATTGAGGCACTTACCCGCTGTCAACGGGCGAGCAGCAAGGGATAAAGAGCATGAGTCGAAGACTATAAATTATCGAGTCACTTACATGCTGTCAACAAAATAGAAGAAGAAAGGGACGGTGATCATGAGCATGGGTCAAGGACTAGAAACCATCAAGGCACTTACCCACTGTCAAGAGGCGAGCAGCAGCAAGGGATCAAGATCATGAGCAATGATTGAGGCGTAGGAACCATCAAGGCACTTACCTCCTGTCACAAGACGAGCAGCAACAAAAAGTGTAGATCTTGAGCATGAGTCGAGGACTAGAAACCGTAAAGGCACTTACCTCCTGTCAAGAGGTGAGTAACAGTACGGTGCATGGGGATCATGGGCATGAGTCGAGCACTAGAAACTATAAAGGCACTTACACGCTGTCGTCAAGCGAGTAGCAGCAAGGGATGGAAATCATGAGCATGGACCGACGACTAGAAACCATTAAGGCACTTACATGCTGTGAACCGGCGAGCAGTAACAATGGATAGGGATCATGAGCATGAATCGAGGAATAGAGATCATTAAGGCACTTACGTCCTGTCGACAGGCGGGCAGCATGGGATTGTGAGCATGTGTCAGGGACCAGAAACCCTCAAGGCACCTACCCACTTGTCAGCAGATGAGCAGCAGCAAGACGTCAGCATTGTGCATGCGGTTCAAGCCTCGGAAACCACAAACTGACCAACTGTTATTGATGGACAACTACAATCAAGGAAAATATGTCAGAATGTCTACAGTTTCAGTAGTTCAACATTTACCATCATGAGCATCAGAGCATCATCAGAGTTGAATCAATCTTCATCTTACTTTGAGATATACAAACCACTTAGCAATGTCATGCTGATAGACCTCGTAATCGAATCCAAGAAGCCCAGATTGCTGATGTACACGATCAACGAGTATTCTAGATGATGTTGAAACAAAAACATGTGACTTGCAACTCAGCGACTCACGTAACGGCACATTTGATACAAAGCTCCAGGTTTGATTGTTGGGTCGACATCAAGCACAACCGCAATTCTTCGTTGTCCAATGCGAGAGTGGTGCTTTCCAGTAAATTGTTACAGTTTGTATCCGGTCTGTTCATATCTAAGACGGAGACTAATATCAACTTTGACACGGGACAAGTCAATCTGAACCACCTACTCTGCAAGCGTACATAAGACTTAGGACAGGCACGGTTTTCAGGGTCGCACAACCGATCCCAGACACCTGTATCTGTGAACAATTCTTCCACGCGCTGGGTAATTCTCTTTGAGCGTTCTTCTCCCGATGCCCCTTTTAGTTGCTTCTTAAGTTCGCCAAATGCAATTGGACGCAAAGCTTCAAATTTGGTGAATACCGCAATCACGGGAACTGAAGATCGATCGTTTAGTCCGAGCAAAGCATATGACAATAAAGCTGCAAACTCACCGTTCCCAGTGTCACACTCCAAAAAGAACTTCTCCTCAGATCGTTGGAATGTTCGACATGGTTCATCCATCGGAATACAATACCTGATGGTAATCAACACGCATGGGACGTCAGAAGGAAGTTACTTGCCAGATGGCATGAATCCGCTCCTCCAATTTCGTCGCGTGCGCGCGTTCTGAGATGAATTTTTTCATGTCCTCGAACTCTTCTTCAGAGCCCGCTTCGAAACCACAAGAGTCGTGAAAGACAAAACCAGGATTGCTTTTGAACACCATCTCGTTTGCGATGTTGTGATTTCCACGCTTAGCATCCGTCAGCGCATGTATGTGCGCACACGGCAAATGGTGCACACACCTTGATGGAAGATTTAATGACATCAGCATCGATCTACCCACAATTGATCAGCGATAGATGCATGCATAGCGTAGATCATTACCCGCACTTTGTTTCCTCTGAAATCGTAAATTTCAGGTTCATCTATGGTGTTGCAGACCTTATGGAGAATGGTCGTTTTGCCTGCGTTTGCTCTCCCTACAATCAGGACTCGAAAGCGCTCAATTATCTCTCTGAGGTCCTGTGCATAGATGGCTGCCATTGGGAGATCTTGATGTGCGTCCTGAAGGAGAGGTGATTTGGTTTATCGTGAGAGCTGTAATACAGGATGAGATGGTGGAAAGATAGGCTCTTATGGCTTATGAGACAACGTTTATCTTATCTATCTCTCTGCATGAGGCAACTGGTTATACCCTTGCACCAACGCCCGCCGTGAATTATGGTCTGGCAAGCAGGGCAAAACATGCACGTGATTTTTGTGACAACATAATCACGTGATATGAACAGTTCGCGTCCAGGTAGCAGGTACTAGGCACCGTGAGGTGCTGGAACGAAGAAACGAAATAGGGATGTAAACTTGTGTTCGCCAAAGAGAATGAACAACAATGAGTCATAGACATAAATACAAGGTACTTCAAATAGAACGTAGTTCGTATACAATTAGTATACCGAATACAAAGGCCGACCAATTTGAACCAAAGGGGAACCACGGCACAACAAGTATCTTGACGGCAGCGCCGTAAGTTTGGGTGTCGCATGACGCGATGGCAGTGCCTGCTTGCATCAAAAGCCTGTGCGTCGCTGTCAATTTGCAGGGTGATCAATCAGTACCAGTCCTTCTTCGGCTGCATGCGAGGCAGGTCTTGGGAATCAGCGGGGTGCAGTGGGAACCATGTGTACTGGGCGTCTACTCTGAAATTTAAAGCAAGAGAATGATTCCTCCAAAGCTCACCTCGACCAAGTCCAACCTCCAGTAAGATGTTGAAGCTCATTCCAATCACTACGCCCCTACGACAATTTAAAGGTCATGAACATTGTATAATGGCAGGTGCAGTGTTCCCCGATAAACGATGGATGATTACGGGCTCGCACGACAAGACGGTTCGTTTGTGGGACTTGGAGACAGGTGTTATGTTGAAGAAGATGAAAGTGCATCGCAGGGGGGTGTCGAGATTGGCGGTATCGCCAGATGGGCAATTGATAGCAAGCGGTGATCTGAATGGAGAGGTCATCGTCTGGCACAGAGAATCTGGAGAAATGCTCACCCAAGTGACCGAACCCATCAAAGCTTACCCCGAATGGATTGCCTCGCTGGAATTTTCTCCTGATGGAACAATGCTGGCCATTTGTTCAAAATACGCAATAGCAAAACTATGGAACACCAAAACTTGGACGGAGCTGTTAGGTAAACCAATTGCATGTGGTGAAGGTACCGGCTGCATCCGGTATTCGCCAACTGGAGAATTTCTTGCTATCGCAACATTGAGCATAGAAATTTATAATTTAGGCACGAGGGAACTTGTCGCATCCTTCAAGGGTCACACATCGCAAAACTTCTCACTCGCATGGTCGTCCGACGGCACACGCCTTCTCACAGGCGGCGATAAGACTGATCCTACCATACGTGAATGGGATACAACAACCTGGCAGCAGGTTGGTGATCCTTGGAAAGGCCACTCGGACTACATCAATCTCATAGTCATTAATCCTGCTGGCACACTTCTCGCATCAGTATCTCCATTTGAGAATCAAGTCCGTCTCTGGCAAGTCTCAGATCGACGAACCATCGCCATCTTCAAGCACTCATCTGGGCCAGAATGGGTCACTTTCTCCACGGATGGCAAGCACATCCTCAGTGGAGGTAACGATCAGACAATCTCACAGTGGGAAATACCCAGCACCGGTAATTCAAAGGCACGTTTCTGTCCTTGACTCATATAACAATCTTGAACATGTTTCGTACAGATCTTAGACGTCACAACAGCCCGCGCTGCATGCATAGATGGAGACTTGTCAACTGCCCAAGCACTACTCACACATGATATAAATACAAATAGGAATAACCATACTTCCTATGCTCATCGCTCATTTGTTATGGCGCGAAAACACGACTGGGACCACGCCGTTCAGGATGCTATCATGGTGAGATATACCCAGTGATCATGTCCTCTTATGAAAGACTAACCCGATGATGACATAGTCCATTAGTATTCAGCCCTCGTTGATAGGTTTTATCTCCAAGGGTATTGCCCTATGCGGAAAAGGTCACGTCCGGGATGCGAGGGCAGCATTTGATGTTGCGTCCATGTATGCGGATCAAGATTCAGAAACTGTTCATTTTCTGCTCTTGATCAAGGTATGTTGCAGTTGCCTTGCATACTCTGTCTCATTGCATATTTCAGGCCATTGCACTGTTCAATGCCGATCGACACGACGAGGCATGCCTGCTCCTCAAAGAGCTCGCTACTGGTTGTCCGAATGCCGATACTCGCGCGTGTCGTATCGTGGAAGTGAGTACATTTACCTACAATTGGTCATCAATACCAACCTTTACAATCTCGCCCATTAGGCATATCTACGTGTTCAACTTGAAATAAAAGCCTTGAATGGCGCGCGTTACGGCGAAGCCGCTGACAATTTCACTGCCGCTGTCAACTCCACCACTTCATCGTCAAAATTAAACATTCATGAAATATATGAAGACTTGGTCGTGGTGCGTTGAGATGATGTGTACATAATGCTTTCATAACTGAGCGTCTTGTTAAGCTCTTCGGCTGGGATTTCAAATCTTTGTGGCTGACTACACAACAAAATCGGTGTAATGCACTCCTTCAGGCAGGTAAATTTCAAGATGCCGTAAAATCATACCGGTCCATGATGTGTTTGAGGGACAAAAATGCCGTGGCTAACTACCTCGACTGGTCCAATGGCAAGTCTAGAGTTCGTAATGTCGTGCAGGCTACAATGCTTACCTGCATTTTATCTAGCTTTCACAGAAGAATGCAGCGCACTCTGTATTACCAACGGAGATGCTGCTTTCGCTGCAGGAAAGTATGGTATGGCTATTGACTTGTACTCAGCAGCGATCGACTTGGATTCTGCATCCGATATCGTGTTTGCAAATCGCAGTAAGGCAATGCTGGGAAAAATGTTGTGGGAGGATGCGCTTCTCGACGCGCAAAAGGTGCGCTAGCATCTAAGTTTCTGTAGTTCTTGTTGACTTCGGCGATGTATAGGTCACCGAACTCAATCCTTCGTCTCACGTTGGATACCAGTTGACACATGAGGCGTTGCGTGGCGCGAAACGTTATGACGAAGCAATCGAGGCATTCGCAATGATGCTGTCCAAGTTAGACGATGCTCCTGAAGCGGATATACGCAGTAAGGCATGGAACACTCCTGCATAATCTCGAAATGCCTATCTCGTTCTGCAGGTCTGCGTCAGCAGTATGTCTCTCTTTCAGAGGCAGAAGACGCTATTCGAAGAGCAGTTTTGATTGAACTCGAAAATGCCCCCCTTCGTCTGCTCAACACCTCTACGGGTCTTTTGTGTGATCGAGCAGCACAGCTGAACTCATTCAAAATGAGTCCGGATTACAACGAACTTATATCATTTTCGACAAAAGACTCGAACGTCCGAACGGAGCGCATCAAAGACGTAGTGACGACATACTTCCGCTGCGTCCTGCTATCACACAGGTGGGAAGAGACGGAGGTACTGCTGCACGACATCCAAGACAAAGCCGTGCACGAGTTAAATGGACTTGGTGGCATCGCGAAACTGCAGTCGTTCTGCAAAATCGTTCGTGATGCTGGATATCACTGGGCATGGATGGACACGTGCTGCATCGACAAGAAGAGCAATATTACCGAGCTCCAAGAATCGGTCAACTCCATGTTCGTCTGGTACCGCCACTCAGCGCTTACGATCGTCTACCTGTGCGATGTCCTTCCTTCGTCCCAGCCTGGTGCACTGGCGAGCAGTGTTTGGAACCAGCGAGGATGGACCTTCCAAGAATTAGTTGCTTCGAAAGTTGTTATATTTTATCAGAAGGATTGGTCGTTATACCTGGGCGACCTCTCTCCTAACCACAAAGAGTCCCCTGCAATAATAAAGGAGTTGGAGTGTGCGACGGGAATAGATGCACGGGCCCTGGTGAACTTCACTCCAGGTATGAGCGGTGCTCGAGAGAAACTGCGATGGGCATCGAAGCGCGTCACCACTCTGCAGGAAGACATTGCGTACTCATTATTTGGTATCTTCGGCATCAACCTACCTGTTATTTATGGTGAGAAGAAGCAGAACGCGCTCGGGCGGCTCCTACAGGAGATCGTAGCTCGATCAGGCGACATCACTGTCCTCGACTGGATTGGGCAACCTTCCACGTTTAATAGCTGTCTTCCAGCCCACATTTCCTCTTACACCATTCCTCCATGTGCCCTTTCATCTTTGTCTGAAGATGATATTCACACGCAGGTCTCTTCGCTGCGAAAAAATCCTGTGACTGTTGATCTGGCGTTGAAGCTTTACAACCAGCTTGATTACACAAGCGCTGCTCGTTTCGCGAACTGCAGGCTGCATCTGCCTTGCATGGCATTCCGTGTCACAGAAGTTAGTCTGAGCTACAGTCCATCCCAGGAGACTCGATATACAGTCAAGGCAGACGGGCTTCGTGACCTGCTGATCACCACCAAAGAACCAAATATTCAGTTCTCACGGACAAAACCCATCCAACAAACCTTCGTGCTTGTCCGTCCCTGGAATCGGTCTCTCCTCGAGCTACCAGACTTTACAAATCTGCTAGACGATATGGAGAGCGAGGTGGGTTATTTGCCGCCACTTCTTTCTCCGTTAGACTTACCTGGCTGTTATCTTGTAAAGCAAGAGATGGCTGACCTAGCATTGCGGTTACTTGTTCGCCTTGGGCAGCCTTTTGGCGCCCTTTTGCTAGCGCGGCAGCGCGGCGGAGAATTCAATAGGATCGCGTCGGATCGCGATATCATTGCACAGGTCAAAGATGTGTCTTCTGTTCGAGACCTGATGGACTCCATCAGGACGATAGAAATATTGTAGATGCATATATTTTCCCGTAGATGTGAGATCTGAGCGGTTTTCATTGGACTTCGTATGTGATACTACATGCATGTGTATTGGACTATAGTTTCCTTTCAAATAAGACCATGGAAACCTATTTGCAGCAAGTTGACAGCCGTTTTCTTTTGTTCGGCATGAACCGAGTGATTCCACCGACAGACGAGGGTACTTGGTTTCTCGGTCTATCTGCCAAGTCCGTTACACCAGCAATTGAGCGAAAACAGTGAAGATTCATAGGGAGATGCACTCGCAATGGTAAGAGGATGAAAGTAGATAACGCAAGGGAGACCGAACAAAACAGTCACAGCTGGTCCTGCGCCTGCTCGTTGGGGACGCGTAGGAGGTGCCTCTTCATTGTCAAAGTCGCTGGTGGGAGTCAACAACATGTAGCATTTAAATGGTTGAAAAATATTCACCAAATCTATTTGCATATTCAATTCAAGCTTGAAGTTTGCAATTGGTACTATACAAGAGGGCGTCATAGTCACGGCTCAAGCATACTAGGCCCTTGTCCAAAGCCCGGGCCGGGTCGACCTAGGCTTCAGGCCTTCAGGTCGGGCTTTGCACAACACTACTGGAAGGTAAATCGGTCGATCCAAGGCCGATTAACGACTAGCAATCATAGCGCTTCACAGTATGATCCAACATGGAGAATGCCAACAAGCCCGGTCACAGGAAACTCGTGCAGTGGCGCGGGAGCACTGAATGTCTTGGAGTAAGCAACGATGACGACACAGTCCACCCAACAGCACCAAAGGCTCACCGGATATGTGTATCTTTGTTGTGAACGGGGACCAAGATTTCCATAATAGCACTGGGTAGGTATATATACGCTAGTATCGTACGTTGGGTATTATCTCGTAGCATATAGTCTTTCCTCTTTGTCATAGTCTCAGGCGTCAGTGCCTCAGATTCATTTTACCCACGAACTTGAATGCTCAGAATCGTCCATGTAATCTACCATCACCGAGCGCTCGACGCGGACGCGGATACCGAGTTCCATGTCGTCGTTGGAATTACGAGGCGATTTGGGCCTGGGCTCTGCATCGTTGGGGTTTTTGGAGCTGTTAGAGCCTTTGGAATGGCTCTTAGACTCGAACTGGGAACGGAGACCGGACATCACTTTTTTCTGCGCAGTGAGTGTGGGACGTGCGACGATCACATTTTCCAGGTGTTGGTTGTTTGGCTCTAACATTCCTTTGCGAAATTGGGTGTTCGGAGCGGAAGCAACGGAAAGAATGAACAATGCGAACATCAGCAGAGTAGCAGTCAAGCTCTAGAGTGGTGCGTACCTCGTATATGGATGAGAATCCGTTGGCTCATGATCCACGTTAAAGCATAACCTATTGATGACCTAATGATGCATTCTGAGGGGTCTGATCTCCTTGACGCCAGGGGTACGAAACTTACCCTGCCGACTAATAATAGGTGCGAGTCGATATAAGTTGCTATGGTGTATCCGAAGTTAAGCTCACATACCTGAGTCCTGATATCAGTCGTACGATAAAGGATGAGATTTAATACGTTCGCCGCTGAGTGAATATTAGGAGGTGCTGATCACGAGCAGACTATACTTGCCGGTCAACACGATAAAATATCCGATGCCGTCATAGATCAGGCTAAGTATGATGAGCCATGCACATTGACTCTGCTAGTGGTAAGGGACTTACACCCGTATTAGCTGTTCTACTCTACGAGAAATGGTTTAGCGACCTAAAAGACGGGTGAGAGAAGACACACCTGCTACTGAGAGGATTATAACGCAGAAGATGTATGGTAGAAATTGTCACCATGGCGATGTCATACACCATTACAGCCAGGTAGTAGAACCAGGTTGATAATATTTTTCCGGCATCTGCCGAGGTACAGCTATGGTTCATGAAGATCTGAACAGCAGACACTGGTGGTAAACGACAACTTACTTTCCCTAAAAAAGGGATAGTGTTTGCGTGAGACCTCTTTGTAAGGAAAACCAACGTACATCATTAACAACGGCTGTGTATTGTGAAGGTCAGTGCGAATCCAAAATCAAAATAGAAGCCAAAGCTTACGAGTCCGGTGGAATAGATCGGAAAACCACTCCGCCTAAAGGGAATAAGAGAAAGGATATCATGCCTGTGTTGTAATGACCCACCGAAATCGAGAAGAGGTATAGTAACACTAGTACAATTCCTATCCGCCTATCTCTTCTTGCGATATTGAATGTCCTAGATGATATTTTTAAGTCTGTGCGGCTGTGACCCACAAATAATCGACATACCTGATACCTAGGATGGCCTGTGATATCATAGTTTGTATGGCTACAGTGTGGTCAATAAAGACATGGCGGGTAGACACCGATGAGACAGACCTTTGAAGGCAGGCGCCACAAGATAGTAGTGTTGACACGTCTGTGAGGTATAGGTGGTGGAGAAGAATCCGTAATTGCTAACTACCATGGCTATAATACTAATATAACTGCATTGAATGTGAGCGAGAAAAAAATCGTAAGACGGATTTAGGACAAACGTACCGTATGAGAATGAATAAGGCGCAGGCAAGACTGATGGAGTTTAAGCTCGTCGACGGTAATATGTGAAAATATGACAGAGCGTCGTACCTTATATGAAAAATTGACGATTGGCTTCGGTAAAAGCGCCATTCCGCAGGGAGTGTAATAACATAGCTGAACGTAACTTGTCAGAATATCGCCGCGACTACGGAACCGCGACAAAGAGAGAAAACACTACTTACTCGTAAAATGCAATGGAAATGGATGCTACTCGCAAATATTTCTCAGTCGTTAAGCTGCCTACAACCCCACGCCGCTCCAGAGCCTCCATTTAGTAGATGAAGTACTCGTCGATTGGCTCTGCGGCGGTCCTTGGTAAATTGAGGTGAGGAATGAGAGTGAAAAAAGGAATGTATTAGGCAAGGCCACGACTGACTCGGTGCAGGCTAATGCTGAGTGCTGAAGGCTTGTAGAAATAGAGAAAGAAAGCAACACTGAGGAATGCCAGCAAGGCAGCATTTTCTAGCGTGACCGAGATCACATTTTGAAATTGATTAAATGTAGAAAGGGGCACAAGAGATCTGTCATGCAAGCCAAGACTAGCCAGCGAGACGTCGGCTGGGATTGGCGAGGCACATCCGAGCCGTCTAAGGTCCAGTGTCAACTTTGCTGATTAGTAATAAGCATATGTGCGGGGTTTATGAAATTCATTTATGAGTCCGAGTCAGTCACGCGCACGTCTCGGTCTCACAGTCACAGCCAACCCCACGAACCAGAAGGGCTACAGTTGTCAACGGTCTGGCATGCTCGGACTTATTGACAGGAGAATCTGGTCTAAAGTCGAATGAATGGGTGTCCGTCGTATCTACATATGATAGTAAACCTTCTTGGAATCCTCGAACTCAACTCACGCTCATCATCATGCTCTTCAAGTTTTCAGATTTTTACTGATAGGATACCAAAGTCGCTCCCTCTTAGCCTTAGAGACTCTTATCCTCTTCACCATACCATGGCGTGCGAGCATGCGTGTCTGCACTGCTCTCGGAATAACCTGTCAACTCGGACTCGCATATGTACATACTGCTTTCCGCACCACCAAACCACCGGATTAGTGTGTTTGCCAGCAATAGGGCCTAGTATGCGCTTCATCCGGATCGTGCTCCGACTTTCTCATCCGCAGGCCTGGTCGACAAGTTTAGTCATCCTTTGACAGAGACGACGACGTTATCCGTGGATCATCTATACTGCCGTATGCCCATGCGTTTCTCTTGGCATATCGACTTGATATAAAATTCGCAGATAATCCTTTAAACGTGGACCTGACCTGGTTCATATTTCACTTGTATGGGCTTGGGTATACTTTTGACCAATCATATTTATCACAGTTACGTTCGCTAGTCATTTTCAATCACCTTTATGTATGACATGTTCAAATCTACGAAGACGGCTATGACACTGGCAAGTGCGTGCTTGTTATACTTCATGTGGGCGACAAACCAGAGAGGGTGTTCCATACAACTCGCCAAGTTCGTCTTCCTTCCGTGGCAGAAGATACTCACATTACATGCAGCTGTACAGATTAAGCGCCCACTAACTCGGAGTCTTGCATCTCATACACATCTGATATCTGCAGTGTCTCATCAGCATTGCTCTGCTGCGAGGTCATGTATTCAGCCCCAGCCCTGGGATTTTTCTCAGGTCAGATCTGTACGTTATATTAGGTAGTTGCGGTCCCTACTACTTTATTGTCCCGCTGATCCACGGCGCTTACGTCGTTTGCAATGGTTCAGTCTCTCAGTCCGCCTTCTTTTACTTCTCATGATGAGATTTACGCTCCCCTGGAGTTCGCACTGACCCCTGCAAATGCCATGCCACAAATCACTACTGCTACCGATGCAAATTGTTTTTTTCTCAACTTTGGCCAAGACCAGGACCCCATCGTCGTAGTTTTACTATGGTACCATTTGATATCATAGTTAGATAATTCAGGTCAAGTCACCTGCTTTCGTTCTTTTTACCACAGCCCCAATCGGGTGGGCTCAGCAGCTCGTTGCCGTCGGTTCCACAAAGCATACAACCTGAATCATTGCGCCGATCTACCTTATGGGGAGTCACAACTTAGGTACACATTTTTCTTCGAGAACATCCCGAAGTTTATGCGACACCCAACGCCTATCGTGTCATCAACGCAAATGATATATACTGGTTGGTGAAGCACGTATGGGGGAGGAAGAACGACTTGATGGACTGCGAGGAAGCTAACAAGACTGAGTCAGTAATACGCATCATGACTTGATCACCAAATATTGACGCGGAATTAACCGAGAGCTATAGTAGAGTCTGTTATTACATAAACGGATGCAAACCAACTCATCCGAGTCCTACTCTTCCACTACACAATAAATTGCAAATTCAGTGGGAGACCTTGAGTCAACCGAAAAGCAGGAATCTGCACGTACGCGTGGTATCACATTCATCAGAACTTCACAACACCAACTCCTTGAAGCACAAAAGCCACGTCTCGAACATACTATGGGTCGTAGTTCGATTTATAGTAAATGCGAGGGTGACGCAGCCTACAAATTTTTATCTTAATGAACATCTGGCAGGCGTCCTTAAACTTTAATGCTTACCCTCATTTCAATTCAGCACCCACGATTTCCTCCTTTCCAGATGCTGCAGTGAAGACGGTCACTGTAACACTGTCTGTTGCACGCAGAAGGCTATTACATCTTTGCTTCGCCATACAGCATTCCGAATCAATGCTATGTTCCGCAATTCTGTCGAGGTTTCTCACAATAGCTGGATCCAAGGCATATCTTGCGCAACTAGTGCTAGTGAGTCTTAGGTCATACCGCGAGTATCCATATTCACTGTATTCTTGTCAAAGCATGCTATTTTGTCACTACGATTCAGACACAGGTCATGTACTTCATCACTTACATCACGATTGACCCTATATGACTTCAACGCAATCTCAATCCCGTCGACAGACACCAGGGAGCTTGCTATAAACCGAGAAGGAGCCAGTCTGAACGTCATTATCAATCACAGTAGGCACCAGGACGGGAAGAGGCAAGTGAGGGTTCAGTCAAAGGGGAGGCACAGAACTGGGTGCCACTGCGACTCTTGAGACTAGAACAAGTCTGTCCATTCTGATTATGGGGCAGATTATGTCGTAATCCAATGGCCTTTGAATCTGCATATATATATGTTAACCGGTACGTCTTCTTTAAATTTGTTACTTGACAATACGTGCGCCAATCGATAAAATATGATGGACAGTCGGACTCGTCCGCGGACATGTACCAAACCTGCCCAAACTATCTATAAATACACAACCTCCCGCGGTCTGCTATATCGGCCTCTCCCTCAGTACCAACGAGCGTGGTCAACGTTTGAGTTCAGCCAAACACACTGCACCTACTGCTCTGTTTCCCCTTACTAGTTCATACCCAGAACCACCATCTTCCAGGGAGAACTTCAAACGTGCAGACCCTGTCGAGTACCCGGTATGTCTCATATTACCACATGCTGTTGTTTTCTCTCAGACGTCTCAAAGATCAGTCATCTGGAAGGCTTCGGAAGATCGAACTCATCTCCATCTACATAGATTTCCGATATCACTGCTTTTCAGCCAGACAGGTAGGGAAGAGGAAAATTCTGTCATTTCCATCGTACTCTGATCATTCATTATAGTTCATATCTCTATCAACGTTTTCATTGTTCGACATCCTTGGTTGTATTATCCTTAAGCTTGTGCTTTACGTACGAACGATTGAACAGTTGCAACTTCGTGTCCGTACGAGGGTATAACCAATTACCTGATACGGGGAGATAGATAGGAGATAGCCACCCTGTCATATCTCGATCTCGTTCGTACATCTTTCACGATAAACCAGATCACCTCCACTTCAGGACGCATATCAAGATCTCCCAATGGCAACTATCGATGCCCAGGGCCTCAGAGAAATAATTGAGCGCTTTCGAGTTCTGATCGTAGGGAGAGGAAACGCAGGCAAAACGACCATTCTCCGGAAAGTCTGCGACACCAAGGATCAACCAGAAATCTACGATGCCGAAGGAAATAAGGTGCGGGTAATGATCTATGCTGTACATGCATCTATCGCTGATCAATTGTGGGTAGATTGATGCCGCCATCGTAGAAGCCTCGATCAAGGTCTGTACCATCTGCCTTTTGAGCATACATGCGCTGATGGACGCTCAGCCTGGAGAACACAATATCACAGATGAAATGGTGTTCAAAAGCAAACCCGGTTTTGTCTTTCACGACTCTTGCGGCTTTGAAGCGTGCTCTAAAGAAGAATTTGAGGTTATGAAAACTTTTGTCTCAGAACGCGCACACGCGACAAAATTGGAGGAGCGAATCCATGTCATTTGGCAAGTAACTCCTCTTCTGACATTCCACGCGTGTTGATTGCAATCAGGTATTGTATTCCAATGGACGAACCGTGTCGAACATTCCAGCGAGCCGAGGAAAAGTTCTTTTTGGAGTGTGACACTGGGAACGGTGAGTTTGCAGCTTTATTGTCCTATGTTTTGCTCAGACTAAACGATCGATCTTCAGTTCCCGTGATTGTGGTGTTCACCAAGTTTGACGCTCTGCTTCCAGTTGCGTATGGAGACATCAAGAAACAACTAAAGGGGGTATCGCCAGAGGAACGCTCAAAGAGGATTGCCCAGCGCATGGAAGAATTGTTCACAAATACGCGTGTGTGGGATCGGTTGTGCGACCCTAAAAACCGTGTGCGTCCTAAGTCTTCTGTACGGTTGCAGAGTAAGTAGTTCAGATTGGCTCCTGTCATGTCAAAGTTGATGTTAGTCACCGTGCTAGATATGAACAAACCGGATACAGACTGCAACACTCTACTGGAAAGTACCACTCTCGCATTGGACAACGAGGCATTACGCTTTTGCTTGGTGTCAACCCAACAATCAAACCTGGAGCTTTGTATCAAGTGTGCTGTTACGTGAGTCGCAGAGTTGCAAGTCCCATATTTGTACCAATTTCATCTAGGACACTCGTTGGTCATGCACGTCGGCAATCTGGGCCACTTGGAATTGATTATGGATCCTATCAGTATGACATTGCTAAGTGGTTTGCACATCTCGAAGTAAGGAAAAGATTGATTTAACCTGACGCACTGGTGATGATGCTCATGATGGTAAATGTTGAAGTGCTGAAAATGTAGACATTCTGATATATTCTTTGATCGTAGTCATCCATTGATAACAGCTGGTAAGATTGTGGTTTACAGAGCTCGAACAGCATGTACAACGCTGATTCCTTGCTGCTGCTCGCCTGTTGACAGTATGTAAGTGCATTGATGGTTTCTAGTCTTCGACCCATACTCATGATCGCTCCGTCTTTCCGTTGCTCCCCTGTTGGTAGACGGTAAGTGTCGTGATGGTTTCTGATCCTCGACCCATTCTCATGATCTCCATGCCTTGCTGATGGCCTCATCTGTTGACAGCGGGCAAGTGTCTTGATCATCTATAGTTCTCGATCCATGCTCATGATCTCCGTGTTGCTTGCCTGTTGATAGCATGTAGGTGTCTTGATGGTTTCTCGTCCTCGACCCATGCTCATGATCTTCATGCCTTGCTGCTGTTTGCCTGTTGGAAGACGGTAAGTATTTTGATGGTTTCTAGTCCTCGACCCACGCTCATGATCTCTATGCCTTGTTACTCGCCTGTTGACAGTATGTAAGTGCATTGATGATTTCTAGTCCTCAACCAATTCTTATGATCCCTATACCTTACTGATGTTCGCCTGTTGACAGCGCGTAAGTGTCTTGATCATTTATAGTCCTCGACCCGTGCTCATGATCTCCATGCCTTGCTGCTGCTTGCCTGTCGACAGGAGGTAAGTGTCATCATTTGTAGCCCTCGACCCATGCTCATGTTCCCCACACCTTCCTGCCTGTCGCCTGTTGACAGTATGTAAGTGCCTTGATGGTCTCTAGTCTTCGACCCATGTTCATGATCATCATGTCTTGCTGCTATTCGCCTGTTAACAGAATGTCAGTAATTTGATTGTCTACAGTCTTTGACCCATGCTCATGACCCTCATGTCTTGCTGCTGTTCGCTTATTAACAGAATGTCAGTGCTTTAATAGTTTATAGTTTCGACCCATGCTCATGATCCCCGTGTCTTGCTGCTGCTCGCCTGTCGACAGGGGGTAGGTGCCTTGGTTGTTTCTAGTCCTCAACCCATGCTCACGATCCCCATGCCTTGCTGCTGCTCTCCTGTTGACAGCATGTAAGTGCCTTGATTGTTTACAGTCTTTGACCCATGCTCATGATCTCCATGTCTTGCTGCTGTTCGCCTGTTGACAGTGTGTAAGTGCCTTTATTTTTTCTAGTCCTCTACCCATGTTCATGATCTCCATGCATTGCTGCTGCTCGCCTCTTGACAGTGGGTAAGTGCCTTGATGGTTTTTAGTCCTCAACCCATGCTCATTATACCTATGCATTATTTCTGCTCGCCTGTTGACAGAAAGTAAGTGTCTTGATAGTTTCTAGTCCTCGACCATGCTTATAATCTCCATGTCTTGCTGCTGTTCGCCTGTTGACAGCATGTCAGTGCTTTAATTGTTTATATTCTTCGACCCATTCTCATGATCCCCATGTTCTGCTGCTGCTTGCCTGTTGACAGGGGGTAAGTTCCTTGGTTGTTTTTAATCCTCAACCCATGCTCACGATCCTCATGCCTCGCTGCTGCTCGCCTGTTGACAGTATGTAAGTGCCTTGGTAGTTTTTAGTCCTGGACCTATGCTTATGATCCCCGTGCCTTGCTGCTGCTTGCCTGTCGACAGCATGTAGGTGCCTTGATGGTTTCTCGTCCTTGACCCATGCTCATGATCTCCATGCCTTGCTGCTGCTTGCCTGTTGAAAGACGGTGAGTGTCTTGATGGTTTCTAGTCCTCGACCCATGCTAAGATCCCCATGCCTTGTTACTGCTTGCCTGTTGACAGTATGTGAGTGTCTTGATGGTTTCTAGCCATCGACTCGTGCTCATAATCGCCATGCCTTGCTCTTGTCCACCTGTTGACAGACGGCAAGTGTCTTGACGGTTTATATTCCTCGACTCATGCTCATGCTCGCTACACCCTGCTGCTGTTCACATGTCGACAGTGTGTAAGTGTCTTGATAGTTTATATTCCTGGACCCATGTTCAAGATCACTATACCTTGCTGCTGCTCGCCTGTTGACAGTGTGTAAGTGCCTTGGTGGTTTCTAGTCCTCGACCCATGCTAATGATCTCCATGCATTGCTACTGTTCGCATATTGACAGACGGTAAGTGTCTTGATGGTGTCTAGTCCTTGACCTACGCTCATGATCTCCATGCTTTGCTGCTGCTTGCCTGTTGACAGGAGGTAGGTCTTATCATTTGTATTCTTCAGCCCGTGCTTATGATCCCTGTCCCTTGCTGCTGCTCGCCTGTTGACAGCGGGTAAGTGTCTTGATGTTTTCTAGTCCTCGACGTGTGCTCATGATCTTGATGCCTTGCTGCTGCTCGCATGTTGACAGAACGTATGTACCTTTGATGGTCTTTCATGCATGACTCATGCTTACGGTTCTGATGTCTTGCTGCTGCTCGATTGTTGACAGAACGTATGTACCTTGATGGTTCCTCATTCTTGAATCATACTTATGGTCCTGGTGCCTTGCTGCTGCTCGCCTGTTGACAGAATGTACGCATCTTTAATGGTTTCTCATCCTTAACCCCTGCTGACGATCACTGCTACTTGCCTATTGGCAGCGGGCAAGTGCCTTGATATTTTTCAGTCCGCAACCCATGTTTACGGGCCTTACATCTTACTGTTATTTTTTTGGCAGGTGGTAGGTGCCTCGATCACATTTTGTATTGAAATGATACTGAAGATCATGATGATGTTGATTCGTTCTTAAAGCCTGATGTAAGCATCTATTTTATCAGATGAGTCGAAGCATCATTACTTATATAATGCATAGTTCGTTGAGTATCCCTCCTTAGCTTACTTTTCTCATTCACTCATCTTGCATATTTTGCGCTGTGCAGAATGTGAGTTAATTGACACTGATAACGTACTAAATCTAATAACGATTTTGACTGGTTCTTTCACTCTATAGGATGTGAGTATGTTTCAATCGCTGAGGATTCTAGCCACATAATCCCTTGAATTCGTCATGTGTTCGCAGAATGTGTGTTAATCATACTTATCCTATCGGGATATCATAGTACTTCACTGACGAACAATTTTATTCAGCTCGTACGTCCATGGATGGCATACTTCACCATTTAAAGCGGTACTAATCTGCCCGACAGTTCGTAAGTTACTGAACACAGCAGTCATTGTCCACAATCTAGTGATTAATTATCCACAACTGTCGTGTCAACCAAATAGAATGTGCGTCTTTGTTATTAATCAGATGCCAAGTTGCCGCCTCATGATTCTGTCATTCCTTTCCAGGAGGCAAGTAGCTTGCTCTGTGGAGTTGATCCTGGTACCCACACTTTCAGCCTGTTGCTAGGCAGAAATCGAGCGAGATGACATTATCCTCGTTCTTCAGCCATTGGTAGGTTCGTTTTCCTCCACATTAATTCTCAGCACTGTAAGAGTGTGCAACAGGCTGCGAAGGGAACATTCACCGCTACTGCGAACAAAATTATTCAGACCGGCATTGGTTAGTTTCTCATAGCATAACTCTCAGTTGTAGCCTTAATGACAGAAAGCAGCTACTATCATGGTCCTCGAGTACTCTGCCTTTCTCCCGAACAACTTGAAGACCTCTAAGCGCGTCGCGTCTGCAGTGTATTACTACCTGAAATCTCCGACAGTTGTCGCAGTGGAGAAAGGTGCGAAAGAGATTTATCGTCAAGGCTACGACAGAGAGGAACTGGAGAAGAAGATTCTCGAGTTCATCCTTGAAAATCGCTTGTGTATGTCCCTCGCCTCGTTGTGGAAGTCGAAGTTTACTAACAGCCTGCAGCAAAAGACTTGGCTGAAAAGAAGTAGATGATGCTCGAGCCAAGTTTCCCGTTTCTCGATGCATTTTCCCCGTGCTATGCACTCGTGTTCTATACGATACCCAGCACACCAGCTTCAATTCCTGAGCGGTGCAGACTGTGATATTTCCTTGTTTCCGGTGCTCTTCCCTATGCTATGAACTGTACTTGGCACTCCAGTTTCAACTACTGAGCGCTGCACACTGTATCGGGTATCAACACCCATTTTTTCGGATCTCATCACATCGCGTTCTGCTTTGTGCTATGTAGACTGAGGCTTGCGCTGGTCGAATGATCGTTGTTTATTCTTATTTTCAATCATGAGAATGTGAGAACTGACTTGGTATGCTTCAATACTGAACCGGACAAGCATGGCAATATTATCGATGCTCGTCGGGACAACATGCAGCCTGGGGGAGTAAGTCATGTATAAGAAAGTCTGGGAGGCCGCAGGAGATTTAGAACAGACAAATAATCCAGGAGGCAATCACAGCGTTAGATTCTTGTCTTGTAATTGAACACGAATTTATTATCTCGACTCGGATATCGAACATAAAACAAAAATGACAGGTGATAACGCGGACGTATCGAGTCGTTTGACAGCATCATGAAACTTGAGTATGTTATGGACATGACAAGGTAGCGCCTGAAAAAGTCGAAGTCGGATAGAAAAAGTGACTAGCAATGCAGGCTAGCTACCATTTTGAAGATAATAAACATTCTCATGGCAAGGGACGCACCATCAAGTGTATTACATCTCTCTGCACGGTTCTTGTTGAGTTCATTCTTTCGTATGTCATATAAGGTGAGAGTGTTCAACATCTTTGTCTGCGACCACAAAAAGACGTATTCAGCTGTGGGTCATCGGGTCAGGACAGACAACAGTGTCACTGAAGACCATACGGTCCATTGTCAATATTGACAAGCATGGCAGGGTAAAACACACACCTAGGCAGAATGGTTATGAGTCTAGCTTGAGGTTGCATGCCAGGTTTGGTCGCTGATCCGCCAGCGGTACGTGGAATAGCAACAACCAGCGATAGGATAAAAACGGGTACTCCCAGTGGTGCACTCACCACTTGTGGGCAGCTTGCGCCTGCCACGATCGCCTTCTTCGTCCCTGAAGTTTTGCACATGAAACATGGTCGCAAAGACTTGTCGAACTAAGTGCGACCGCCAAAGCACCACAGCCTTATTCGAGTCGATGCATAAGTTGTGAGAGTCCAACCTTTACGCTTGATGAGCAACATGATGGATTGTCTGTAACTGCATAGAACGTGATAGGAAGTAGGTTGTACCAGGTTGTCAACACCGCATGGTCAGTTGCCTGCAAAGCCTCAGTGTTGTGGGCAGAAGTCTGCCATCATCCTGCCGGCCGGTTTGGCAGAACTGTGGTGGTCAATTGACAGGCAGGTCGACCTTCCAAAGCATCAGCACAAGATCAGACAGGTATCAGATTACACACCTTGAGAACAAGAGTAATAGTGTATCGAGCAGGGACCGCAGTGAGTGCTGCAACAACAATGCGCTAACAAAGCGCGGCGGTTGAAGGGGTAAAACTTGCCTTGACTGGCTTAGTAAGAGTCGGCAGCATTCGATGATTATATAAACGTCACTTCATGGAAAATTTAGTCCGATTGTCGTTGATGTGGAAGTCGCTCTTTAGCCAGCACTGGCAGCCGCCTAGGGCTAGCCATGTGAGCCAAGTTTTTTCCAGTGCCCCTATCTACGACCTCATATTCCGCGATTTGAGTCCTCGCACCCTGGTGTGGTTGTCGCGCACATGCCACATGATATATAAAGCGGTAATCCATTTTTGCCAGCGTGCATACAACATAAATCGACATCTGTCGCGTTATTTCCCCGATCCCCTCTCATTTCGCTCTCTCCAAGCGCGGACTGGTCTTGTCATTTCAGGATCAAGTGCACTTCAATTTTTGGACCGTACTTTCTACCCCGAATCAGATCTCGACATCTACTCTCACCCTGGACATGTTTATGAGGTGCTAGACTGGATCGAGAGCTTTGGGTATCGGTTTGAACCACACAAGTATCAAGAGGAGGACTGGCGTAGTCAGGTTTCAGCTGAATGGGATGGCACACAGCCGAGAAGGCTCCCACCCGTGGAGCCACTGTGGCACTCAGAAGATCATGTACGCTCGACGCGGTATTCTAACATCAATGAAGTCTACACCTTCAAGCGTTATGTATTCATAGATGAAGAGCTTGTAGAACTTCAAGTCCAAGTTATTGAGGCAATCCACAACCCTATTGATACTATCCTGAAGTATCACTCAAGTATGTCTAAATTATTCCCTTGCATTCTCACGAACTTGATTGATATCGGTTACAGCTTGCGTCATGAATATCATCACTTTTGATGCGGCGTATTCATTCTACCCAATCGCGACATTTGAGGACCGAAGCGCACTCCAAATCCCTGGATCGAGGCACCGCCCGGACGTTCTCGCAAAGTATATCAGGAGGGGTTGGAGAGTCTATACGTTATTAAGGCCCGGTGATTTTGCGCAGCCCCATGAATCTCCATTCCTCCCGAACGTGACACGATGGGTCGGTGATCGTCATTGTTGGATCGTTCCACTAGATACATCGGGAGTCGAACTTCGTCCAGCGTTATCTCCAACATCAAGACAATTTTCATGGGACCCCTCCACCCAGAACGGTTGGACAATGTTGGCCAAACGATCCAGCTCAGTGGAAATGGATTCCAACCTCGTCGCGACCACTATGTTCCGTTACAACTATATTATTCCCAGTGAATCGCTTGCTTTGGAGATTCGTGGGTGGGTATCCTCCCAGGGTCAATTTTACCACAAGTCAGTAACGAGATATGAATGGACTTGGTGCGTCTATTGCTACACAATCCATTCAATTGCATTCACACGTGTACTTAGGTTCGACTCCGAAATTCCAGGGTTCCGTAAGTTTGGCGTAGCGGGGGTGACATGTTAGAGTTGGCTGTTTGGTAGGTGGACCAGGCCGGCACCGTCATTTTATCTGGTCTTTTATTTTTTCAAGACTCGTCCCACACGCATCACACAGGTTAGAAATTATTTGCAAATGTCATTCTTTTGGGCATGTTTGAAAAAATGTCTTGATGCACCGACGGATCACTGTGATTCAGAATACACCAGTGAGTATTTCGAACTCAGAAACAACCTAGTAGGGAGGGCAATTTGGATCACCTTCAATTATTCCTCACGATCTCTTTGCCGGTGACATTGCAATTTGTTGTAGGCGTGAAAGAGATACCTCCATGATCAGACTGCGCTTTTGTCACTAGATGAAACTCATCCATCCCGGACCTGATCACGACATTCTTACCCCGGTCATCAAAGAAGCTTCAGCTTTTAAAGATCTCTGGAATGATATGACCGCCGTCGCTACAGACTCCTCACAGCACTTGGTTTCTGGGCATGATAGTTAACAGCCTTGGATCATACCTGTGTTGTGTTTTCTAACCGCTCATCAGTTTCGTCGGAGCCAATACGAAGAGACGAGCAGCAAACATTGTGACGAAGAACCGAAGAGCTGGACGAGTTGACAAAATTTTACCCTTCACATGATCAAATAAACTAACCTACACGTTGCTTACATGGAGCATCGTCTACGACAATTCATCTCAAATTTAATTCCCCTCAGAACTCGTACCTCTCATTTCCTGCTGCGCACTTTAAAGCACATCTACAGGCGACAAGTCCTGGAACTTGGACAGTGAAAGAAAATTTTTGACTTTTGGTCAGCGCACCAAGAACCCATTCTAACTGATACCCGTGTTTTATCATAACTTACAAGATAAACTCGTTACTTCTCTACAACAACAACCTCCAACACTCGTCAGCACTTGATGAAATTTCCAACGATCATACTCGGTATACCCCACTTATCCCGCCTGATGGTGAATGAGAAACAGCAGTTTACGAAGCCCTCCTCATTGGGGACATCCTCCTTTTTTGGTGTTTGCGACTGTGTGTTGATAAGGGGTTTATAACGTAGCACGCAAGAAGTGAGTACGGCCTTCTGAGAAGAGTCAAAAGCGACATGGCCGTATTTCTAAACATTTGCGATCAAAAGTTGAAGCATGTTACGACGGACTAGGCTCACCTCCCAGTAATTGACTGCCGACTCTTCTGCCATAAGTTCGTAGATACAAAGGCGGCCCTACAACAGAAGGAATTAGCTTTTGCAGACATCGATAATCATATTGAGGGGGCTTACGTCTCGCATCATGTATCCATCGACGCCTACGAGTTCTGAAAACTCACGGTTTCCTTTATAGATTTCACCTGTTCGGCGCCAGAGACACGCTGGGACACCCATAGCCGAGAAGACACGGTCGTAGTCAAGAAGTAATCGCTCGAAGGCCTCTTCTATGAATACGAGGTCCTTGTAACGTGGTCAATCGCAAAAACGTATCAATAGGGTCCATCAAACTCACGATATCACGGAGGGATTGCGCAACAGCCTAAGTATGATTAGCAACTTCCCAAATACCATAAAGGCTCCTCGCTCACTCGGAACTTAGGTCGTAGCACAGACAATGGTTGCAGAATTTGCTGCTTCGATTGTCGAGACACACTGAAGATGAACGGGGTGTCAAATCATTGTCTCAATGCGAACGCATTGACGCACTTGCGATCCATCCACCTCGACAATCGTGCATAGCCCTTGACATAATCATACGGTTTGAGTAGACCTGCCTCGTATTTGCTCCGAATAACGCGGTTCAGTCGTTCGTCACGAGTACCTGACTCCTGATCATGCAGCAGTCAACAAAAACTTTTCGGTCTTGGTGGCAGACGGTAAAAGAGGGGGTGTAGGCTCTTCAGCAGGCGCCTCAGGGGGTTGTGCTGGAGAATTGGATGTCGTTTCAGCAGCAGAAGCAGAATTTGAGATGTAGGGAGTGGCTTGAGAGAATGCGGGAGCAGGCATGAGAGAGGGGGTCACTGCTGGAGATGTCGTGAAGAAAGATCCCTCGTCAAGAGTTTCTAGGAAGTCACTGGAATAACTAAGTGAAATGCATGGTGGAGTGACCGTAAGACGACATACGTGAGGACTGAAAATTCGTTGCCCAAAGTTTCGGGCTGATACAGGAATGCGCCCGAAGGAACACTCATTGGCCATGCGGTGGTCGCTGGAGGAGGCATTGTTGAACCATAGATGGGCTCTGCGTAGAACGCTCTCAGTATTGTAATATAGAATCATGATACACGCACGAGCCATCGACCTTGCAGGATCAAGACCGTTTGACGAACCAGTTGGAATAGCATCAGAACTCTGCTTCCCACCAGTCTTTGATGGTCGCTGCTCATCATGGCAAAGATGGCCAATCTCACGCTTAATACTACGGACATCAGCATATCCAACCGTGTATGTATCAAGGATGTTCATGGGCGCTTACCAGCGTTGGCAGGGTCTGCCTTCATCGCAAGTCATATGACTACGTCGACAATAAAGACACGCGTGGTTAACCTTTCTTCGTTTCGTAGTCTTTCTCTTCTTTGAAGCATCGTCGGCCTCTGGCGTATGGGAAGTAGAATCTGGCTCATGACCAGCAGGATCCACTGCTGGTCCAGCATATGGATGGGCAGCAACGGCATAGTTTGTCATGATGTGTGGGGGATGTATAAATCCAAGGTATACCAACCAAGGAAAGATCGAATGAAAGTCAAGGAATAATGATCTAGTCGTTGACTTGTAGATGGAATTTCTAGGTTTCTGAGCCTGATCACACGATTTTGGAAGCGTACAACATTGCAACGTATCGCCTGCTCACAAGGACCTACAACATGCCGCGGCGGACCCCAAACACCTCTCTCGCTTAATACACCATGCCTGGGCATGGAGTACGAAGATGTAGTCATGCTATGTACAGTACTAAACAACAGGCAAATTGACACACAAAACAAGACCGCGAGCTAAATCCTCCTGCAGGTACCTCACTAACTTATAGGTGTAGTCGATAACAGCCCTCCAACAATACTCGGAGGGTCGAGATCCTTTCATTATAGTACCCTGTCGCCTGCATTAATGTTGTCTCCAAACCACTGCAGAAATGCGTAAGCATCCTTGACCTTTACTCTTTACGGCAAACTAACCTTTACAAGGAATTTCGCAGACTCCTTAGGATATCGCTGTTGGGTCTCATAGTCGACGTATGTTACGCCAAATCGTGTGATGTATCCATCCGCCCTGGGAGAAACATAAGCGAAGGGGAATATCATGAATCTTTCTGACTCGCCACTCAAAGTTGTCTACGAAGCCTAGGAGAGAAAAAGATCAGAAAAATTAATCGCAAATGATATAATAATACAGACTCCACGGGAAATAGGCTCTGACATCGACACCATCCTCAAGTACAGCGGCCTTGATAGAAGCGGTGTTACCCTTGAAGTAATTCACACGGTCGCTGTCCTGCAATGCATCCTCAATCGACTTCAAATGCTCGTCCTTGACAGCGAATCCATTTTCGGTGACGCTAAAGTAAAAATCAGCACATTGTCCAAACTGCTTCCTCGAAATAGCTTACTAGATAGGTAGCTTATATCTCTGTTAAATGCCCGTCAGTAAATGTAATGAATGTACACTATGAACGAGTGAGCAAACCTTCCAAATATAATTGAGCAACTATTTTAACACGAAGGAACCAAGGGCGTCAGCTATGTTTTTCCTTACTAACCACTATTATGCTCACATCACGAAATCCCTGGGGGTCTGGATCACAATGGCCATGTTAGAAAAATATTCACCATGTCTCATATTCATATTATTTTGTAACTTACAGTCCTGCAACCAGGCACAATGCGCTGCAACATCTCTGAATTTCTGGTTCTAAATATAGAAGGCAAGAGACATACCTTGGGTACCTAATTGAGTGCCATCGGGACGGATGAAAGTATACTCGACGAATCCTTGAAATTCGTCATCGCCACCGTCTCCTGTCATGACAGTTCAGGCGCATGAGACTCGAAGCAGATAAAATGAACATACTGCACAAGTGGGTGGTATAGGTGTTCATGCCATAGAAATCAGAGGATCCTTTGACGACTTTCAATTCTTCTGATGTAAACTCCGGCAGACGTTCTCGGAGCATCTGTTTCATGTATTCCGGGTAATGACCGAGATAGATTGGGTCCTGAAGAATATCATTTGTTTTATTTAACGACTCGACAGAGCATACGACTTGAAGCTTACAGCAAACCATCCTGTCAACCGTTCGTTAGTGCAGACCGGATGCTACTGGCAGAGGCCGCACTTACCGATAGCTACGTCAAGGGCATGCTGCGCCGCTTCCACATCTGAAAACACAAACGCGTGTTATCAGTATCCGCTCATCATATCAGCAAACTGAAGATTGCGCCTACTCTGTGGACTGTCGTCGTATGGCATGGCCCAGTCACCATTGAGCGTGATTCCGATCTGGCCGCCCTGCACGGCCTTGAACTCCTCGCGATAAAGCCTGACTGCATATGCGTGCGATAAAATGACGCTGTGGCCGACTCTGTGTGTTGACGTGGAATCAGCTGGTTGATTGCGTACAGACGGACAAGTGGTAGACATACATCCACGGTTCAGTAGAGGAGTCGCCTTGGGGTGATCTTTCTCGGTCACTCGATCGTCCTGGCGCGAAGACGCCCCTTCCATACCCTAGAATTGAGACGCACCACGGCTCGTTCACTGTAAGCCTAAAGATGTACGATTGATGAAAAAACCGAATACTTTATCATTGAAGAGTACTGACCAGTGCTTGACTCTGTCTCCGAAAGCCTGGAAGCAGACCTAACAACCATGATTTCGCTCACTCCAAACATGCACGTAAAGATTACACGAGAACTCACCTTAGCATAGCGAACATAGTCCTGGACAATCTCATCCTTGTTCAGCCACCCGCCATATCTATCGTGCAGGGCCTGTGGAAGGTCCCAATGGTATAAAGTCTGAGAAAGCAGTGAGAACGCGCTGGAGTAGCCGCGCATACTCCACATACAACGAATGGGATTATGCCATGTTCCAGAAGTCCATCAATAAAATTGGAGTAAAAAGCTATACCCTTGGGATTGACGGGGTCATTGCGGCCACCAAGTGGGATGATGCGAGACCAGGATAAGGAAAAGCGGTAAGACTTGACGCCGTACTGGGCAAGCAGGGCAATATCCTCCTTCCAGAGTCTGTATGAATCGGTTGCGATATCTCCGTCTCGGCCATCCATCGTCTTTCCAGGTTGCTTCGAGAAGTCGTCCCAGATAGACTTTCCGCGTCCATCAACGTTGGTAGATCCTTCGACCTGGAAACTCGCTGTAAGACACGTTAATACATGATGTTCAAACGCGTTAAGAATGGAGAAACTCACCAGTAGCGAATCCCCATATGAAGTCCTTTGGTAACTTATTTGCAGCTTTTGCAGAGGTCATGAAATCAGGAGTCAACTTGTAGAAGAAGATGAGTTACACATGCACGAAATGGTTGAGCCTCTTAAACTACTAAAACACATTGCTACCATGCAGGTTCATGTGACGATCCTGAGCAAAGCAACCGACAATTATCCGGGCGAGTTGTACAGGGAATTTGAAAAGTAAACAGCTCATGGCATCGTCGAACGCACGTGACAAGAATTTGTAATACAAAGAACACATGCTTTGGAGTGTATTCTGGACGATATTGAACATGTGAGCCATGATGCACCATGTGCTGTCCGATATTTCTCCGTGATAGTGAATCGAACTGCAGGAATAAAGCGAACCATATAATGATCCATCTTGTCTTCTTCCCCCTTGTTGCCAACGTTCATCTTGTCGATCAAGTCCAAGTTCCTCCATGTCAGCTCCAAACACTGCCGGAACCGCCATACTTGGCGCGGGTATCTTCGCCAAGGAAGGTGCGCAACATCAACACAATTGACACCCTCACAAGGCTTATCATGATGCTATTTCAACAGCACACCTTCCTGCACTGCAAGCACTTGGTCCTCTCGCGCCAAAGCTTAAAGCCGTTTACTCGCGATCAGAGAAGAGTGCGCGTGAATTGGCTGCCCAAGCAACAACTCTCCTCAACACTACTCCTGATGTCTACTTCGACGGAAATCCATCTTCCAATCTCGATGCACTTCTTGCCAGATCTGACATTTCATCCGTTATCATCATGCTCCCAATCACCCAACAGCCCTCCATCGTCTTGAAAGCACTCGCCGCCGGCAAACACGTGCTAAGTGAAAAGCCTGTTGCACCGGACGTGGCGTCTGGTGTCAAATTGATCGCTCAGTATGAAGCCCAGTATAAGCCCAAGGGGCTTGTGTGGAGAATAGCTGAAAATTTCGAAGCCGAGCCGGGCTATATCGCCGCTGGCCGTGCTATCGCTGCCGGCAAGATAGGAAAAGTCGCCTTCTTCAACTCTCATATCGTCAACTTCATCGATCAAGATTCGAAATGGTATAAGACCCCGTGGCGTACTGTTCCGGACGTAAGTAAACGTTAATTTTATCGTTCTGACGTGTGGTCTGACATGTTCTGACCGTGCCTTTGCTTCTATCGGATTAGTATCAAGGAGGCTTCCTGGTAAGATTCGTGTTGCGCTCACCTCAACCAGCTGACGCATGGATGGACATAGCTCGATGGCGGTGTGGTCAGTCCCAAATACTTGCAGAAACCCGCAACTGACTTTGCTCTTAGCACTCTGTCGCGGTTCTTCGCGTCGTACTCCCGAGTGCAATGACTCACCTGTCTGGGTTTGCATCGCTAAACAAAGAGTGGCTTGCACCTCACGATACCATTAACACAATCATAAAGAACGCAGACGGTTCACATGGCACCTTTGAACTCAGTTTCGCTGCACCCAGCTCGTCTCGTTCTAACGCAGGTCGAGGTACTGTCATCACCGGTACAGATGGATGGCTTCAAGTTCAACAAACCCTGGCTCGTGACCTCATTCACAACATCGATAAGCCCATCATTCGCGTCACTATCGAGTCGGCCACCCGTGATGCAAATGGGGTACTTGGCCCCGAAAAGGAGGAGGTCATCGATGAGCCTATCAGAGGCATAGAAATGGAGCAGGCGAGCTTTTTTGCAGCCCTGGATGGAAAAGATGACGGCCTTGGCAGCCCCCTTGGTGCACTGAAGGATGTTGCGGTTATTCAGGCTGCCTTGAATAGTGGTGGTGAACTCATCGATCTTGAGAAGCTCATCAGCCAGTCCTAGATGGACATGCGGCACGAAAAAGTCGGGGAAGCAGCACAAAACGATTGGCGTGTGATTATGGGAATTGTTATCGACGGCAGCCATACGCGTATATGTATCCTGATCTGATATTCTGATGTCCTGTGTCCCTTGTAGGCAGTTTTGGATCCCTGCTTGAGTAAATGATGGTAATGCACTATGTCTGCTCTCACGCTGGACAAGCGCTGGAAGGTGCCAAATGGCGCACAAGCACATGATGCAAAAGGTAAAGCGAGCTAAGTCGATTAAAATTTGTACTTTTTAAGTTTTGTAATGTCTGTAGTGAGTGGCCAGTGAGATGCATATGGGTAAAGGCAGGATTAAATATTTAAACATACTGATGCGACCAGGTCAAAACCACCTATGGATGGAAACCGAATGACGGAGATCTTCGAACACAATTTATACGCTAAGGGATTATGACAATAGCTTACGGTAAAATCAGACATCCCGCGCAAAACTCGAAAAATGAATGATTCGATATGCTGGGAGAAAAAGTATCGAAAACAGAAGGCGGCAATGCGATTACAGAATGCGGAATCTCCGAACAGTGAGGAAACAGACGCTTATCGTACACCAGAAGGCGACAAGGGCTGAGTGGGAGGAAGAACAAGATTTGTAGGAAGACGGAGATTGAGATCGGTAAACACCCTGTATATTACACCCGCCGATACACCAGCCTCGACCAGATATTCAGGAGAAACGCCCCAGCCTAGGAGATCAAGTACGAGGTTCTTGGTGTGATCCAAGTCTTGGCGAGTCACTACCAAAAAGGTTTCAATCGACATTGACAGAGGAATAGAAGAGATGACATACTAGGTCCCATACCCGAATCTTGTGGTGTTGATGTCGCGGCGATGATTGAGGGAGAAGGTAAACGGGAGCTCTGAACAGATTCAGAGGGAAGACTTGTGCCACTTGATATATTCAACAGCTGGCCCGCAATTTCGGGAGGAGTTGAAGCAGTACTTGATGCGTCTTCCTCGGAAATCTCTCCTTCCTCTAGGTTGTCTGGATCTGTTACCGCAGTGATTGACGATGGAGTCTGGAGCTCGTCAGATTGCCCATTCTCCAGAACTGCGAGCGCTGGCTTCAGAGATATCTTGTCTGTCATACTGAAGAAGAATTAGAAGTTACAGGACTTAAAAGTGACAGGTTATTGAACACAACGATGGCGAGAACATGAAGTCGTTGAACTTCTAGCGCTATTAAGTTAGCTAATGTGACGCCAATTTGCAACCACGTGACTAACTTTGATGCTATAGGTTCCAAACTTTCATTGCATCCATAGGTAGCACCGTAGCACGAAAAATCTGTGATATAGGTCTGAAAGTTAGACCCTATACCACAGCTGTGAGGTTGTTGGTCGTGTAGCAATTTTATCCTACTATCCGTTTGAGATGTATCCAACACAATCGACGGTTCAACGAATGTTGCAGTAGTGGCAGTACAATAAGTCATACATACATACAAGGGAGACGGCAAATCGTGAGCCTAAAATATCCTGCCGCACCATGAAATCTGCATAGCGAGTCTGCACAACCTCCCCCTTTCTTCCTGATCTTACGACTACGACGAGACCTCGACGACTAATTGTGCGTTTATGCATGGTGTCAGGACATTGAGTCACTTAATAATGTAAAACAACGTACGAGCAATATAGTCAAAAAAAGTCATCATTGTGGGTACTCAAGCGAAGGGACAGGTGGGTGAATGAGAACCGCGATAGCCACAGTGGCAGCACTGAACTGTATTGAAGTTCGTGCAGGATTCATCATCAGATGAAATGCACATTGATACAGGGGTGACAGAAGAGTGATCCAAGTTAGATGAGGATGATGAGTGGTCGAATGACTCGGATGCAGTACTGGTCAAAGACATGGAAAGTGTAGAGCTGGAAGCGTGTTGAGAGTAGTACTAGCAGTCCTGTTGTGCAGGGGTTTAATGATTGAAGGGGATGAATTTGAACCACCTTTTATGCGGTGAAAATGCGACCCTTGAAGTGTGCTCAGGTTCAAGTTCGCTTGCGGGTCATGTGGCCCATCACCGATCTAAACCAAATGCGCAAAACAAAAATGGAAGTACAAGCTAGTACCTCAACCTGGACATGGCCATGGCATACATGCTTTGTCCCAAACCAAACCGGCCAACGGACCTCAAACCAGGATGTATGCCAACGTCAGACACAGTAATCCTTCCGTGCCACCCACTGTGCGCATCGGTCTTCATTATGTGAAAGTTCTGTACTACTGGCAAACAGCATGGCAGATGGTACACTTCAAAACATGTAAATTAGTATATCCTGAACACACAAAAGTCACCGTGCACAAATGCAGTTTTCCGTTTCATCGATGCCTCAATTTTAATCGCCCTGCATCTCTTCTGGTGGAGGACCTTGTTGTTCGCGCTCTTTTCGTGTGGCTTGTACGACATCGTCGACACGCAATAGCATACGAGCGGCCTGTGGGAATGGTAAGCACTCCGCATACGCGTAATGGACAATAGATGTACCTCAACGGCAGTTTTCAGGATTTGGATCTGAACGTGCAACAGATAGATGGTAAGGGGACTCATCGAACTACAAAACCATGGCGCGTACCTTTACGCTTGCACTCTCGTACAAGCCGTATTCCTTCATATCGACTATCTTTCCAGTCTCTCCATTCACGCCCCATGAATGCTCTCCATTTGCATGCTTAGCCTATCGGAAGCCATTAATCAAATCCAATTTCTCCAGAGATATGATCACCCACCCTGAGTTCTGTCAGTATCCTGATAGCATTCCCGCCGCTATTTTGCACTAGAGTCCGTGGGATCACCTCCATAGCATCTGCAACAGCTCTGAATGGCCATCCTTCAACCCCAGTAACGCTGCGTGCTTTGGCATGCAACCCCACGCTGATCGCCATCTCAGTCGCTCCTCCTCCCGGCGCAAGGAGGGGATTAAAGTATGCATTGCGCGCAACGCTGAGAGCGTCCGCAAGATTACGATCGATTTCATTGAGGATGTCCTTGGAGGGGCCACGGAGGAGAATGGTGCAGGCTTTGGGATTTTTGCACTCGGTCAGGAATGTGAAGTATCTGAGTGGATCGCGTAAGTGAACGCGCCAGGAAGAACTGACATAACGAACTCATCCCCCATCTTCTCAATATTGAATAACCCACATCCCGTGCCAACATCGGAGTCGCGGAGGTCTTCAACACGGTTTACGATGGTTGCACCAACAGCCAAAGCGATACGGTTGTTATCGGATTTACGGACGCGCCGAATGGCAGAGATGTTCGCTCGCTCAAAGACATATTGTGCCGTATCTGAAGGAGAAAAAACATTAGTAGTCCGGAAATTTTTCGACCTCAACACATACCGGATATGCCTTTCTCGGTGATAATAAGATCGGGCTTGAATTCGAGTAAACGTCTGCACTGTGCGATGACCTGCTCCTCTTCGATCTCCTGTGCGCGTTGCCAGTCGCTCTCCTTGGAAAACTCCATGTTGGTCTGACTCTCACCCTTCTTGTACTCAAGGGGACAATCGAGTAGGATGATACGCGGATTCTTGATTCGTCGGCGCATGTTTGGGTGAGTGATGTCTTTATTGAGAAGGACACCATCAAGGACTCTCGACTCCTCGATGGACCCGCCTGGAATTTTTTCAACACGTGCATAGCGTTTGATGTCAACGCTCTTGTGTCCAGCATCATCCGAGGCAACGGTGCGTACGGCTTGAAGGGCTAGATGGCACATTAAATCGCTCCAGCGTGCCACGAATTTGGTGCCGATGGAGGTTTTAATGAGAGAAAGCATCTCTTCATCAGATGACGTGTCAATTGGGATGGAAATGCGATTTACGATCGCGAGGGCCTCTTTGAGAGCTTTGTTGTATGCGGAAATGATGACAACAGGGTGGATGTCGCGTTCAAGCTGCGAGAGGGATTGAGCAAGAATTTCTCCCGCTATAAAATGATGAGAAAATGATATGGCCTCGAAGCTTAAGAACAAACCAAGGATGATAACGCTGGTTGTACCATCACCACATTCTTCATCTTGAGTACGACTCAGTTCGATCATATTCTTTGCTGCAGGGTGTGCAACGTCGATTTCGCGGAGAATTGCGTTTCCATCGTTTGTTAGTCTGTAAAGTTACACTGCTCAAATATATTGATAGCAGGAGATGTGTAAAGACGCACAGTATGCCGCCCATTGGATCGAGGATCATCTTGAGCATGGCTTTTGGGCCAAGACATGTTCGAATGACATCAGCGATAGTCTATTTGAGAAGTGAGTATAAATGAGACAAAAATCAAGTATATGTTGACGATTATACTTGCCTTTGCGGCAGTGATGTTGGAGATCTGGGCTTTCCTTCCTGACTGCCTCTCTGGTGCAGTGTCTGCAAAGCATCGCTTTCAGTGATATATTTGAAAAGAACAGGCGGTACATACTCATGACGAACACTGGTGTCTGTCCTGCCTGCATGGTCGAATATTAAGTGTGGATCGCGTTGGACAATGAGCACGCTGAGCGATCAAAAGCAAGCCAAAATGCTCTAACCGAATCCTGTGACACATTTCATGTGACATCTATGTCACTCTACTAGCACTTCAAATTCAATGATCACTATTCACTACAGCACTATCTGCATCGGCAGAACCAAGAAATATCATATGATGATTGATGCTGACATGCTGAACTCACAGATCAGCTACGTATATATATATATAGTCGCTCTAATCTGGACTGAGGAATCGCATCTCCCTCGCATCAATATCATCAACACGAAGAACTGCGGTTGGGGCAAGGTTGGGGGTAGAATATTATAAAAGCGTGCATAAAATATAGCCTCTGCAAACTGAATGGTCTAGAGGACAAGAAGTGTCAGTATGCCTGAGTCGTGTGATCAAACAGGTAGCACGTCCAAATAGCCTCAAAAAGCCCGCGTGCCATTATTCCACCTCTAAGGTCATGGACGACATCCACTAATTCGCGTACTTGAGGCTGTAGCGTTAGGATTTGTTCTTGAGACATACATCCTGTCGGTGTGCTAGAGAGCAAGACTCTTTCCAAAGCCAGATCTTTCGCCTAGAAACATGAAACATGATATTTACGCCGCCTATTGTGAGAAGGTGATAGAAGGTGAATGTCGAGGCTGCGAAGGGCTCTATATTTCCGTGGTTCGGTGGGCGAGGAATCTCCAAAATAGGTAGAACTTCTGCCCCTGAGGCGTGAATTGCCAGGGTCGAGAGAACTCAGAGACAGTGAATGGTGAAACTAGGTCGACCTTGTTTCGAGTCTTCGGTCAAGGCGGCTTGAAAGAAAGCGAGACTATATTTTGCTGCCCAGTCGTGTATGCATGTTGCGGTGCCTTTTTTTTCAACATTATAATCGTCTAAATATTCATCGGGCCGGTTGGTCCAAGGATCTATACTGCGCGTGTGTCAATGCAGACTTAGGTTTTGATATACGCACGATGCAGGCCATTGACCCGTGGTTTAAGAAAACAACACACCTCGGCTACTAGCGTGGCGAGTTGGAGCTACGGATACCTCGGAAGCTGGGGAACAGGTGGATCAGGAATGAAGGACAGTGCGATATTCTGCATATTGGAGCTCGCTTGGTTTTCTAGGATGTAATACCGTAGGTACCACTGACTTGCCGATGACGACGCAAGGTTGCTTCGCCGATATATCGCAGGAGCCCAAATTGAACATTTGAGGCAAAATAGGTCATGATCAGGGATGAGAAATCCTGGATGGGTTGCCAATAATCTGACTCCAGGCTTACTTTCATGGGGGTACTACATAAAAGCGTGGCTACGTGCCAGCAATCAACTAGTCATTAGGAGGCAGATCTTGGTGCACTGTCAGCGGTCATGTGGGCATTAATGATACATGAACGTTTGAATCAGAAGAAGGTCCGAGAGACTCGGAGCTCAACTACTCCAGAAGCAATCTCGCTTATGTAATTGATACTCGGGTCCATAATTAAAAATCGTTAATCGTTCGTAATCGTTAATCACTCGATATTGACATGGTCGAGCCTCTTGGGCATACAATATCAATGTGTGGCGTCCTCGCCGGACATGCTCACAATCGCGTATCAGTCTACCCAATGTGTTGATCTCGGTCATTACCATATAGTAAGAGACACTTTGTATTTTGTGGAATGAACACATAGAGGCGCTAGTACGTGAGCGCTTCTCTTAGAGCAAGCTTAGCGAGGTGGTTCAGATCGTAATTCTAATTCTATGTTACAAATTGCGAAAAGTCAAAAATATCATTATATACATCCCTCGTACTCACTTTGTGCTTCATTAGTTTTGAGATGTCTGACGCGCACGTCTGTCAGCACGGCATGGAGGTCCAATACGCACTGCCAGCCAGATCAGGGGTACCGACATAAAACATATCCCTCCTAGAAGAACAAATGTCCACCCGGCGTCAATCTTGTGAAGTAGCAGCTCGATCATAGAGACCAGCAACGCTCCCATGGAGCACCTTATGAGGTTATTCTGCGGTTCTTGTCACAATCTTGTGTATCAAATAAAGTAGACGTACTCACACATGCAGTCACCGAAGAGCCTTGTGACGGTACAAGGTCGATCAAAAGCGTTTGAACGGTAGTGAGCATAGCGATTTCCGAAAATCCGACTGTGTAACCAAACATTGAGCACTAGACTATGAGCAAGAATCGAAACCAATACTCACTGACGAATTGGAGGACCAGAGGTACTGCAATGGTGGTTTGCGCTTCAAAGCACCAGCCATACCCAATGCAAGCTACAGAAAATATGATTATCCAAAGTGGCAATCTCTTCAGCCTTGTTGCTTCGATGGGAAAGTCACCATCGTTTATGATATGACCTGGGATACCGTTCTCTGGCGTAGAATTACAAATCAGCTGCTCTCTCGCAGTCCTGTAATCCCAATCCATGAGCTTGCCACTGAAAATTGCGCCCAGTGCAAGCCCGCCTCCAGAGGCCAGATAGCAAATCCCAATATCCGTCTCTGTCAAGTGAGGGTAGTGTTCTTCGAACAATGAAGATATGGTCGCTAGAATGGCGGTGAACACTGCGTATTGAATTCCATTGAAAACCAGGAGGTTCAAGATATCGACACAGGCGAACAGACGGAACGGGTTAGGAGATTTACGAGCAGGTGGACGCTCCACCTCAGAATCTTTATGGCCACGCCCTATTAAGGGTAACAGAGGACGATACTGGATGGGCGGGAAAATACTACCATTGCCGACGATGCTACGCAAGGTCTCCGGGAGGAACCTGACACCCAGGTCGCGTCAGAGAGAATAACACCAAACATCGCGACTTACGTGACCAGAACGATAAAACACGCTGAACTGGAGATACAGAGGAACCAAAAAATGGATCTGAATAATGGACAGTATGAGGAATCTTTGTTCCATTTGTGCGGGAAACTGATCACCTCCATCCGAGTTTGTCCGCAAGAGCGCCTCCTACAACAGGTCCTATTGCGGGTCCAACCTTCGAAACGCAGTTACTACATGGTCACGTCATGTGCTCTTGCGCTCACCTGTGGGCCCATTGTAAAGATACCGAAGAAACCACCCCGCTCCGCGGGGGTAGCGATGTCTGCGATGATACCAGCACCTGTAACGAATGAGACACAGCGAACATAAAAGCAAACAAATCTGCATACCGATCGTGAGCGTACTAGCGCTACCAACAGCTTGGAGACACCGAAGAACCATCAACAGCCAGAAATATGATGTCGGTACGAATGCCAGACCGATACAGGCAAGGCTGAGAACAAACAAACATCCGAGCGACGTCGGTCGTCTGCCCATGTGATCTGCTAGAGTACCCCAAAACATGGGTGCTTTAAGCGGTAACAATGAGCCCGGATACAAACAGCATGCAGAAGGCTTCACTGACATACACCCTGAAATACCAAATAAACCGTCACCGTGAGATTGGTGAGTTCGACAGTCTTTCCAAAAGCAGTTGCGATCATTGGAATGGCAGGAAGGTAAATATACGCCGTCAACGGGCTGACAAAACTGTTCAGAATAATTTCAGTGACGAGGAACAACCATTTGCTCACCTAAACAACCCTGCTATGGACGCAAGAGTTACTATAAACCATTTTTCGCAAGTCGTAAATACAGAGTAAGGAGGTTTGACATCATGCTCCTTCGCGAGCACGACGGGAATATCGTGGACTTCATCAGTCTGGACCATAGTAGTATGCGGAGAAGTATGAGGGAAACAAATGGTGAATCACCACTGTTTAAATATGCAGGCTACAGCTCGTGCATCGGTTTATGCTGAGCCGAAATCAGCTTCGCAGATTCTTGGAGTGGGTGCTTGCACCCTCGATACACACCCTGGACGACTCCAATAAGGAAGTGCATGGCGAATCTTGCCAAGTAATAGCTTTCCATGCGATACTCGTGCAGTGTACCATGAACCGTCACTTCACTTCTGGCACTTGGTTCACTAGTACCAGAACAAAGTGCTTGGAAGGCTTAGCAAAAGTGTTCAATGCCATTATGGCTGACGTGCGAAGCCTCGCCAAGGAGATGAATGACACAGAATGACTAAAATCTATCAACTCGGTCATTAAATATATGTAGCTTTCGTCATGGACTTACCCGCTAGTACATCAGGCCTTCAGGTCCGATTTATATACAAACGTAGTTGCCCGAGCCACAAGGTGTGGTTCCGTGAGGTACATCTGCTTTAGGACACTCTTCTATTTCTGTTCCCTACCAATGTCCCAGATGTCTTGAACACGCTGTGGAAACACGCTTTTACATTGATAACTTGTCGCCACCCCAAGTCCGTTCCGGGAGCCATCTGAGTACCAGCAGAAGGCATCCATCCTCTGCCGACAGAAGTATCAAATTTAATTCCGATATCGGCGCTGATGCGTTGGGCAGGACCGCCGGATAGATAGAAATATTGGGGAAGTGTATCGATAAAAAGGCTATCAAAGACTCTGCCAAGAAATCATCACTTCATAGTAGTAGTAGGAATGTAAAAACCCACAGTCCAGCTTCCTAAACTGTTTCTCACGCTTCGCCAAATAGAAGTAGTCTGGCTAGGCCTGGTTCGCGAGCTGATTAACTTCACGAGAAATCTGAGTTGCTTGTTTGCCATTCTCGCATTTGCATTGTCTGCTTGATAGTGGAATTTGTCATGCCGCCGTCGAATGAACCCTCGGAGAGGATTCTCCGTTCGCCACAGGTCCAGCAATATGGGTTGATTCACCACGAAAACTCTCGACGCCAAGCATAACAGAGCAAGACGTTATGGATTGTATTCATTTGAATCGCGAGACGAATAGCTATCAAAACTCTAGAACCAAGCAAGCTGGTAAAATACCATCAGTTAGGCTTGCGACGCTTATCCAAGAAAATACTTGCTACAACGGTGCAATATGGTCGAGGCGTTAATGCACTGGGCTCGGAGAAGGATCTTGCGAGGGGCCGAGGTTCAACAAGGCCTCAAAATTCGCGAAGAATATTTCCGATTCTCTCACTGAGGGCGTAATATGTCAACACTAATGCAGAGCGCCCCTTCGGTTGGTTTAACTTCGACCGGACGCTGCCATCATTCGTTGATAATCGGGTCCTCTCCTGCGGCTTTTGATGTATTTGGTATCAAACATGCATCGACTTCCGGAAGCAGAAAAACCGCGATTCAAGTTCTCGAGGATTGAAATGCCGCAAATGATATGCGGCATGCAGGAAGGTAGTACACTTCCTAGAGGGATTATAGGTGCTTGGACGGATAAGCGATCAATCGAACAGTGTTTGAGGTCAAACTTACGGCTACTAATGCTATATTGTCGCGAGTGGGCATAAAAACGCGTTCATTGAACCGAAAACCAAAATAGAGGGGTACTTGGTAGATGGGCGCTTTTCTTCGAGGGTGGGTCTTCATTTCGATGCATTCTGGGTTTTACAACATAGCAACCTTTCGGGGTGAGAAGACAGAAACTCTAGCCAAGCAAAGCTTGGCGGTGGGCGCTTGCAAGTGAACTTCGGACTGAGTCGGAAGGAGTCCTGCTTAGTCAACTCATGCCAAGAGCACTACTAGTAACTACTCACCATGACCAAGGTCACCACACCACGTCGTGCTGAAACCCGAATTTCTCATCCTACAACAATTATGGTCGAATGGTGAACGCCTTCCTTCACCTCACATCCGCATCAAACAAAGCGCCTTGCACCACGGGTCGTACGAGTATGTTGCGTTAACAGTGGAGGACCCTCTTAGCAACTTGTCTTGACTTTCGAAAAATGTTGGCAGTTTTCAAGGTCACTTCATCCAAAACTTGAGCCATATTTTTTAATGACAATGAGCGATATCGCACCGTAAACTCAGAGGTGCCTGTGTAACTCTACTACAGCCGCACCTAATAATGCACCGAGGTACGATAAAGAAAGTTAAATCTAAGGGTTAGTTGTACGATAAGCCAGAGCGGCACTCACCATAGTGAGAATCAATTTTTTGCTACCACCATCATTGACCCGTCGATGCGTCGGTGGGATATTTTGCAATTGACGGTCGACCTCAATTTCGAGTCTGCATTCGAAATCGATATATCAAATACGAGGGTAGTACCGGACGTCGATGATGGAGGCATCATATCTGGAGTACAGCTATCAATGAATTAGGGATACCATTCGCTCAACCAAATATCTATTGGTCCTGGAAGTAAACTCTTCTCTCTATCTCGATAAGTTAACTATACCTCATCTTCCTAATAACCTCCCATGGCTAAACACCACCATACCCCTACAGTTGTGTACCTAATTGCATTTGTTGAATGTTCATGAAGATGTTACAGCTCGACTTGCAACCCGCCTAAACCTACATTCCTGTCCACTACCACCGAGCACCTTACTCCACTGGATAATCAAATAGTTTGCAAACACGATAGTGAGCACCGACCGCGGTCTGAATTTCACTTCGTAAGGCGCTGCGAACAATACTTTTCCCACAAATGTAGCAAAAATGAGTGTTACAAGCCGGAGAGATGCACTACGACAGCATATACGTTAGAATGGTCTGTTTGTCAACAAGTAGATCACTCACAGTCATGTGGCTGCATCCCCCGTCCCTCTGGACTGGCGTTTTGCAGTCTGCCAATGACCATAAGTAACAGCAAATAACAAATAGGATGAGAATATACTTGGGCAGTACTTCCACCCGCGCTGCTTCATCAAATGGTCTAAGTTCCGAAGTGCCGTCACAAGAATGGGGAGGACCGCCGATTATAATAGATTGTTGGCACGCTTTGCACCAAATATGGCGACAATCGGGTAGGGGACAAACGAGCATGCGAGATTCATCATGCTCCTGTCTGACTACAGGCACTGATCGCTGACATCTAAAATGACATGATTAGCGTGCTGGAGATATCACAGGCGAGACACTCACTTGCGGCAGTGGAGGAGAACTGAAAACTGGCTAAGTTCCATTTCTTCCCAAATCGCATATTGCCGTTCATCGATACCAATTTGCTGCACGAGTAGTCCCGAGATCGCTAGAGAGGATAAGTTAATGATGGGTACTACAGAAGATGTACAAACCTTTAGGTTGACGATCATTCTCCGTCATGCAAACGGGGCACAGGACTGGAAAACGATGTTCTTCGATCTTGGAGCAAACATGCCCTCGGATACAAGTTCTGCATATCGAGTGCTTGCATTCAAGATCCACACTGTCGTCCGCAGATTGTTCTTCCATGCATATTAAGCATGAAAAGTTGTCTGGAACTGAGACAGCCAAAGCTTGCATCTGGTCTCGAAGTTGCGAATCCTCAACGTCGAAAGTTTTCTGCAACTCGAGGGCCACAGCTGAATTCAGGCTGTCGAGTCCCCAGTCATCTCCTTGGTCTTCCTTGGCTGTATCATAAAGCGAGGACCATGCGTCTGCATCACGATCGCGAACGTTGTCCATAATTTTATCGGATGACGAAGACGAGTGTGAGAAGTCGAGAGCAGGCCACGATGATCCAGCTATTCCATTCGAGGACCGTGAAGAAAGGGGCCATGAAGTGAGGTGCCGATCACTGCTGCTCTGCATGATCTTTGAAGCTTCCTGGAGTGATACCACTTTCTTCTTCTCGATACTCAAAGCATCGTCCAAGCGTTGAACCTCTCCTTCAAGTGTCTCGTTTTCTTTAGCCAGCCTCTCATTTTTCTGTGTCAATCCAGCCACTTCAGCTCGCAATCTCAGAACAGCTAGGCTAGATTCAACGATAGTATGCTGCATGCCCCGCATGTCTGCAGGTGGTCCATTTGATGCGAAGATATGGCCTGATACGTTATTAAGTAGCTGAGCCTGCCATTGAAGGCCACTCAGGGAAAGAAGATGGCTGTCGGTAGCAGGTAATATGCTGGCCAGGCGTGAAACCGCTTGGTCAATCGATGTATTGAGAATAAGACCAGCACCAGCTGGATAGCTTGGTCGTGGGTGAGAATCGAAAATCGCAAAGACGTCTGTCTCCGATCCTTTAATCACCGTGCATGCGATGATCTCAGGAGGACGAGTGATGATGACAGTAGAAGAGGAGCTCAAAGATTGCATATATCTGAGAAGATCATGGAGGTGATGACACCGATAAACGAGATAAATAAATGATCGACTTACTCCAAGGTACGCCTAAAATGCTTCGCCTTTGGGGGACCAAACCGTGTTGTTAAAAGCTTCAAAGACTTCTCGAATAGGGGAACTTGCTGTATTTCTTCCACATCCAAGTGCAAGTCGCTTGACCATTCCGAACAGATGGAGATAATGTCCTATGGTATGACGTTTCGTGAGAAGCAATGAGGGACTACGGCCACTGGATTTGACGGGCGCTAAAATAGACAAATACTGACTTGAATGACCTCTTTGCTGGTGATAGCTCGAAGCAAATCAATCATCCTGTCCGGACTATGTATGTGGACGAGGTCAGAAAGTACTCTCGCAAAATTCATGGCTGCAAGGCCACATGCAGATATACCGCGACCATTGAACTGACTCGTGCCAGGGTAAGATACAATGCGCTCCCTTCCCTGCAAGATATCCATGATGCTATCGTCGGGTCCGTTGAGGCGAATAGCTGAGACCATAGCTTTGGGTAATGGTTGTGAAATGGTTGTGACCACTAATCAGAAGGGAAGGCTGAATGAACGGCGCTCACTGTCATCAACTTAAGTACTACAGGGTCCTGGATATGTAGGTGTGGCAGTGACCACTTGACAAGAGCTTGCTTCAATCGGACTTTGGGGGCGTACTACTAGTAAGTACAGCGCGACAGGCTGTCGCCCCTACGGCAGTCGTGACGCGGCTGTGGTGCGGCGTGACGTATATGTGACGCAGCCACTGACGTGCAGAATGTCAAGTACTAATGTTTTTATATGTTCTACGAGTCGCACGGGTTGCTTTGTTATTCATAGGGACATGCAGTCAAAAAAATTCTGGAGCGAAGGAATAGGCGGCTGTACAACGTCATCCAATTCTTTTGATACTTCCACTGGTATAAAAGTTCTGAAGCAAGTCTTCTTCGCGAGGGATATCCCAAGAGTGTACCTCATGTTTGTTAGAAAATCGATTATTACGCAGATTGAAGATATACCTAAATTACACGCGGACAATTGAAATGCCAACGCGCAGGGTGGGGTTTGGCGCGGCATGTGCTAGGTGGGATGCGGCACTAACGAGGCGTAGTACTGTACATGTGCGACAGTTGAAATGATGAAGTTCGACGCGGGTAGTTGTGACACGGAATGGATGAAAGACGCACCGTCGCACATGTGCACACAGTGCAGACACAGGTCCGACGATAAATTTGGTGCAAAGTGAATACAGGACATGTGAGAACATCCCTGAAACCACCCCTCCGGCGCATAAAAGTCCGGGGCGCACTGCGGCAAGAACGGCGGCAAAGCTGGTAGCTAACAGACGGCACGTCGGACATTGAAAACACACCTGGAGGCTCGACGTTCAACTACAGCACCGATGCTCGATACCTCCAGCTTACTTCGATGCTTCCTAACTAACAATCTATTCCACATTTACATTTATCAACTATTTACATGATAATACCATGTTTCTTCGGTCACACGGCCCACCATATCCAAAGCCCTCGTAGCTAGCCATGAGTGATTCTAGCAACTCACCCTCTCCTTTCCTGCTTGAACTTTACTGGTAGAGGTAGCCCACACCCACTGGGGCTCTGGACAGTGATTATTGGAGGGCGGTAGCTGAGATACGGGGTCCATACGGATATAATAAGGAGTGATAAGATTAACACGTAGTATTAGACTTACCTAGGTGTTTTGAAAGTCCGCTACCTGGCCGTTTTTTGCCGCCGGACTGCGGATATATCCGCCGTAGCGCCGTACTTTGCGCCGGACAGGTTTTGGCCGGAGGGTGACCTTTTCGGACATGTATTAGATATTATGTAATTAGACCGCTGCCAAATATTACATAAATAAATGATCTTAGCTCACATAAGCCTGCGTATCGTCAACCAGCAGTAGCGCAGCCTTGCAATGAAAATCGTTTATCATTCATCATGCATCATGCATCAGTGACGAAGACAGCACACTACATGGAGCTATGAATTTAGCATTCATAGGATTCGTAAGTCGAATCCTGCCCCAGCTCTCCTTCGAATGGTGTCTTTCCATTGTACCCGAGTCGCACCCCGTCCTTATCCTTCTGCGCTCCCCAACACAAACAGGCAAGAAATCTTCTCTTCGAGATGATATCGACTTTAGTTCACACAACTAGAGAGGGAGCGCGCAAAGGGCATGCGTATGGTGATGGCCCTGATGGGTGGGTAGTTAGTGGGGACCGATGCCGACCATCTAATGCATCGAGTTTTGCGTCTCGCTCTCGAGAATATGATTGTCACAACAACTTTCTCTCCCTAGTTCATCGGGCCACAGCGCGGGGGTACTTTTGAGTTTGCATTGACTTGTTCATAAGTATCTGTATTTAATTGTTTTTTTTTTCACCAAATTTCGGCTGTTCAAGATATTCATGACCCAAGCTCCAGCCGTCCATCTTTCACTGTGATCAGAGACGAAAATTGGATGTGTGGTACTCGCTCTGAAGTGGCTTGGTAGCGTTGCCTTTTCATACGGACCATGGTGAATTGAACACGTATCTCCAGGTCAGTCCATCATCAATATTAATGTGCTGACTATTAAAAGTAGCTCAGCGAACTCACTCACATGAGACACTGCCCCTAGATGCTTGTCAACATAAGTGCATGTCATGCTTTGATCAATTGCATGACTGTGTCTAGCCCTGCTAAAATCAGCTACAGTCACCGAGGAGTACTTCTTGGCACGAGACCTTGCTTCTGGAAGATAAAGGTAAGATGGTGTTCATGTGGTCTTCTTGTTATCTCCAGGAGAGTATTTATCTCTGCTGTTTCTCGTGAAACATGCTTGGAGCTTTCATCGATACCTGTCATGGATTTCGATCTCATTGTTCGTAATGGCACCGTCGTGACTGCCTCGGACATTTGGGAGTCTTGTGATATTGGAGTTAAAGTACGAATTCCACCTGTCATCGTGTTCGAATTTTACTAATGTGTCGCTACCTATGTCAGGATGGAACCATTGTCGCTGTTGGTCCTCGTCTTCCAGCCGCACCCGGCGCGCAAGAGATTGACGCTGAAGGGGCTTTTATAACTCCTGGAGGAGTCGACGCTCACGTTCATCTGAGCCAGGCAAGTACATTTCTTTACCTTCTGCCGAGATACTTATCATGTTGTGTAGTTTTACGAAGGCACCGTAGGTGTGGACATTGATCACTCTATTGTCACGAATGGGGTCGTCCCTGATCCCGAAAACTTTGTCGGTGACACGTTCGATACGGGCACGCGCAGTGCGGTAGCTGGAGGAACAACAACAGTTATTACGTTCGCCTCTCAAATGAAGAAGGATGAGAGCATCATTGCTGTTATCGAAGACTATCACAAGCTCGCCAAGGACCAGTCCTACTGCGACTACGCTTTTCACGTCATCATTTCCAATCCGACACCCCAAATCGTCGAAGATGAATTCCCCCGGATGGTCAATGAGTACGGAATTACGAGTGTGAAGCTGTATATGACATATAAGCCATTGAGGCTTCAGGATTATCAAATTCTCGATGTCATGTATTCCGCCCGGAAACTTGGTATCACTACGATGGTGCACGCCGAGAATGCCGATGTTATCGACTGGATGACACAGCATCTGGAACAGAAGCTCATGACGCATCCTTACCACCATGGTACATCTCGACCTCCGATCGTGGAGGCTGAGGCTACGGTGAGCTTATTCTGTGCTTGGTTTGAACTGATAATGACATGCTCGTATTGTAATAGAACCGCGTCATTTGTTTAGCTGAACTCATGGATACGCCAATTCTGCTTGTACACATATCTGGTGGGCCTGCCACGAAGCACATCCGAGACGCACAAACGAGGCTGCTTCCTATCTACGGTGAAACATGTCCCCAGTACATGTTCCTTCTCGCTGACTCGATGCGAAAGGGAGACTTCGAAGGTGATGAAACATCTGCGCTTTTGTTCATTGCCTTACGGACTATGATACACAGGCGCGAAGTGCATATGCTCGCCTCCGATCCGGGAGGACAAGTCCGACCAAGATGCTATTTGGGCTGGGGTCAAAAACGGAACGTTCACCATCGTTTCTTCAGACCACGCTCCTAGCAAATTCAATCATCCAAATGGAAAGCAACGCGGGCTCAAAGACGGAAACCTTCCATATGGGAAATTCCGTCTCATCCCAAACGGGCTGCCTGGTGTGGAGACCCGTATTCCGCTTCTCTTTTCCGGTGGCGTCCTCTCCGGACGCATCTCCCCACAGAAGTTCGTCGAGGTCACGTCCACAAACCCAGCCAAACTATACGGATTGAAGAAAAAGGGCAGCATTGCCCCTGGCTTCGACGCTGATCTGGTCATCTGGTACCCGCAAGCAAAGTTCCAGCCATTCAAGCTCACGAACGAAATGCTGCACCATGCTGTCGACTATACACCTTTTGAGGGTATCGAGTTCAAGAATTGGCCGAAGTACACAATCATCAGGGGTAAGGTGGTATTCAGCCATGGGGAGGTAGTTGGGGAAATGAAGTACGGTCAGTACATCCGGAGGGAGCAGAGTCTGCTTCCAGGACCAAGAGATGTTTGGTTGAGCGAATGGCGGCCCTAAGGTCGGTACGAGAGGCGTCTAAACTATTGGTTGTCGCAGTTCAATTTTCGAATCTCATGCTTCCGTTGATATCTATGTCGCACCCTGGTCACAATGTAATATAGCCTATACAGATTGAAGTATACAACTACACACGTTCGCGTGTCTAATAAAGTTTTCCGCGCGGGATTTAGGTAGGCACAAATGACGCATGATATTCCCCTGTGAATGAGCAAACGTTGACAACGAAGTTCAATAAAGCCGATGATCGTAAGGTTGAATGTTGAACAATGAGTCACTTACTACGAGCCATTTGCTAATTATTTGGACGTGCCTCGCGTGTGTAGTTGTTATGGTTTCTGACACTGCTGTGATTATAATCATTACGCATGGCAAACGTGAATTGTTGAATAGCCACCTTTAAATGAGGTCCAACTTGAAGGGGTTAAGGCGGCATCTATCATATCTGTATGAAATCCATATGGTCATGTCATTGACACTTGGAAATCACTGAGCAGTATGAAAGCACATTAATGACCATTGGTGTTTGATTGAAAGTCGCAGTACTCACCGAGTACGACTGTCTGAACATCATGATGATGATGCATGAAACGATCGGACTTTGAATTACCTTCAGTGAGTTCCCAGTTCGAAAAGCAACTTTAGCAGCCTGAGGCTGCAGGCATCGACTGCTCAGTACTTGACCATTGGCACCTGCTCGACGCCAAGCTAGTCGTGTCATTCCTCTGTGCCTTGCTGCCAAGTCTAGAGGCCGTCTCATGTCCGATTCATGAGATTTAACAGCTATCAGCGATCCAGGCCGCAGGATCTGTGAAATGTGCTGGACCTAAGAACCCGAGCCCGGTACCGTTCAAGAGCAACTAGACTTGATACCATCCAGTACAACTCGAGTCAAACCTGACTATTCGATTGCAAGTTCATCGAACAGTCATGTCGAGGAGTAGTCAGCACGTAACTGATTCTCTTTTCTTTCTTTGCCGCTGTCCAAATCGTGCCTCGCCCCACAAACCCAGACTGGACTTGTCCGCATCTCGCCAAGGCTCCCCATGCATGTCACAAACATTATGCCCGTGATATATTGGAAGCTGACAACAAGTGCTGCGGTTGGCCTGGGCTCTGCCGCCTCGATTCTTGATTCTCGAATGTCACGTCGTATTTATTAGTAGGTACTGCCAGGGTAAGCTTTACGTGCCATCAGCTTTGCCCCTGCATGACTTATTTTTCATCAGTATGACATACAAAAGGTAGGCTACCGACATTACGACACTGCAGGAGATGGTTGAAAGTGTTTGCGTATTCTCATGTTGATTCAAATCTGTCCTTTTCAGATCTTAGGAATTCTAGGTCTGAGAACCTGTGGCGTTGCGACGATATTGGTTACTAGTATACGTTCTCTCTATTTCCGAACAACATAGTGCAACCTATGGGAGTTTATGAGCCTCAAGTAGCCAAGAATAGCGCATCTCATTAACCTTCTGATCAGTATAAGGTTGGACAGGTTGGGCATCCCCGGTGCCTGCCCCAAGCACAGTTTGGATTGGCCTTGACAATTGCTACCTTAGGCCTCACGCCGCGCTCCCCTAGGTGATATCCTTATCATTTTCTTTCAAAACGTTTACAAACTTAACTCTGTTGATAGTATCATTCTGAAGTTTCGAAGTATAGAATAAGAAGTCTCTTGCTGATGCGACGGCCCGGTAACCCAGGCTTGACACCGATTACGAATCGAGGACGTGGACCTTTAATCGATATGAACGTGGGACATCGATACGAGGTGGTTTGTTGTTTGTGTGGAGCCTGGTGGTAATTAATCATAAGATGCGCTCAAATTCGGTGCTCCGTTTGTCTCTGCTGCACATGACCGTTGTCAGCGATATCAGAACGAGTACTGGGGAGAAGTTCATCTCCGGCCCCACAGCATGTGCATGAGATAACGGATCATGAGTTGTACCGACTGAATGAACTCATTTTCGAGTGAGATTACAGGTCAACGTTCAAAGCCAAAACGCATTCAAGACGATGGCAAACCGTTGTTTACCTCAACATTACTGTCAGTCGTTTTACCGAGGTGATTGTTTTATGTAATCGATGATTCGGACAATTGGCCGAGCCTTCTCAAGGCCGCAAACTCTGAACTGTTACAGCTAAACTCAAATATTTCGAAACTCATCGATCAAGACGCGCCTCCAATCCATTTGGGGTGGTCAGCTCTATTCGGGTCCACATCCAGATATGATTGTTTCACTTATTTCGCAGTATACAAGGCACCTTGGCAGAACGCAGTGCATGTTTGACCAGAAATGTGATGGTGATTCGCCCCTGGGACCTGCAGACCTGTACACCTATGTACGACCGCAAGCAAGGGGAGTTCCTGCAATGGAAGCTCAAGAAGGTTTGGTGTGACCAATAACGTGATATGCTTCTGATCGGAATATCGCATTCGGTAACTCCTAGCGCAGAGATATGTATCATTGACTTGTCAAGTCAGAAGTGTGAGTTTCGCTTCATCTTCCTAGGTCCCACTATTAATTAGAATCCTTTATATCGTTCTCTCTTTACTCCACCCTCCTTTCTATCACCTCTCTCGAGATGCTTACTTTCGCCGACAGGCTCAACGCCCAGGTCCGTACATATCCTGCCCCACCTATTCATCTTCTTCAAGTCGATAACAATCTGGTTCGTTCCTTTAGGTTGCTGATTCTGCAATCGGACGATGGTTTCGCCTAGAGGGCTCTGGTCACGCCCGTGAGCGCGAGGGTTCACGTTTTATGGTTCGTTGTTTGTTTATGCAGCTCACCTAGACATCGTAGTCTGATCTCATTCGCATCGATCAGACAGATATCCGTGCAGGTATAACGACCTGGGTAAGCAACATTTTTTCACCGTCGAGATTATCTTTTTAACGCCCTTATCAGGCAGCCATGGCCTACATCGTATGTCTTCGTTCGTCATCGTTGAATCACTATTCAATCAAATCATCTTTCCATACAAGATTTCTGTCAACGCTTCCATAGTATCTGACTCTGGGGGAACTTGTGTCTGTGAAGCCGCCAATAACTGTGTCACTGATCCGGCATATCTCCAATGTATCCAAGAGGTGAAGCAAGATCTCATTACGTCCACAGCGGCCATGTCCGCTCTTGCATCAATCTTGATGGGCGCCCTTGCGAATTTGCCTGTCGGTATGGCTCCAGGGATGGGTCTTAATGCCTATGTACGTCCGTTAATGCCCTATTCTTGATCCTAGACACCGTCATTGACACCGTTTCGACAGTTCACATACTCTGTTGTTGGTTATCATGGGAGCGGCTTTATCACTTACAGAGAAGCACTTTCTGCTGTCTTCTTAGAAGGGTATGTCGATTTCTCCCGCGGGACTCTCTGCCTCATCAGGCGCCCTTTGCAGATGGATCTTCTTCATCCTGTCCCTTTTAGGCTTACGTCAATGGCTTGCTCGCATCATGCCACAATCGCTTGTTCTTGCTGTAGGCGCTGGTATTGGATTGTACATTGCGTAAGTGCATAATTCTGCGCTGATCGTTAAATGAACCTGCGACTGATGCTCCCATCATCGTTCGTTGCTACGCAGGTTTATCGGATTGAGTTCGTCCCACATGTTCCATCTGACGGGGTATCATTTACTCATTGTTTTCGCACAGCATCCGGTGGCTTGAATGTAATTGGAGGTGACACTACCAACCTCGTCGGCCTTGGTGGCTGTCTCGAGTCAGGTGCGCTCATTCCGTCCTCCATCGACGTCATCGAGTCTGACAGTCTATGTTTGTAGATTGGTTGGAAGGTCTACCATACTTCTGTGGTACTCAAGTTCTACGGAGTCCTACTACATGGCTTGGCATCTTTACTGGCGGGTATGCGTCTTATCTTTATCTGTACTTACGACATAACCCAACCCAACCCAGTATTCTCACGATCCTATTGATGCTTTATCGCGTCAAGGGGTCCCTCCTAATCGGTATCTTCATCACTTCCATAATCTCTTGGCCACGAAACACTTCTGTCACCTACTTTCCACACAACGATTCGGGTGATCAGCTGTTCGACTTCTTCAAACAGGTCGTGACCTGGCACCCCTTACAACATATCGGTAATGCACTAGATGTAAGTAAAATCCCAGTAATCTACAGGTCGACGCTCATGTATCACTTCGAAGTATAACTATGGCAAAGGAAAGGTGTGGTACGCACTCATAACCTTCCTTTATGTCGACATTTTGGGTGAGTGTTTCAAGAATGACATGAAACCACGTCTGAAATTAGCGTTTTGTTAAGACACCACTGGTACTCTTTACTCTATGGTTAAATTTGCTGGCCTGCGTGATCCTGTCACCCTCGATTTTGAAAATTCTACCATCGCATACTGTGTCGATGCCTTCTCTATTTCTATGGGCGCGCTCGCAGGCACAAGTCCCGTCACAGCATTCATCGAGAGTGCCACTGGTATCGCTGGTACGAACACCATTTCATCTTCAATATATTATCTTGGATCTAATTCAGCTCGCAGAGGGTGGTAAGACTGGCATCACTGCAATCGTCACTGGACTCCTCTTCTTCCTCTCTATCTTCTTCGCGCCCATCTTCGCCTCCATTCCACCCTGGGCTACCGGCGGCGCGCTCGTTGTCGTCGGCTCGCTTATGATCCGCAATGTTCGCGATATCAACTGGGACTATGTCGGCGATGCTGTCCCTGCATTCCTCACCATCCTATTTATCCCTCTGTCATACAAGTAAGTCTTCTGAACACTTTAAAGGGCTTGAGATGTTGACAGCAAGGCACAGCATTGCGTATGGTGTCATCGTCGGCGTGTTCTCCTATGTCATTATCAACGGCTTCGTATGGATCGTCTCCAAGATCTCCAAAAACACGGTCATGCCACCCAACTACGACGCAGCCGAGCCCTGGGTCGTTCCTCCTGGCGGAATTGTGCCCTCCTGGCTCAACATCTTGTTGAACCGCAACACTCGCGTCCTCGACGACTCACCCTCAGAATACCCGTTTCAAGTACGCCAACGACACTCGAACATCTCAGTCGACACGACTTCGCAAGAAAACCCTTTGACGCCCAGGAAGTCGGCTTTCACGAGTGAAAAATGAAATGAGTTATTGTTGTAGTGCTTCCACCTATCCTGCTTTCCCGATATCGCGATATCCGCTATGCTGTCGATCTCCCCCCGCTTCGAATCGGACCCTCCCGACGAGGCATCCACTCTTTTGACTTTGAGATTCTATTTTTTGTTATATATTGCACATATCATACATACCTCTCGCATACAGATGGTAGCTAGGGACTTTATTCTCTGTTGTATTTGTTTCATAGCTATTTTTTGTTCATAGATAGTGTTGGTACAGAGCAGCTTGTGGGGTTTCTATGTGAAGCTTTACTGTGGAGTATATCGGACATGATACTGGTCTCGTTCGTCCCCTTGTTACATTGATCGACGCTGAAAAATCGCAAGTTGTACGGCGCTAGGAACTCGTTGACTAATCCGTTACATCACATTGATGCGTTGTGTAAGCAGTCTCGTTTCAGGACGCGGACGCCTTAATGATACCGATTATCGATCGATGACCTAGTCGACACTGATGAAGTGATAATGACCCGAATATCACCTTGAGCATACAGCAACGACGACTCTTCGGTCGATCCAATCACTCGCACTTTCCGAGCTAGGCACACGAGTTAGCAATGGCTGTGGAAGTAAACCTGAGATCATTCATATAGCGCTGACTTGGTCAATACATGAACCATGGTACACTGTAACCCATGACCATGCATCTCGATTGGCGAGCACCGCCCAGGTAGGTCCAAAACTGAAAATGCCTCAAATTGCGACAATAATACATAACTGGAAAGCAGATAAAACGGAATGATATTGTAACCAAAACAAAGCGGAATGAATATAAACGGAGTGGTAATGTCAGGGATTACAGGAGAGATACGCGGGAAAACCCGTTTGCATAACGCCCAGGGGTGCATACTAATATCCGCCTTGCGAACTCTGTACTACCTGCTGGTGCTGCAGGGACGGGGAAGCCATTTTCATGGTTTGTGGAGGCGGCGGACGAGGTGGGGACTGATGGGATGGTAGCGGGATGGACGACGGCAGTGGAGATGGCTGCATATGGGGCGACATGACATACTGATTTGGTAGCAGTTGACCGACCTGCGGAGGAACATTGATGCTCCCGGCACGATTCGCAGTCCGCATGCCATTAGCAGACGGCGTGCGCGTAGGTAGATTGCCCGGCGTAATATGAGGGCTCGGCGTCCCTTCGTTAAGCTGCGCAGGCTGTTGATGAGGTGACGCTACGCCTGGCCACTGCCGTCCCTGAGGAAATTTGATGTTGAGATTGGCGCCACCCGCCAGCTGGACATTGAAGTGTGTGCCATTCTGCACGTGGTGCCCTGTGTACGGAACTTGCACTGGGCGTCCCTCCGCGTTCTGTGCAAGCGCCATCTGCGCCATCTTGAAGGACTGTACTTGCTGCAGAGTAAAGCTATTTGGCTGACGCATGACGGCACCATTAGGCAGTGCATACCCGTTCATAGGAATGTGGTAACTGCTTAGTGGGAGTGGAGCGTGCTGGGACTCGGCCTTGGGACGCGCCGGTGAGCCGGCCTGATTAGACTGGGGATCAGCAGGGGAAGACATATGCACGTCTGTGGACTGATGTGCTGTGCCATTGATGGTCGTGGCGGTATTAGCAACGATGCCATTGGGTGCAGCGATCAACCTGACTGAGTCGCCATCTGACGTAGGAGTGACAGCATGGTTTCCATTGACTCCGTTCGTAGAAGTGGCACGAGGAGGAGAGGACTGCTGTACTACAGTGGGCGAGCTTGGGGATGCAATATTCCCAACAACCGGAGGACGCATGGAACCATTTGATGGAATGCGCATTTGCGGAATGGCAGATGGTGGTTGCATCGCTTTGACATGTGCCTGCATGGATATCGGCACACCATTCGGCATCGGAATGCCCGGGGGGGCTGCACGAGTGGCCGACAGCGGCATACCTCCAGGATATACCCGCTGAACGCCATGTTGATCGCGGCGGATACTGTACTGGGGTTGCACTCCAAGACGGTATGGGGAGACAGGGTGTTGGCGGCCGTCCACAGTCACGACAATGGTATTATCTGTCGTAAGGGCCTGATGGTCTTGATCTGACAACAATGTCATCATTTGACGAAGATACTTTGGATCATAGTCATCGACGAGAATCCGATCTTGCTCGTCAGCACCCTCAGGTCCGACGGTGGGCTCATCATCTTGATCGAACCTCCAGCGCTCGCGTAGACGAGCCGACATATCCTCATCATCCTCGGGAATAATGGCATCCATGCGCCGTGCAAACGCTTGTCGTCGTCGTATGAATGTAGAATCATCACCACGAATTCCGTAACGTTGAATGAAAGCGTCGCGACGATCGATCGTAGCGTTGCCTAGACGAGTCACACGGTGGCGGACATAACGCACGCGCTCTGCTTCCTCGTCCGCTACATTTGGTGATGGTGTCGACGGGCGCGAGGAGGAAAAAATCGCCTTCCAGTGACGTCGCGGAAAGGAAAATGTTGGGCGTTGATAAGCATTCTGAAGGAAAGGTGAGCATTCGAAAAATGTACTGCATTTAGTCCTACCTCCACCACATCTTCATACCCGTGGTCACGTTCCTTTTGGCTGGCAAGGTCACGCTCCATGGCTGCATTGATGAGGCTAACGCGTTCCTTAGGCCGGATAGATGCCTCGACAGCGAGAGACGGAGATCCTGGGTCCCCGCTCTCTCTCGCACGTATCTTGAGTCCAGGAATACGATTGGGTTCGACCTTAGGCTTCTTTGCTACTCTCTCTTTGTCAAGTAAAAGTTCTTCGTCCTCTTTAGTACCCAACGAGGGAAACTTGCGCTTGAGCTCGGCGAACTCAAAGCGCTTGTCCCAAACCTGGAGTGTTTGCTGTGTGTAGTCACGCTTGAGATTTTCTCGAGAAAGAAGTGTTTTGGCGAGCTCCAGACCCTGCGTTAACTCGTTCTGCAACCGCAAAAGTTTATCGGATGACGTCGCCTGCGAAGCACGGGTTTTCCGAACAGCCTTGATCTCGCGACGGCGGAAGCAAATATAGGACTCATTGAGCACGTCCGACTCATCGAACTAGCAAGTAAGTTAAACAACCTTGTTCGAATTATACAAATGTAGAGATACTCACATTCAAAGTGGGTATAATTCGGTGGCCTTTTCTTTCGATGCGGCGATCACGCCAATAAGGATAAATGACTTTTGCCAAACGAAGTAATAGAGCAGGTTGCGGTATCCACGTCGGCACTGTGAATGTGGCAAACATAGATGGTGGTAACGGGGAGGAGAATGCTTCTTGATAGTCCGTAAACGGAGGAAATGCCATGCCAGACTCAAGGCCCTGTGACACAAATCAGTGGTGGATTATGGTTTTTGGGTAAATGAACTTACATGGTGCAAGAACTCCGTCGTGTCATGGGTGACCTTCTCAAAAATGCCCATCACAAGTTCGAACTCGTCCTCTGTAATAGCAAGCGGTTGTGTCGACTCAGGTTCCTTGCCTTTTGCCTTGGCACTTCGTTGGGATAGGCCAGAGCGAGTGGTTGCGCCAGACGCTGAAAGAGCACCCTGGGCACTCGTGCCTTCACCGCGCGCCTCCTCATTGTTTCTATCGAGCCACTCTTTATCACGCTCATCCATGTAGTACGTGAACGAATCAACGAGCGCATTTGAAACTGCCTCATCGACAGTCTCCGATGATCTGATGTACGCGCCTGGGTCTTCCCAACGCTGGGAGGGATATAACTCGTCATAGTTGTCGACGATACCCGTGGAGTCTGGTGTGGGAATATATGCGGCGGGTGCGACAGCCTTCTCCCCACGTGTTGACCGACCCACTGATTGGTGTCTGTGGGATGCGGCAGACAGTACCGCCTGCAAGTGGTGCTCCTAAGCGGAAATATGAGTCAGCCATCGATAAGAGATTTCCCACGACCATCAACCAATGAGAAAGAGACACGTCAGCCTATTCAACAAGGGCGTTGAAAGCGACGGCGAGAGGGAAAACGACTCACATTGGCGTCCTCAGCGTCCACGCCAGCAGTGCTAATGATCCTGGCTTTTTCCTCGTCCTCGTCGACCACGAGGGGGTCTGCATCGATGCTACCTTGGATGACCTTGAGGCGTGTCTTGTTGGTAACTCGATTGCGATTTCGAAGGGTCGAGGTACCCAGATTCGGGTTGCGGGGCATGACATGGAGACGTGGCAGGATGAAGATGAGTTCAAAGGATACTGGCTTCTACTAGTAAAGCTCCTCGTCGTCGTCGGTGGCAGCGGCGGCGTGGTCGGAAATTTGCCGAAAAAGTCCTCGGCCCGAGATAAAAACAATAAAAATCTGACAAATACCAAGGGTTTCCCCGGTGTTTGTCCTAACCAAATAATCTCACTGCGACGCCTCAGGACTAATACACTAGCTACGTCAGTATGAAGCGGCCAGAATATTGTCTAGCTATTATATATGTGTGCTGAAATTCGTAGCTAGGGGATGAAAAATGGCGAGGGAACAAGAGGCTCATCAGACGAAATTCTTTGTGAGAAGGATTGGAGATGCGCACCTTTATTACGCAGCCAAGAAAGAAATACATTGATGATTCTCTGACTTGCGATGAATGAGCAACGATATCCATCCAATGAGTTATCGTTGCCAACGAGCATAAAATGAGGATCCTGCATCGGAAAATTAGCTGAAATGGCATATGCAACCAGGACATACGGCTCCCACCTATTTCCAAGTCTCAACAAAGGTACATATACAACAGTCAGATAAAGCGAGGATGTATGCGCTCCAAAACACTAGCGTCTGCGAATTTGATCGACCACCGTTATACCAACGACCGACAACATCCAAGTTCTGCGCAGTGAGAGCGCAACTTGAAGTCACCCATCATATGGCAGCGAGAAAAAGCAAAGGCTGATTGAATGATATGTAAGCATGTTTCCTGCAAAGATCACAAGCAAACTATGAGAAGGCTGTACACTTCGGATGAGCACGAGGACGCGTGGAGCTGACTCACAAACAAGGGCAGCGCTGCACGTATGCAAAATGCAAACAACGGTAGATATATGCAATGGCAGCAAATACGAAACACTGCAAGCGCTATCGCAATGTGGAATTGTCACTGAAGTCGTCACCACACTCGCTGCTGACTCTGCTCTCATCGCACTCATCGGATACCGATTGCGGTGAACCAATACACCCAACAGAGCACCCTATTAACTTGTGAGCTTTTCAGAACATTTTTGGGTCAATCATAGCTACCGACACTTGTCAGGTCCGTCCTTGCATGATTCCTAAGCCAAAGAAACATTACCCTGATCCCCGCTTGATACTCCAGATACTGTTGCCAAAAATTACAATTCAGATAGCCCCCAAAGAATATTTTAGCGTTAAGGTAGTTTGTGACGGGAGAGATGGAGGGGCAGCATGCATGGCGATGAGAAATGGCGGAAGGGAATGGTGAATGAGCTAAACAAGGTGTTTCGCCTCCTCATCACTTGCACTCAGCCACGTGGGTAATAACGGTCACACATCAAGCCACAACCGGCTGTTCACAAGTTTGCCCGAGACAACCAGTCTCGGACAGTCTCATATCATATTTCCTAGCCAATATTATCGTCTTTCTGGCTAAGGCTGCTCGCTGCAAAAACGAATATGCAGGTTGAAGTACTTTCGGGTTTAAGTCGATCTAGTCCGAAACTGTTTTAGTGGTAACTTACTGGCAGCCGACCAGTGAGGCTTACCCACAGTGCATCATGATTCTAGGACCAGAAGAAGTTCTTTTTGTGCACGGAATCCATGCCCTCAAGGAGACGGGCTCGAGACATCCAGTTTATGCCAGAATCTGACGCACAATCACTCTGGCAGTTTCAAAAGGGCGTGATGGCTATTCATCGAGATAGTTATCCAGCGCAATTTGCACCTGGACTAAAGCAGTTTTACTCAAGATGCCTCAGTGTGAAGCCCAGTTTCTTCCGTTCTGTCAATCGTGCGTTTTCACATCAGCTATCCACATCGAGTTGACCGCTAGCACCAATTTGTTTTAGAACCCACCGTTCGTATGGTAGAAATGACTCGTGGTCAAAGTCGTCCCAGGCAATGTTGGTTCGTAAGCTCTTAGGTTATTGAGTGTCACTAATCGACAGTAGCAGATTTGTGATTGACGCTGTGTCCTCGATGATGCGGCCCGTCCTTGGTATCGTTGAGTGTTTTATTGAATTACTATTGACCTTTTCTTGCTTTCAGAAATCTACCTATTATGCTTCGGAGCCATGAACCTTCGCCGAAAGTACTGCTTGACAGGCATATAACAGGCCATCACATACTGGCGTATAGCCTGGACTGCATCACAGCAGATGCGTCGCACTGGTTATGAGGGCAGTTTAAGTTTGTCTCGAGTAGTGCGGCTTTGCACGTGGATAAGCATTCTTTTGCATCCTTCCCGGAATCGGGCCATAAGACCACTCTTCTCGCGGGGTTTAAGGCGTACTCCGTCTGAATCTCGTCAGTCAAGGAAAGTTTGATCAACCTGCGCATCAGTGCGGTGATCTATTGCCACTTCTGGGAGCAGCTAATCAGATGACATTCAAAGCTGTGGCTTCGGGACAAATTGTGCCCCGGAGGTCCGTGACGGTCGGAAGTCAAGCCGTTTCGCTGGCAGTTGCAAAAATTTCAAGCTCTGGGTGGAGTTAATGTAGCTCAGCCACATTTCACGACCATTCAGATCGACGGCCTCAGTATAGACTTGGCATAACATGATCATGACATTGTGGGGATCACCCTCGTGCCGAAAAGTTGGTTCGGAGGCGCATCTTTCTATATGTACTCGTGGTGTGTCTTTCCTTTGGGTTATGATTTGGACGCTAATACAGAACCTTTATTATGATTTAAGATGTAGTACTCACGTATCATGTTGTGCAACACGATATGCCGCTGGAAAGACACCACTACTAGCCGAGAATCAACACACCCTGCAGGCCTATGAGAAGCAGTACTGCAGTGGCACTGATGTTACTCATTTCCTCGGTGCTTCACTAGAAGCGTGATGTACACAGTGATGTAAGTACTTGTGCTACAGCCTGGAGCGATGTTTGTAAATGACCTTGGAAATCCAGAACGGCACTTTCACCCTACTGATCAATGGTGATATGTAAAGCCGGGACATGTTAATCGTTCACAAGACTGGGCTGCGGCGTGCGGACATAGTGATAGATAATAGGGGGAGAAAGTTGTGAGTGCCTGTGCACTTCGACTGATCCAAAGTATCTGTTGCAGATAACCGCCGAATTGGGTACTCTTGGCTTTGACTTTTGTGACTAATATTCCATGGGGTAGTTCCGCAATCATCGCACAACGCTACAATGTTCTTGTAATTTCTTGTAGTGCATATCAGGGTCCGAGCTTAAGCTTATTCGACAGTGCTAAAGAATTCTAATGACTCAGAAATGTTATAAACTTGTGACACCAAAATATCGCCTCCCTGATTGTGTATCAGTTGGCTTATAGTACAGTACTAGTGACTGCACGGAATGACGACATGCCACCAAATGAACGGGAAGTTTAAGACACGTGCTCCAATGTGAAGTGAGGGCATATCGAGTCAGCGCAGTACCTCGGATTCGCCGCTGACGGTCTATTTGAAATTCACACTCTCAAAATTAATAGGATATACTTCATTCAGTCTCGAGTTTCCCTGGAAGAAGTTCTTGGAGCTGGCAGTTCATCACAGGAATCAGAGCAGCAGCATGTCACAGCCTCGGATATTCCTGTTCACACTTCCAAAGGATCATGGGTTTCAGCACAGGAAGCCCGGGCGTCAAACTCCAATTATAAAATCACCAAGGTGTTATCTCCACCTTATCTCGTCACTTTAATATGGACAGACACGTAGGAATTATACATCACTCTCCGGACAAAGGTCTCTTGCATTTGCCGCTCCAAGAGGTCGATGTGAGAGTATGGATGGTCGACAGTGCGTATATCCCTCGCTGTACAGGTAAAAAGCACTAATCAGCACGCCACTTTCCTTGTAATAGTTTCTGCGAGGGTTGTGCTCTCTCAAGTGTTTGAGAACATGTCGGATAGCCCTACCAGCCGGGCCAAATATGTATTCCCTCTTCCAGCGAGTGCTGCTGCTTGTGCTTTTGAGCTCGAGTATGCCGATGGCCGTGTTATTGTTGGTGTCGCGAAGGAAAAGTCAGAAGCCGCACAAGCTTTCCAGAGTGCAGTAGATGCGGGAAAAACAGCAGGACTTGTAGAATGGGTGACGGACGATAGTATGACTAACACGTTTCGATGATACTGGACGAGCGCTGATTTTTATCAACCTTACTCCAGTATTCACGATCTCAATTGGCTCGATTCCCGCTCGACAGAGGGTCACAGCAAGATTGACGGTGAGTGCACTCTCTTGTTGTTGAATACTTTTTCTGATAGACGAACAGTTTGTAATGGATCTTTTGGACGAAGGAAGACGGGACCAAGTCCGTCTACAGCTTCCAATCGCTATTGCCGAACGATACGGCCAGACTCCAGCGGCCATGCTTGATGCGTCTACAACCAATGAAAACACCTGCGTCAAAATCGCTGTGGATATTCAGACCAGTGATAAGATACAGGAGATACGCAGTCCTACTCACCCGACGATTATTCACAAACGCTACAAGTCACGCACTGGGAGAAAGTCTGAACGACGGATGTGTGTAACTTGGTCGTCCACGACGTTCCTCGACAAAGATTTCGTACTGACAGTCCATGCTCTTGGGCTCGATAAGCCTCGGTGTTTCGCAGAGGTCGATCCCCAGGATCGTGATACCATTGCTATGCAGCTCTCTTTCGTACCGAAGTTCAAAATTCCTCCCCTGGATTCGCAAGAGTACATTTTCGTCATCGATCGCAGCGGAAGCATGAGCGGAGCCCCAATGGAGACAGCTAAGCGCACACTGGAAATGCTCCTTCACCTTTTGCCGGATTCACAGACAACTTTCAATATTTTCAGCTTTGGAAGCAAAGTGGACGGTCTGTGGAACAAAAGTGCACTGTTTAATGAGGTGGAAATGCGTCGTGCGGTAAGAAAATTTGGTCACTATTTAGAGCAGCTAGCTAATGAGTGATGTGCACAGATTTCGAGCGTACAAGGCATGAAAGCCAACTACGGAGGGACGGAAATTGCGGATGCCCTTCAGTTCGCTCTCGCGTCACGTAACCCCGACCGCCCCACTGCTATGTTTGTCCTCACTGACGGCGATATACATGTGCGTGTGATGACTTAGCCATAACTATTCGATCTAACGACAAATTAGGCTTCCGCAAGTCTTGACCCATTCACGGTTGTCTCCAGAGCTGTGAAAGGCTGCAAGGCCAATGCACAATTGAGAGTATTTACTCTTGGGATTGGTGAAAATGTTTCATCCGACTTGTGCGAGCGTCTTGCTCGTGAGGGTGGAGGCATATGTCTGTTTGCTGTCCAAGCCGAGGACATTACAGGGAAATGCGCGATGCTTCTTAATGCTGGTCGGACACGCGAGATCGAGAGTGTCATAGTTGATTGGCATGGTTTGGGGAGCCCACCAGCTGTCAATTTTTCACCCTTGAATCACCATCATCCGCTTCCGCCCAGCGTTGTGCAGCTAGAACCTCCTCCTTCGATGCAGCAAGGGCCGCCCAAAATCACAAGTATATTCCCTGGAATGCGCCTTAATGTTTTTGCGATCACAACTTTTAGTTCGATTCCTCGCGAAATCAGATTGCTTGCGAAGATCAAAGATTCTGGAGAAGTCATTGACGATCTCGTTCCCGTCACGACAGTGAAACCATTCAAGGACGAGTGGTCGTCCATTCCACTCCTCCATACTTTAGCTGCACGACAACTCGTGAAGGACTTAGCCGAGGGCAGGGCGCCCCTTCCCAAACCCATTGCACCTGCTTCGGATGAGGACATTCGAAAAGCGGCAATCGTTCGCCTAGGGCTTGATTATCAACTTGTCAGCCAGTACACATCCTTTTTTGCTGTAGAGTCTGGGCATGAAACAGCAAGGAAGCTGCGCCGGTCAACGTCATGGCAAAAGTCTCGGCGGCAGCATGACCATGCTAGTGCTGCTGATAATCTTGCTGACAAAGGTGCTCCAGGAATAGATGTGTCCACTGTGCAGACGGTTTTGGACAGCTTGTCCCAAGCGGTTTACGCTGTGTTCAACTACTTTTTCTCTGATCCTCCCCCCACAACTCGAAGACGTCAGACGCGGCTTCCCGGCACGTATTATTCCGCTGCACAGTCCCGCTCGGGATCACCATCCATTCAGAGTGCATATTCATCTCGACACTCAAGCACGGACACGTTCTCTACATTAAGCTCATTGGAAGGCTCTTCCACGAGTTCTCGATGGTCTTACTCTCGGCCATCCAGTCCTGTGCCTCCCCCAGAAGATCCAATCGAGCGTGTACCATCGCCAGTCTTCAATGTCACGCCACGAGTACAACATGCAGCACCTCCGCACGTTGCACAACCGGTTCCCAAGGAAGCGCACGCCATCATCTCGCTGCAGGAGTTCGACGGCTCTTTCACGCCGTCGCCTGAATTGGGAGCGCTTGTGGGCGTTGATATATTGGCTAAAGCAGTAGAACTGCAGGTCGACGGGAATATATGGGCGACTGCAGTTGTCGTTGCATACCTGAAGCATCATCTGGGTGAGCAACAGGATTTGTTGGATGCGTTGATGAACAAGACTCTCGAGTATGTTTATGGAAGGGGTGCGAATTTGCTCGTTGGACGTGATTTTTGGGACTTGGTGAGAATTGCGGGGCAGTCGGTGGGTTCGTGATTAGTTCGTTTCCTGACTCCCATGATAAGTGGGAGGGTTTGATCTCTGATATATGTATTCTCTACCTCGATTGGTTCATCCTATGATGTCCCGATGAGCATTGACAATGCTGTCAGACATCATGCCCACCCGCTTCAGCATGAATGAACAGATCAAACCAGTTATCGAATTCTCATGATTGAAACAACGATCGTTTGACGAGCGCAACTGAGACGATTGTTGTTGCATGCAACGACTTGTTCATTCTTTACTTTGGAGTGACTCATGCTATTTGTTATTACTGTTTGGACCATAACGCACGAAGTGGAATATGACAACTTGGTTACTGTCTTATTTGGTGTGTTTACCCTCCATGTATGTGATGCAGGAGGATGAAACGGCGGTGCTCACGAATCTCGAACCTAATATAACCTGTCACCTCTATTGTCCAACTGATTCAGTATTTATTTTCATATTACTATCGCCAGGGCATGTAGCACAAGAATATGATATTTTGATTCTATCCGAACATGGAAAAATGCCTTCATTGGGTCCGATCTTGTTTTCTGCCACCGTAAATTTCTCGACATAAGTATTTGCAACATGAAGGCCACGACACGACACTTTATATCAGCTAGGCTGACATCAGTTTCTGTAATCCAATCAAGTAATTGGACATTCCAAGCACCAATAGCATTTTGTGCGGTGGTCCAACTTTGGTCCGGTCTGTGTGCAATTTCTGGTTTACTGACGTGTCAGCCATCTTCTGCACCGATGCTAATTGAAGTAGAAACATAACTTAACTTACCGTAGTTCACAGTCGCGACAAGGCACTCAAAGATTGTTATTCACACACAAATATAAGCTACCATGCCAGTGAGTTGCTTGCTTAAATTCAAGACACAATTATACACTCACAGTGGTGCCCACGCCGGCCTGGGCCGTGCATGTCTGCCCTTTGCAGCATTTTTCATAGTTGCACACTGAAGGACAGTCGGTATCATCCGAGTCAATGTTGAGACTGGCAGATACTGATGCTACCAAAGCAAAAACAACAGCGAGGACAGAGGAGATATGCATTATTTGTGAGATTGTGATATGGGTTCGAATTGATCTGAATGATATAGTAGTAAGACAGATGTTTATACCATTTACTGGATATTATTCTGCAGGGTCCGGGTGACGCGGGAAGAAACTATCCGTCATGATGTGGAGTTCCTCTTCGAAGATGCAACTAGTGAATGCTCAGGGCTACGTCCCTTTCCTTTCGTGTGGCTCATGTTTCATAATACTGATACATACATTTCATGCGCCGTCTTTAACATATCATATCTTGCAGTGTACCCACATTAGGTCTGCAGGCACATTTCTTCCAAATCAATGAGCCGTCGATTCCTGATTCATATTCATCCAGTGATTAGGCACGTTCACAATGGCTTTTTTAAGCCGTTTTTTTCGTGTTCCTGTAGAAAATGGGTAGTTTTCCAATGGATTGCTTTAGTTCGTCGTTTCTGCATGAGCGACACACCACGATCAGAATGTAAAATTTGGTGTAATCCGAGCCACGGCGACAGACCCATGGCTGCGAAGGAGTTGATGCAGGCACGCCTCGCCAGTGCGGAGGAATCTGCAATGGCTGAAGTCAACAAGAGCCGCCGTCCTCCGAAATCCCGCACCAAGCCCACTGCTGCCTGCTCGGAAATGAAGACCTTTGATCCTCACACATCGGCGGTTTCGGAGTTTGACGCAGCGGTGATTCACATCAGGGTTACGACCCAGTCATGGGATGATCAGGAACCACGCCTCCTTGGTTAGTTCCACGAGAGGGCCCATCGTGTTGTTGCGAAGCATTTTGAGAAGGCGTGAGGAGGAAATGTCAGAGGAGTAGGATATGGGGCCCTGTGTAAGACGAGCAGGTAGCGTTGGGAGAAGGTATAGACTTTTGTTTGGAAGTGGTGGATGTAAAGGGTGAATGCGATGGAAATGACGCTAAGGGTGGTTCCGGAACTGGACGCGCGTGCATCACGCTTGTGAGTAAGTGATCTAAAAAAACAGTATAGCAGCACACCCTGAATATCAGAACTTGAAGCATCGAGAGTCTGTAACGCTCGAAGACGAAGTTCCTTCCCCATTTCACCCCAAACCCACCCCCAGCGAGCATCGAGACCTCCCCGGGTTCAGACCCGCAGCTTCGTCAGCATTTCTTCGGACGTTTCCTGAACCACCATAAAAAATTGCAGTAACATCGCAATCGGCTGCAAGTGCAGGATTTGGCCGGTCGCATGAGGTCTTTACAGATAAGTCACAGACTGTTAGCATAGTCTCTGGAGGTAGGGGCCGGTAAACCGTTGTCGCTACGCGTGTAACTCTTATCAGTACGTTCGTATGGCTATTGCTGTGATTGATAATGACCACAAATCAACCCGGCGATGCAGACACGAATGATACAGGCATTTTTTTTTTTGGGATGACCTACCTGGACTACTTTCGTTCCGGTGGTTACCAGGTAGCGAGTGGAAGCATATATTCGTATCGATAATCGGTTGTCTTTAGCTGCAGTGGATCTATTATAAAGCTTTAGTGCTGCTACTCACAGATGCTTTCATGAGTCCTGTGCATGCGACTCTGGCATGACGAGGATCCCATGTCGCTCGCTCGAGCCTCGAAGTTACAGTAAGTTTTTGCTTGACGGGTGCACTCAACGATATAGCGAACTGCTGGCCAAGAATACATTAAGGACAGGACAAGTCTAAAGCCAGAATCACCTGAAGACGTTCCTAGTTTCTTAGCTAGCCAGTCCGTCGACTTTTACATGCGCTCGCTGCTTGCAATGCTTGGAGATTACATAGTGGATGCGTCCGAGTCATTCCGGATCATGTACCAATCGGACTTCCCCGACTCCACGTCAGTGGAGAGGGTTCTCTTGGACAGAAACGTTCAAACGCCTGCAAACGCACCCGTGGGAATGGGAAAAACTTGTGGCGCTTAGTCAGTGGGAAAAGCTTTTGTTCTCGTTCTGTCACAAGTTGACAGAAATTGTCCATCGTGTTATTTATGGTTCCGGTGGACAGTAGTACTTACACCCTGGGCCGGTATGCCAAGGCTGCCGGGGATCACAACACTGGAATCCCGTACATTCGCAAATCATCGACTCAGCTACACTTTCCTTGACTTTCTGTTGTACGTACTCGGCCTCTCAGGCTGTAACTCCCTTCGAATCCTTGGTTGTGCAACAATCGTATGCCCCCACATCCTGTCTTCGTTGTTTATCGATAATGACTCATGTTCCGCAATATATTGTTCACTGTTCCTTGACTCGTGCTCGAGCTCCCTCATGCTTAATAATATGTCCCTCTCACCATAGGGTTATACTATGTGCGCATTGTGCGCATGAACCTATTTTGGGACTGACTGAATGCACTACTCATGCGCACATGTGCATATGCGCATGAACCACCTATTTTGGGACTGAATGCACTACTCATGCGCACATGTGGGCATGCACATGAACCAATTTGGGGGAATCAAATGCACTACTCATGCACACATGCCCATGTGTGCACGCGCATGAACCAATTTTGGGACACACAACTCATGTGCATGCGCATGAGGCAGTGCGCATGCGCACCAGACACTGTGTATGCGCATGCGCATGCGCACCAGACACTGCGTATGCGCATGAGGCAGTGCGCATGCGCATGAGGAACTGCGCATGCGCATGAGGTAGTGCGCATGCGCACCAGACACTGCGTATGCGCATGAGGCGGTGCGCATGCGCATGAGGAACTGCGCATGCGCATGAGGCAGTGCGCATGCGCATGAGGCAGTGTGCATGCGCACCAGACACTGCGTATGCGCACCAGACACTGCATATGCGCATGCGCATGCGCACCAGACACTACGTATGCGCATGAGGCAGTGCGCATGCGCATGAGGCAGTGCGCATGTGCATGCTTCACAATAAGTTCTTGTTTATATTGTTGCTTGCTTTTGGCTGTTTCTGGATCCATGGAGGTAGCTTCACCATGACTTTTGAATTGCTTCAAGCCATTCCGTACTTTGAAGTGAGCCAACCAACCATCACGTAAGTTGAGGTGCTCATCCTTTGGAATACCCACCAGGTCTGCAAATCTTGTCCATTTATGATGCAAGACCTCACCAGTCAGAAGGAGGGTTATCTAACATTGCCTTCGATACCCAAAGGTCTATACACCCTATGGCTATATATTATATATAACACATCATATTTTCTTGTTCTTGTGGGTGTTCCATTGGATGCAATACATCACTGGGATTCCATTGCACTCATTTTTAAGGAATTTGGTGGTCGGAAACATGAGTTATGGTCATTTTACTGTTTGCAAGCTGATGCTGCTGAACCGCCACATTAGAACAGCACAACCCTGCTAAATGGACATAGTATCTTATAGCTATGGCTCTATATGTATCACAGTCATGTAAATACATGTTTTCACACTAATTTTACAATATTTCCATAAATTATCTATTGATATAGGAGGAGGAGGAGGAGGAGGAGGAGGAGGTGTACAGCACCACAAAAAATTATTGATGGTTTAAAACATGGTCCATCATCTTCTGTGACCTTCAAAACGGTAGGGAGAACCTTGATTGGGTGTTTACTGATGTCTAAGATCTCTGGCATCAGACCACCCCCCAATCACTGGATGTATCTGACTCACCATACCACAAAAAATTCCTGGTGTTTCAAAGCTTGGTCTATCATCTTCTGTGACCTTTAGAATGGTGGGGAGAACCTTGATTGTATGTTTGCTGATGTCTAAGATCTTTGGCATCAGACCACCCCCAACTATTGGGTGTATCTGACCCACCACACCACAAAAAA